CTGTGAGGGGGCCCAGGAGAGGGTATATGCTGAGCTGGGGATGGCGGTGACAGTCATTTAGTAACGACTTGCTCTGTGCCAAGCACTGGGCTAAGCGCCGTACCCAATCCTGTGAGGTGGGTCCCCTGTCCTCCCTGTTCCAGGGTGAGGAACAGAAGCTCAGAAGGGCTCCAGGGCCCACAGCTGGATTCAAACCCAGGGCTGCAGACTCCAGAGGCCCTGCCGACTGTGTCCAGGAAGGGCTCCTGGGAGAGCTGTGTCCCTGGAGGTGGAGGGTGGAGAGGAGGGTGGAGAGGAGGGTGGGATGCTTCCAGAGCTTGTGCAGGGAAGAGTTGGCCACAAGGAAGGAAAGCCTACGTCTCTGATGCAAGGTATCCTGAGATGAAGTGGCTGGGGACGAGGGTGGGGACAGGGCCTGCAAGGCTGGGCTAGGCAGGAGACAGGGATCTAGGGCATCGTCCTCAGATTCCACAGCAGGTTCAGAATTACATGGCTGCATACCTTTCCGGCAGGTCTCGACTTACAAAACCCTCCAGAGCACCCCCTAGGCTGTTGTCAGCACCCCTGAGGCTCTCCAGGGCCATTCTATTTGCCTCTCTGACAGGAGGGTTCCAGAGCCAGCCCTGGAGGAGCAAAGAGAGGGAGGCAGCAGCTGGGAGATCAGAGGTGCTGGACATAGCCTGAGGCCGCACGGGGAGGGGGACGGGGAGTCCTGGCTGCCGGGGCCAGGGAGACGCAGGGCCTCCTCGTGCCTGGCACTGGGCCAGAACTCTAAATGTCTCATGTCCTCTGAGCCCCACCCTGAGACACTGGGACCATCTCCTCACCATACAAGGTTTCAGCCTCACTGAAAACCTCTCTGTAACCACGAGCAAGTCACCGCCACACCTTTCTGGGTCTTGGTTCCCTCTTCTGTAAAACGGGGGGAGGGGCTGGAGTCAACCCTCCAGGTCTCTCTCAGGGGGAAGCTGAATGACTCTAGGTGTGACAGCAGTGATGGCTGAGAGTCTACCTTCCCCCTGTCCCCTCTCTTCCCCATCGATCTCCAGCCTCGGGAAGCACCTGCTGAATCAACATAGATGGGTGGACCAGAAGGCCCTGGAAGGCAGTTCCAACATCCAGAAGCGCTCAGGACCCCTCAGACATACGCAGGTCAGGGCTGAAGGACCTTTGGGGGTCATCAGGGATAGCCTGCCCCTTTTACAGGTGGGTAAGACTGAGGCCCAGGGAGGACATGCAGGCTAGGACGGAGGCCCAGCTTCCTTGTTCCTGGCCCCCAAGGAAAGGACGGCTCCCATTCTCCTGCTGACCTCATGGTCTCCTGCCTTCTGCTCTGGTGACTGGCTTCCCAGGAGGGCAGGCTCCCCTCCTCCCTACCCTCTGCTCTCCCCAGAGCCCTGGCTCTGATGCCCTGGCTATGATCCGGGGACCCTGCTTGGACCCAGGAGGCTGCAGCCCCACTCGGACAGCGTAAGCAGAACAGGGGTTTTGTCTTCCACGAGAGTCCGTCTGTTGGCGGCGGGGTTGGGCTCGGTTGGCACAGTGAAGCCTTGTTTCCTTGAATACACAATCTGCAGCTTTCCACCCTCACCCGGGCCCTGACGGGCGGCACTTGCTTCCCTAGAGGTTCAGCTTCCTGGCCCCTGCCTGCCCCATCAGCCCTCCCAAAAACCTGGCAAGCAGTGCTGGCGCCAAGAGGTAGCTTGGAGGGGTCCAGGTGCCCTCAGTCTCCCTCAGAGTACCTCTCATCAAACTAGAAACGGCCTATGTAAAAAAAAAGTGAGTTTGCTGTGCAGATGAAGCTTGCAGACTGTTCCCTCAGCCGCACGCCACTTCCAACCATACTGCAGCCTCCCAAGTCCCGCTCATCTGAAGTGTCTGGCTTCTCCCACAACAGCTCCACCTTTGTTTTGGTGGCCAGTGGGCAGGGAAGCTATGGAAGCCCAGGAGAAGGCAGGCTCTGGGGGAAAGCAGAGACTGTGGCTGGAGGTGGGGACATGAGTGGACAATCCGCCAGGAGCATAGAAGCAGGTGTTGGAGGTTTTCCAACATGAAAGCAGATGTCTGTGATGGGAAACCCAGAAGGAGAAGAACCCAGGATTTGGAGTCACAGACCTGGGTTTGAATCCAGGCTCTATCATTTTCTAGCTGTGTGGTCTTGGCAAGTTATTTAAGACTCCTTGTCTGCACAAAGGTGCCGAAGAGCTCTGTGTCACGGGGCTGTTTGAAGGACCTGGTGAGTGCCTCGGCGCCATCAGCACAGGGATCTCTGCGGTGTCTGAATCAGCTCTGCACTCCCCGATGGGGGCAGTGACAGACACGGATCCATACCCACCCCTGCATCTGCCCGCCCCGGGAGTGTTCAAGCTACTCTTTCAGGAAGCCTGGAAATCCTGCTCTCCCAATCTCGCCAGTCTTCGGCTGGGAAGAAACTTTAGAAGAACTCCAACCAAACAGCCTGGAGTCAAGGAGGTGGCGCCCTGGGATTTTCTCAGAGGTTCAGAGGGGCTGGGGGTCAAGGACTTGATGCTCCCCCAGAAGGACCTTGGGAAAGCATGGGACTCGTCAGTCACCCCCAACTGGGAACCAGAAATCCTTCCCCCTGCCTTGGGGCCAAATGCAGAAGCTGCGGCAAGCTGTCCTGAGCAGGGGAGAGCCTTTCTCAAACTGTGCGGTTGCAAAACGCCCCTTCCTGGGCTTCCGGCTTGATGTCTGGGCACTGACAGCTGCATATGGTGAGGTCTGCCCCCACCTCCTGCCCAGCCAAGGGGGACCCGGCCTTGCTGCATTGCTCCCTCGGCTTTGGGCTGCCTGTGCCGGGTGGGCTAGACCTCCTGGCTCACCCCCAAGACTCAGCCTCAAGCCAATTCTGTCCCCTTCCAGAACCACTCCCGACCAGCACCCAGATCGTGGAACAGAGGCTGTTCCCTCTCCAGGAGCCAGGGGCAGGGGGACAGGGAACAGGAGGTGGGGACAGGTACCAAAGGGAGGGGCACTGGCACCTTCCCCACCCCCTGGGCACACACATGGTTGGGAGAGAGTGGCTGTGCATCTTAGACCCAACAGAGTGGGACCCAGGGATGGGCCGGAGGGAGCTGGGCCCTCTCTCTCTAGTCCCTCCACAGAGACATTAAGACTGTTTTTGTGGGGGGAAGGGGGGATGAGTCCACAGGCCTGGGGGTGCCCATCTACCCTGGTGAGGGCACAGCACGTGGAATCTGATGGAATAAAGGGTAGGTATGGGGGTAACAGGGCAAGTCACATAGGAAGGGGCCCCTTTCGACTAGGGTGGGTGTGGGACATTGGGGGTTCCTGTGGGGAGGGAAGGGGATATATGGAGTGGGGAGGAGAGATGGGGGCCTTGTGACAGAAGCAGGTGAGCAGTGACTGCAAGCTGCTGGGTGCAGGGGGGTGGGGCGGGCAGGAGGAGGAGGGAGGCCTTCCAAGCCCAGAGGGGACTGGGCCCACAGGGACGACTGGAGTGAGGTTTACACTCCTGCAGAGGGGGAACAGGGGCCGAGGGGTCCCTTCCTAGGGAGACCACTTGTGAGTGAAGGATTTGGGTCCTTTTTAATGAGTGGGTGGAGATGGGAAGGGCAAGTCTTCGCCCCCAGTTTGCTGGTAGATGCTAAATAACTGGAGAGGAAGTTGGGGGAATCCCTGCCCAGAACCCACCTTGAGGGAGACCTGAGATCAGGAGAGGAAATGAAAAGACCTTAAGGAAAGGAATGTGGTTGGCATGTGGTGTCCGGGGTCACTGGGGTGGGTGTCTTTGGCCAGCGTGTGTTGGGGTGGGGGTGGGGAACGCGAGCAGCTGGGATGGGGGAAGGAAGGCCGCTGAGTCCTCAGCCTCGGTGTGTGCCTTGTGGGGTGGTGGAGAAGCGCCACTAACAGGGTGGGGGGCCCGGGACCCACACGTGTGGTAGTGGGGGTGGGCCTCGCGGGGCCTGGCGATTATCTGGAAGGAGGTTCGGGGTCCCCAACTCTGTGGGTGCGTCTATGGTGTACCGGAGGCAGCACAAATATGAGTCACCGCCGCGTGCCAGGGCCCGGGGGTCCCCCAGACTAACGTGCGTGGTGGGATGCCGGGTCTAGATCTGGAAGGGGACGCGGGGTCCCTAACCCCGGTGCATCTGGGTTCGGGGAAGCTTGGCTGACTGCTGGGATCCTGGGTCGGCGCGGGATCCGGGGATCGGGGGGTTCGGGGCCCGATACCGGGTAGTGGGGCGGGCGGGGGGCCGGGTCGCGCGGGCACTCACTGCTTGAACATCTTCTCCATGTCCTTGATCTGCTTCCTGGAGAACTCCTTGAACTCGGTGTAGGGGTTGAAGACGCGGCGGCTGGGCGACTGGGGCTCGCCGATGCCCTGGTTGAGGTCGGCGCGCCGCAGCAGCTTGGCGCTCAGCTCGCAGTCCGCGCTGCCCAGCGCCTCGGCCGCCTCGTCGGGCGCCCCCGCCGCCGCCGCCGCCGCCGCCGCCCCGTTCAGCCCGGGTTGCTCCGGGGTCTCGCCGCCGCCCTCGCCCTCCATCTGCAGCCGCCGGCTCAGCTTGGTGGCCAGCTCGTCCGTGGCCATGGTGGCCCGCACGGCACTCGCCTTGACCGGGCCCCTGTTCACAGCGCAGCGCCGCCGGCCGCGCTCTTCCTCTTCCTGACACTCCCCGGGCCAGGCACCGCCCCCGAAGGTGGGACTTGGGCCCTGGCGGGGACCGCGCGCCCCGCCTCCGCCCCCGCCCCCGGGCCCGGACCCGCGCGGCGTGCGCGTGATCGCTCCCGGCCGCCGGGGGTCGAGTGTACTCTGCGCGCCCCGCCCGCCGTCGTCTGCCCCCCGCGAGGCTGGGGAGCGCGACGGAAAGCCATTGCCCTCTTGGTGCCCGCTGTAGCAGCTGAGCGGGAGGGGTCCGGCTGGGGGCCGGGGCCGGGCGGGAAGGAAGAGGGCTCCTCCCCCGCGGCTTGGGTGAGGAGCGGGGCTTGCCGGGGGGCAGGGGGGCGAGGAGGGGTGCCGCCCCACCCCCTTCTCCGGAAACCCCACGCCGTGAAGTCATAATCCTGTATCTGTGACACCCTGTCGGTTGCTATGGAGACGACTCGCTGTTAAACACTGGCGTTCTCAATGAGGGTTGCAGGGGTTCCGAGGCGGACCTGAGGAGCACAAACCCCTGTTTAGGGTGAACCGTGGTGGGCGCCGCTGGCCTCTTGGAAGAGGACAGACTAGCAGCTGCGAGGGAGATGGGGCTGGGCTTCACCCCTAAAAGGGCCCCTGGAGACAGCGGGTGAGGGACAGGGGAAGGGGCTGGTGGTCCTCTCTCCCGAGGCCCCGCACCATCACACAGATGACTTGGCAGAATAGCTGCTGGGCCAGTGTTGTCGCCTGTGACTGTACTTTAGGGAAACTGACAGGGAGATCATGATGTCGCCATTTTGATGGGGTCACCAGAGGAGAGATGTCCTCTCCAAAGGCTCCTGGACAGGGCTAGGGAAAGAGTTCAGATAATAAGTATCTCTGTGGTCTGGGCTGTCACCTCACAACTGCACAACTCTGGACCTTCAGCATCAGAACCACTGGGGCCTAGGTTAATAATACAGATTCCCGGGCTCCAATTTGGACAGACAACACTGATCTCTGGGGTGGGATCCAGGAATCTACATGTAAACAAGCACCCAGTGGAGTGCTGCTCACTGAAATTTGAGAATCCCTGATTTAGAAGGACTATGCTCTGTGCATGTTCTCTGAAATGTTAGGTCAATCAGGACCCCTCTACTGAAACTGCTCCAACCAGCCAAGGTGCAGAGAAAAGATGCATGCAGGGCCCCCAAACCAGTGTGCTGTGGAGGCAGGGAGCCCTGGAGAATGTAAAGCCAGCAAGCTGTTACAGAGAGGTTTGCACAGAACAGACACTCAGTTGATATTTGTCAATTTGCTCTGTTTAAGAACATTGCTGAATTAATTTAAAAGGTATTTTTAAAAGAATGAAATTGAGGAAAAACCTTCAAGGTTCAGAAAATGTGAAGTTCTCATTTACTTGTTTATAAAAATTGTTTTTGAGTCCAATAAAGATGCTTAGCTTAAATGATTTCTTTTTTAAATCTCAGAATTAAGTTTCTCTTAGTTTTGGGCAGTTTGGTCCAGCTGTTTGCAAAAGACAGGCTTCCCTGTCTCCCATATGCAGCCCTGAAGGACCCAACAGAAGCAAGATAGTTATTTAAGGAATGTAAAGGACTAGGGACAGGATGTAGATTAAAATGTTTAAGATGATGTCTGCAGATGATGTTTGTAGATGCTGAAGTTTGTTGAATTCTTAGTCTTCCTCACAAAGCAGATAATTTCAAGACTCTGGTGAGCCTCAATTTACTCCAGTTTATGATTTCCAATGGTTCTGCATAAAACTGGGTTGCCGTTTTATGAAATTGTTTGCATCTGCTTCACGTGGGCGCAAACTTCACAGTAAGGAGATAATGTGAGGGTTTTGCCTTCTTGCAAAACAACTTACATATATATGTGAAGAAACTGGGGTTTGGGTTTGAATTATGTGGACTGCCTGTGTGTAGTAAGCTCTCTGGTCAGTTACCCATTTGGCTTTGTGTGGACACAGCTCATGGGAGCGAGGGTTGCTTTCCATAACACACAGGTTGGGGGAATTCCTGCTCGTTACCTATAGCATCTTGCAGGAGGGCTGCTGAACACCGGAGCCTTGCAACTGTTAAACTCAGGCAGAGCTCAGGAAATGCTGCCCGGATGGGTGAGTCGTTTTAACACCTCTTGGGTTGATTTTTCTCACAGGTTTTTGGAGTTTGCAGAGCTCTGAGCCTGTGACCCCAGGGTGAGACCTCAAGCTGCCCAGTACTGTGGCCCCATTTCAGAGGCCTTGGGCCTGGGCCAGAGATGGACGCTAGGGGCTTTTACTCGAGGTTTTTTTCTTCATTGGTCATTGGTCATTGGGTTTCAAGAAAAGCACTTTTTTCAGGAATCAAAGAAGCAGTGATGGAAGGAAAAGCAGAGAAAACCGATGAGCCCTGATTGGCGGTGAAACTTCCAGGAAATATCACTTGCCTCTTGATTAGGGGAAATCACTTTTGAGTGACCCTGAATTTTGTGCCCCAAGCATAGATTCTGGCAGAAAGAAATGATCTGGACTGATGACACACTACAGCATTCAGTCATGTGGAAAGAATGATCTTCAGGAAAAATCACACCCTTGGCAAAGGCTTTTTACAGAGGCAAGGGCGAGCCGGCCAATTCTGACAATATTCCAGTGGCAAGGGAGCCAGGCTGACTTAGTCATCATTACTTATGTTTCTTCTCTTCCTCCCACATCTCCTTGTATAACTGTCTTTTGGGGAGGGGTGAAGTGATAGTAAGAAAAACAACAGCACTTTGAAAAAGGGGTGGGGGGAGAAACAAGAAGGAGAGAAGGAGTTGGGAAGAGCTCTTGAGTGATGGGGAGATGGCACTGGGGACATTCTGGAGCCTGACAGAACTGTGTGGTCCCTCCAGCCTGAGATGCTGGGAAAACAGGAAGGGATTTGGGAGATGGCAGAGATGAAGTTGGCTCACAAAATGCAGGGCTCCCTTAGCACTTCACAAATACCAGCTTACGAATTAATCATTACAAACACTCCGCAGTCATCAGGAAACCCTTGATGGATGGAGAAAGATGCACAGAGATCAAAGTTCAGGGGCAGCAGCAATATTCATTTGGGGCAATTGGAGTGACAGCAGCACGGGTTCACAGCCTGGTTGACCTCAGAGGCTTTCTCATCTCTTGCAAGATTTGGAAGCTATGCAAAAGGTGTAATGGGGAGAGGCGCTGATGTCAGGCATTTATGGGACCACTGAGGGGGGCAAAGAGGCAGGACAAAAAGCCAGTGACGATGGGTCAACAGCTGCAGGTAGACCCATTTGCAGGTTATTAGAAACTAACTTATCTATCCAGCTCTCTCTTTTTTTTTTTTTTTTTTTGAGATAAGAGTCTTGCTCTGTCACCCAGACTGGAGTGCAGTGGCGTGATCTCGGCTCACTGCAACCTCCACTTCCTGGTTCACGCCATTCTCCTGCCTCAGCCTCCTAAGTAGCTGGGACTACAGGCGCCTGGCACCACGCCCAGCTAATTTTTTTGTAATTTTAGTTGAGATGGGGTTTCACCGCGTCAGCCAGGATGGTCTCGAACTCCTGACCTTGTGATCCACCCGCCTTGGCCTCCCAAAGTGCTGGGATTACAGGCGTAAGCCACCATGCCCAGCCCTCCAGCTCTCTTTTTGTGGTTACCTTAGACACTATGAATCTACGTGAAAACCAAGACGATTGATCCTTCGAGTGACTGCAGGTGTCCAACGGGCTGTGTTTTTTGCTTCTAAGCGACAGGCAATTCCATGTGCGAGTTTAACACCCTGATAGGCCCTAGCCTTAACTATGTTTTAAACTCCCCAAAAGTGTTTTTGTGTTTGTGTGCATGTGAGGGAGATACCTTAAAATCCAGCAATGCTGCTTCCACAGTGCTCTCCTGGGCCCCTTCCAAAGATAGTAATAATATGGGCAGCTGGTTTCGATTTTTATACTTCCAACAGCTACTCTGTGAAAACGGTGTGCAGCAACAGCCAGGCAATCCATACATACTTATTAAATGTGCTGGGCACTGGGTACTGGTCCTGGAATTCTCCTGGTTGTAGGCAAGCTGGGGGACAGGGAGGTGAGAGCTGGAATCGTCATTCTGAAGTGTGATATTTATTGGATCCCATACTAGGCGACTGATGGAGAGGGGCTACCACTCTTCCAGCTGAACCCCGCTCTGGTTGGGACCCAGCGATTATTTTCCATAGCGAAGTGTTCATAAAATATCTATTACTTCCAACACAACCTCCTGGGGGAAGGGACCTGTCTGTCTGTTTCAATTCTGGATCCTCAGCACCCACATCAGGGTACCTGGCCCGAGGTGAGTGCTGTAGAAATAGTTGTTGAATGAATGCATGAAGGCCTGCTCTGCCTGAGGGCTGGGGACAGATTGGGTATTTTCTGTGTCCCCTCCAGAGCATCCGGTGGCCCAGTTTTAGGTCTCAAGGTCACTGCCAAGAAAGAGAAGCTGCTAAAGTGACACCTCAGTGCACCCACATGACTCAACACAAAAGTTAACAGGAACTCTTCAAAAACCAGCCTCTCAAGTGTCTGCCTCCTGTCGTCCCTGAGGACAGCATCAGTGGCATCAGATAGGGGTGGGGGCTGGGTGACCTGCTGGTCCTCAGCCATCACCTCATCCACAGCTCTCTGCTTAGCAGACAGGCAGAGGGAATAGATGGAAGGTACAGGTAAACACTGCATGTGGCCACCGCAAGGACACCCCAGAGCCTGGGAAACGGACAGGGACATCGTAAAACCAACACATAATGGACGAGTGCAGAGAGACGCAAAACCAGTCAGAAGAAGTAGCATGGTGCCTAGCCCAGGGACACCTGACTTAAGGTATTTTTGTTCATTTGTTTTGTTTTTGGAGACGGGGTCTCTCTCTGTCACCCAGGCTGGAGTGCAGTGGCACACTCACTGCTCCCTGCAGTCTCAACCGCCTAGGCTTAAGCGATCCTCCCACCTCAGCCTCCTTAGTAGTAGCTGGGACTACAGGTGTGCACCACCACACCCAGTTAATTTTTTGTATTTTTTTGTAGAGACGGGGTTTCGCCATGTTGCCCAGGCTGATCTGAAACTCCTAGGCTCAAGCAATCTGCCCGCCTCGGCCTCCCAAAGTGTAGGGATTACAGGCGTGAGGCACCACACCTGGTTGACCTAAGGTATTAACTAAAGAAAGCAGGTGATTCTCAGGGGGGCCTATGAAAGCAGCCTGCCTAGAGGAAGGGAACATACCATGAAGGCATTGTCTTCTGAGACTCAGTCCAGGAGAAGCAGGTCTTTTAGACCCAATGACAACGCTCCCTAGTGTGCAGATGCATCTCTCTGACTACAAAAGGCAGTGTGGTTGTGATATTTTATATATACGGTTTTTGTTATTGTTGTTTTTGGGATAGGGTCTCTGTCACCCAGGCTGGAGTGCAGTCGTAAGAACATGGCTCACTGCAGCCTCAAATTCCCAGTTGCAAGCAATCCTCCCACCTCAGCTTCCTGAGTAGCTGTAACTACAGGCATGTACCAGCTGGCTAATTTCTCACATTTTTTTGTAGAGACTGGGTCTCACTGTGTTGGCCACGCTGGTCTCAAACTCCTGGGCTTAGGCAATCCTCCTGCCTCGGCCTCCCTCAGTAGTGGGGTTACAGGCGTGAACCACTGCACCAAGCCCATATTTTGTTTTTTGTCCACAGTTCCTGGCTTATAACTCCCATGGCCCTTGTTACAGTAAACACGATCTCACTCTCTGACATTCTTCTACCCTCCTTTCACCTGCCCACAGCAGGACTCTAATCTGATTCTGGGTCTAATCTCATTGCAGAGAGGATCCTGCCGGATACCCTGGAGGAAGGAACGCTGCACAGAGAAGCTGAGAAGAGTTTGAACAGACAGGCCTTGCTGGGTTTAGATCTCTTTTTGTCCAATCCCATTTTGACACAGTTGTCCATGCTTCAATCATACTTATCCAATGAGGTTTCCATAACAGGCCTGAGAGGACCGGGTTCAGGAGCTTCCAGACAGCTGAGCAGGTGGAGGTTCCTGGAGGGTGGTGTGCCAGGGAGAGTGCGGAAGCTCCGCCCCTTGCCCCATACCTTGCCCTATGCGTTCCTTCATCTGCATTCTTTAGTTTTTATTATTTTTTTTGAGATGGAGTCTCGCTGTTGTCGCCCAGGCTGCAGGGCAATGGCACGCGATCTCAGCCCACTGCAACTTCCACCTCCCAGGTTCAAGCGATTCTCCTGCCTCATCCTCCTGAGTAGCTGGGATTACAGGCACCCATGTATCAGCCACCATGCCCAGGTAATTTTTGTATTTTTAGTAGAGACGGGGTTTCACCATGTTGGCCAGGCTAGTCTTGAACTCCTGACCTCAGGTGATCCACCCACCTCAGCCTCCCAAAGTGTTGGGATTACAGGCGTGAGCCACTGTGCCTGGCCTGTATCCTTTATAGTATCTTTTATAAACAACCAATCAGTAAATGTGTTACTCTGACTTCTGTGAGCTGCTCTAGCAAATTAATCAAATCCACAGAGGGGTCATGGGAACCCCAACTTGAAGCCTGTCGGTCAGAAGTTCCAGAGTCCCGGACTTGTGACTGGTGTCTGAAGTGGGCAAGTCTTGGGGACCGAGCCCCCAGCCTGTGGGATCTGATGCTGTCTCCACGTAGATAGCAATGGAATTGAATTGGCGGACCCTCGGCTGGTGTTTGCTGCAGAGCTCATTGCTTGCTTGGTGGTGGAGAGAAGTCTCCCTCCACATGTGGTCACAGCATCTTCTGTCTGTGTTGATTGCTTTTGGTGTTGATCGAGAGAACAGGAAAAAGCACATTGAATGGCATTCTTTTTCCCCATATTCAAAGTGGTGTAATTGTTAGGAGGTGGGTTTGGAAATCCCAGTGGGGTGACCTTGGCCAAATTACCTTTCTGGCCTCAGTTTCATTGTCTATAAAATGGGATCCTCTCAAGCACTCCTATCTCTTCCTGGAGTGCTTGAGAGGATTCAATGAGAAAATTTATGGAAAGTGTTTACTTCAGTGCATGGCACATAGTAAAAGCTCAAAAAGGTCTCAATGATGAAGATGACAATAATCTTGCTTCTAGGTTGTCATGTGGCAGGCAACAGCTGTGCAGATCCTAATAATCTACTCTGGGTGACAGTTTAACACAGGGGTTGGCAAACGTGGCCCACTTCCTATTTTTATAAATAAAGTTTTATTGAAACATGGCCATGGTCATTCATTTATGTATCATACTGCACTGGTAGAGTTGAGTGGTGGTAATGAGACACCTATGGTCAATAAAGCCCTTTAGAGAAGAAAAGATTTACTATTTGGCCCTTTACAGAAAAAGTCTGTCCTCCTGTCTTCATTCATTAGTGGACAACCAGCTGGTTCCTGGACTTCCCTGAGGAAAGTGCTATATTAAGCAGTTGTGGGTATGAAGTCTGAGCTTCAACACTTGCTCTGTGACCTTGGGCAAGTTACTTACCTACTCTGGACTCATCATTTTCACAGGTATAACAGGAGTGATGACATGGTGGGGATGAAGTGGGCTATTGTCTGGACCACGTTTTGCATAGGGTCTGATGGCCAGGAAGGACTCTATACAAAGTAGTTACTATTATTAGCTATTATATTTCAACTGATGAAATGTACAGAGAAACTCCCAGGAAGAGGGTCTCTTTAAAGAACACCCAGCAGTAATCCCATACATAGCCAACAAGATATGTGGACGTCAAAAGTAAGTGCTCCCATGCAACATACCCAGTAAATTAATGATTCCACTTCCTTTTCAGTCAAAGCAGTGGATCAGAATTTGAAAAGGAGTAAAGGTCAAGGCCATGAGGTCTAACTGACATGGTAGCATCAGTGCCTGGCCCATAGTAGGCCCCCAGTGTCTGCTGGCTGAATGGATGGAGGCTGGTTGTTTAACTGTAACACCATACTCTCTGATGATAAGACCACAGTTAGCCAGAAGATAAAGTTTCTGCCTCCAATATTTTTGGGTCCTAGAAAGGAAAACAGTGTGCTAAAGATGATAGGTAACTCAAAACAAGGACCTGCTAACGCTTCCCCCAACTGGACAGAGGCATTGCAACGGATCCCTGGGCAACAGATGGCAAAGAAAAATGTTTAAAAACAAAAGCAGGCACATAAGGTCATGAATTGGCCCAAAATAACCTGGGACACTGAGCAGACGGACGCAAGCAGCACACCTGATGGAAATGAGGCCAAGCTGATGAACTGAAATAGCCTCACCAGTGCCCTCCGTCCTGCTTTAGGAGGCCTCAGGATGGAAAAGAGGCATGCATTAGTATTATCAGGTTTAAGTTTCCTCACATCCTTAGTGGATTGCTTTCATTCCTAAGTCCCTAAAAAATTGGATACCACTCCACTTACCAGGAGCACGCTTTGGAATGCAGATCTGGAAGCTATTTTTTCCCTCCAGACATTTCATGACTTTGGTTTCTACAACAGCAGGCGATGGTGACACTGCCAAGTTTCAAGAGAAGGGCACCTTATCTGCAAAGTCACGAATCCAAGGATCCACATGGGCTCCCACTGGCAAGGGCGGAAGGAAGTTGTTTGTCTTAGCTTCTTGAAAGATCAGAAGAAGACTGGGAGGTTTGGGTATACAGGTACGTCATTGTACCGTGGTGCAACCCCCAGGGGAAAGACAGCTGCTAGCTTCTCAGAATCAGTAGTGGGTGGGGGCTGTGTAGCAGAGCGTCATAGTAAATGCCCATTTGGTTGCAATGAACAGAAACTCAAACCAGCTAAAGCAAAAAGGGGGCATCTATAGGGAAGAAAAGCCAGCTCCTGACATCCAAGCCTGACTCTTCAGCTTTGCTTAGCCACTGATTCTCTGACCCTCCTCATTTCCTTCCAGTAAACTCTCTTTCTGTTTAAGTTAGCCACAGGAGGTATCTGTTGTTTACAACCAAGGGATCTTGAGTGATACAAAGGGTCCTAGTGGAACCCAAGGGCAGGCATTGGAACTGGCCTTCACAAGGAAGGGAACTGGGAATAGAAAGTCATTGGGAATCAAGGTAACTTTCTCCTGGGTCAGCTGGGAATGCATTCAGCTTCAAATAGCAGAAAACTCAATGTGAGTAGATTGTAAAAATTTGGAGCTCCTCCCGCACCGACTCTGGCTTTATCTGATAGGATATTAACAAACACAAGGCAAGTAGAGACTTGAAAAGTGCTTGTGTATTGGGGCTTGTTCTCACCTGCTGCTCTTGGGAACCTGTGGCCACCACATGTGAATGAGCCTAGTCCAGTCGGCTGAAGAATGAGTGGGCCTGCTGAGCGGAGACAAAGTGTGGCAGTGGAAGGCCTCTCTAGACCAGGTTTCTCAACCTCAGTGCTATTGACATTTTAGATCAAATAATTCTTTGTTGTGGGGAGTTCTTTTATCCATTGTAGAATGTTTAGCAGCACCTTTGGCCTCTACCTCTAGATGGGCACCTATACTTCCTTTGTTGTGACAACTAAAATTATGTCCAAACATGGCCAAAGTTCTCTTGCGCAGCAAAATTGCTCCTTGTTGAGAACTACTGCCTTAACCCAACTTGCCTGCCAAGGCCAGGTGTATGAAAGAGGCCATTCTAAATCATCCAGCCCCAGCCAAGACAGTCCAGACAGGACAAGTGTGCACTTGATCCATGGAATCAAAAGAAATAATAAATATTTGTCATTTTAAGTCACTCAGTTTTGGGTGGTTTGTTCCACAGCACAAATACATAGATCTGACTACAGTGGCTTAAATAGATAGGGATTTATTTGTCTTATACAACAGGAAGTACAGAGGTAGGCAGTTCATTCATGGTTCAGAGCTCAGCGATGCCACTGGGTGCCCACCTGGGCCTTCTCATCCCTCCACTCCACTATCCTTTGCCCTGCTACTGGTGTCTGCTGATCCCCAAGGTGGCTGCTCCAGCTTCTGTTCTGACCTCCAGGAATGAGAAAGGAGACAAGACAAAGGTACCAAGGGTGAATGCCTTCTCCTAGAGAAGCTGGAAGGGAAGCCCTCCACAGGGGCTTTTCCTTATATGTCATGAGCCAGATTGGTCCAACATGGCCTGCCCTAGCTGCAAGGGAGGCAGGAAAATCATGGCGATTAGCTTTGAGCCTATATGGTAGAGGAAAGTGATGTCTGAGCAATGACTAGGTAGACTTAGTATCTGCTGAGTAGCTGCAGTATCTGCTGCACTGCCTCTTGAGGTTCTGTGGGTTTTTTTGTCTCTCCTTGTTGCATATCTATTCCAGCCTCTTTTTCTGACGACTGGCTTTGTTTCCCTGAACACAAGTGGGGAAATGGCTGCTCTAGCCCTGGAACTGCATCAAGACTCTCAGCTCTATATTTGGGGATATGATACAGTCTAATACCAGGTTCTTTAATGTATTAGGTTTTTGAACATTTCTGAGATTTTCTAGAATATTTGTAAAGTCATGTTACACTCCCATTTCTTACTGACTTTATTTATTTATTTTTGAGACAAGGTCTTGCTCTGTTGCCCAGGCTGGAATGCAGTGGGATCACTGGGCTCAAGTGATCCTCCCAGCACAGCCTCCCAAATAGCTGTGACTACTGGCACACACTACCACACCAGCTAATTTTTAAGTTTCTTGCAGAGACAGGGTCTCACTATATTGTCCAGGCTGATCTGGAACTCCTCAAGCAACTCCTCAAAACTTGAGCCTCTCAAAGTGTTAGGATTATGGGTGTGAGCCACCATGCCCGGCCTCTCACTGGCTTTAGATCCTAACCATGTGTAAGACGTGCCTCCTATGGAATATCACACAAAGAGTTTGTCCTACTTCCCCCAGGTTTAATGGGTTTAAAGAATACATTTGGTTTTAAAATATTAAAAGACATTTTTATTGTGCCTTTTTAAAAATAAAAAAAAAAGCAGTCTGGGCGCAGTAGCTCACGCCTGTAATCCTATCACTTTGGGAGGCTGAGGCGAGTGGATCACCTGAGGTCAGGAGTTCAAGACCAGACTGGCCAACATGGTGAAACCCCATCTCTACTAAAAATACAAAAAATGAACTGGATGTGGTGGTGGATGCCTGTAATCCCAGCTGCTCAGGAGGCTGAGGCTGGAGAATCACTTGAACGGGGGCGGTGGTCAGCTTGATCACATGGGAGGGAGGGGCGATAGGTGGGTCGGAACAGTGACCATTCTACTAAAAAAAAAAATAGCCGGGTGGCGGGCGTGTTCAGCTGGGGCTGAGGCAGGAGGTGCCAGGAGGGGGCTGAGGGCCAGATGCCCATTGCACTCCACCTGGGCTAAGAAGATTTCAAAAAAAAAAAAAAAAAAAAAAAAAAGAATGGTGCATGCATCCACCTGGCGACAAGAGCAAAACTCCATCTCAAAAAAAAAAAAAAAAAAAGTATTCGTGACTTCTGGCTCTTCCATTTTTTTTTTTTTTTTTTTGGCTGTGTGGCCACACAAGAATGGCAGTGAGGGGATGGATGGATGGAGAGAAGGCAGAACTTGGAAGGAGCAGAGAGTACAGCAAGGAAAATGGGGGTCTCTCCAAACACAGTGGAACAGGAGTGTGCGTACCTAGGCCGTGTGTGCTCTTTGGTGACTAGGAACTTGGTCTGTCCTTGTGGCCTGGGACTGTAACAACTAGGCCATCTGGTGTATCAGAATGGACAGTATGAGATGGAATTAGAAACCTGGGTTCAAGACCCAAATCTTGAGTTGACCAGCTGTGTGATTTTAGGCAGGCATGTAAGTTCTCAGGGCCTCGGCTTCCTCATCTGTCAAATGGGGAATGTAATACTATTTACCTCCCAGGGCCTGGGGGAGGATTCAATGAGATGTGTTTTGAAAACTGTAGAGTGCTATGATTACAGTCGTGATTACAGAAGCAATAAAACTGATTGGTGTTCTAAATGTATTATAATAAACTGAGATTTTTTTTTTTTTTTTTTTTTTTTTTGAGATGGAGTCTTGCTCTGTCACTCAGGTTAGAGTGCAGTTGTGTGATGTTGGCTGACTGCAACCACCACCTCCCAGGTTGAAGTGATTCTCCTGTCTCAGCCTCCCCAGTAGCTGGGATTACAAGTCTGGCCAATTTTTTTTTTTTTTTTTAGATAGAGTCTCACTCTGTTACCCAGGCTGGAGTGCAATGGCATGGTCTCGGCTCACTGCAACCTCCGCCTCCCGGGTTCAAGTGATTCTCCCGCCTAAGCCTCCCGAGTAGCTGGGACTACAGGCCTGTGCCACCACACCCAGCTAATTCTTATATTTTTAGTAGAGACAGGGATTCACTATGTTTGCCAGGCTGCTCTGAAACTCCTGACTTTGTAATCTGCCTGCCTCGGCCTCCCAAAGTGCTGAGATTACAGGCGTGAGCCATCCTGCCAGATCATAACTGAGATTTGACTTCACTATCCCGAGGCCCTGGTAGTTCCAAGGCTACAATTTTGCCCTGAGGCTCCAGTACAAGTCTTAGGTTTTCTCCAGTGTGAGTCTGTTGGAACTCTTAGGAGGTTTGATATTTGGGAACATCATGACCCAATGTGGAACCACATAATTATATCTACCAGGCCTGGACATCTGGGTCACACACTTCTATTCTTCATATACCTGAGTTCGTGTACATTCATAGGTATTTTTTAAAAAGAACGCTTCTCCCCACACACTCCAAAATATAACACTGTTCAAAATACCAGTCTAGAAAGCGAAACACTAGGGTAACAATCTTTAAAGTCCTACAAAAGCAACTCAGTATTTTGACACAGATGACACAGAAGAGTCACATTAACTCACACAGGATCACACGAGGCCTGGTGGGACGAAGTTTCTCTAGTACTTTCCACTGGGCTTAGAATGCAAAAGGCTCTGGCTGGACTTGCTGGAGGTCTCTTTTCTCAGCATCTCTCTTTCTTGGTCCATCTTTAGGGAGGCTTTTCTGGTTCCGACCTTTAACAAGCAAGAGAAAAAACACACAAACCCCATTGCAGCAAGACTCCAATTGTTCCACTCAAGTGGTTTTGTTATTTTTTATTTAATTTAATTAATTACTTTATTTTTTGAGATGGAATCTCGCTTTGTCGCCCAGGCTGGAGTGCAGTGGTGTGATCTCGGCTCACAGCAAGCTCTGCCTCCTGGGTTCATGCCATTCTCCTGCCTCAGCCTCCCGAGTAGCTGGGACTATAGGCACCGCCACAACGCCCAGCTAATTTTTTTGTATTTTTTTTTTTTTTTAGTAGAGACAGGGTTTCACCGTGTTAGCCAGGATGGTCTCGATCTCCTGACCTCGTGATCCACCCACCTCGGCCTCCCAAAGTGCTGGGATTACAGGCTTGAGCTACCACGCCTGGCTTTATTTAACTATTTTTAACACGAGGAGGACTAGACACTTTCCATGTATTTTATTGTATTGTACTTATTTACTTATTATTATTATTATTTTTTTTTTTTTTTGAGATAGAGTCTTGTTCTGTGGCCCAGGCTTGAGTGCAGTGGCATGATCTCCGCTCACTGCAACCTCCACCTCCCGGATTCAAGTGATTCTCCTGCCTCAGTTTCCCAAGCAGCTGGGACTACAGGCACATGCCACCATGCCCGGCAATTTTTGTATTTTTAGTAGACACGGGATTTCACCATGTTGGTCAGGCTGGTCTCAAACTCCTGACCTCAAGTGATCTGCCTGCCTCAGCCTCCCAAACTGCTAGGATTACAGGCATGAGCCACCACACCTGGCTGGTTTTGTTATTTTTTTGTACACAAAATAAAATGTTTGTTGTAAAATATATATATATATATATATACACACACACACACACACACACACATACACATACACGTACACACATAGATATGAGCAAAAAAGAGATAAAACAATTTATTATCATCACATTACTCAAAGATGAGCCTTAGCCTTAGTAAGGTTTTGGGGTGCACCCTTCCAGGTATAAAGATATTGCTTTCCCTTTCTCTATTTTCTTTTCTTTTTTCTTGATATGGGGTCTCACTATGTTGCCCAGGCTGGAGTGCTGTGGAGCAATCCTGGCTCACTGCAGCCTCGACCTCCTCAGGCTCAGGTGATCCTCCAAACTCAGCCTCCCGAGTAAGCTGGGACTATGGGTGTGCACTACTATACCCAACTAATTATTTTATTTTATTTTTTGTAGAGACGAGGTTTTGCCATGTTGCTCAAGCTGCTCTCGAATTCCTGGGCTCAAGTGATCTGCCCTCCTTGGCCTCCCAAAGTGCTGGGATTACAGGCGTGAGCCACCAAGCCTGGTCCATTTACATGTTTTTTAGTTTGAAACCAGGAGGTTATTATGGTAAGCACATTCATTGTGATGGTGTTTCTCCTGAAAAGCTGTTACTGAATTGAATGTGTCTAAAGTCTCTGATGGCTTAGAACCGGGTGTCCAATCTTTTGGCTTCCCTGGGCCACAATGGAAGAAGAATTGTGTTGGGCCACAGGTAAAATACACTAACACTACCAATAGCTGATGAGCTAAAGCAAAAAAAAAAAATTATCCCCTAATGTTTTAAGAATGTTTACGGATTACTATTGGGCTGCATTCAAAGCTGTCCTGGGCCGCAGGGTGGACAAGCTTGGCTTAGAAGGAGGAAATGAAGTCTATTTAAGGGGGTCTGTTTAATCTCTTGAGCACTTCCCAGCTCAAAGGAGGGGGCATCCTGGTGGCCACATGCATGACCCCACTCCCAGGCTGTATTTGTTGGACACTTGGCACAGCCGGGCTTTTCCGATGCCCACTCCTAGGAGTCGGGGTAATGGACTGTGAGATGCCACTCACTCCCTGGGCTGGCCCTTTGAACTGAGGGACTGTAAGGTTGTCCCTTCCTGTCACACGACTGGAGAGAGAAGAAATCAGCAGAGGTATGGAGAGGGGGAGAGAAATGACAGAGACGTGTGTGTGCCCGAGTGCGTGCATGCATGAGACAGACGATGCCTGGGCTATCCTAGTTCTCTCCCATAGCTTTTATGAGGCATTCATTTCTGTATCTTTATAAAAGCCCTCCGCTCTGCCCCCTTTCTGAGTAGGTTGTTAACTGCAACCCAAGATCTCTCTCTCAAACAATTCTGGACACACTGTAGACACTACTGTGGCTTGCAAGTTTCTTGCCAACAGGATTTCCCTTGCCGACCCTGTCTCCTGCATAGCTTTGCCACCAGCCTTCAGGCTGCACATACACCTGGGGCAAGAGGGCTGGGTGGCCAGTCGCGTTTCAGCTCTGCCACTCGCTACGTGATCCTCAGTTTCCTCATCTGCCAAATAGGGATGAATATCCATCCTGCCTTCCTCAGAGGGCAGAGAGGAGATTCTGGGAGGATTTCAATGGAAGGGACTGTTAGGACTATCGCTTAAGCTCTTTCCACCTTAAGATGGATTTAAAAATCACCTCCTGAGCCCATGGCAGTGGCTGATGGGAGCCTCAAATGTGTTTTGAGACTCTGCATTCAAGATCGTTTCAGGGCAAGAAAGGGTAAGTCAGTCCCATACCAGCCCACAAAGTAAATATTTGTCTGAATGCCCAGGGAAAAAGAAAACAGACAGCAAACTCAAAAGCCTTCCCCCTTAAACAACCCTTACTTTATATTCCTTTTCATTTGATTTTCAATAAAATTGCCTACTGTGGATGGTTTCCAAATGCCAGTGCCCTGAGCCGGTGTGGAGTTGGCTATCAGAGTTGGAGCCGGGGAGTTATTTAAAGAGTCCCAGGTCCCCGGTCCCCAACCCCAGGGCTGCCAGGAGCATGGGATGGGAAGCACCAGGGAAGGGGCTTTGGTTCTCTTCATGAAGTGACAAGGGATGGGGCAGCAGAAGGCAGCCAGGACGGCTGCCCTAGGAATGGGGAATGCGAAATGCACAGATTCCGTTAGAGATATTTGGAACCACGTGCCTCACCCTTAGAATGAAAAGGCAGGGGTAGAAGTCAGTCATTTAAATAGTGACACCCAGGTGTGAATGACCTCAGGCCATCCTGGGGTGGCTGCTTCAGGGAACTGCAAGCCTCAGCTCTAGGAATCCCCCTGGCCACTCCCACACCACCTCAGGAATGGGTTTAAATATCTGGTCCTTGGCCGGGCACGGTGGCTCACGCCTGTAATCCCAGCATTTTCGGAGGCCGAGGTGGGCGGATCACGAGGTCAGGAGATCCAGACCACGGTGAAACGGGCCCGATGGCGGGCGCCTGTAGTCCCAGCTACTTGGGAGGGTGAGGCAGGAGAATGGTGTGAACCCGGGAGGCGGAGCTTGCAGTGAGCCGAGATGGCGCCACTGCACTCCAGCCTGGGCAACACAGCGAGACTCCGTCTGAAAACAAACAAACAAACAAACAAACAAACAACATCCGGTCCTCGAGGAGGCGTCTCCTGGAGCTTGGACGGGGGGTGAAGGGGTCCCTGTGAAATATGCTCAGTTTCGTCCAGAGGCTTTTGTCCTCCAAACACCGGGCACAAAGTTATCAGCCCTTGCCCCCTGAGAATTCTTTCTTTCTTTATTTTTTTTGAGATGGAGTGTTGCTCTGTCCCCCAGGCTGGAGTGCAGTGGTGCGACCTCGGCTCACTGCAAGCTCCGCCTCCACTGCAAGGTTCGCCCCAGAGTAGCTGGGACTATAGGCACCGCTTCCACGCCCGGCTAATTGTTTGTATTTTTAGTAGAGACGGGGTTTCACCTTATTAACCAGGATGGTCTCAATCTCCTGACGTCATGATCTGCCCTCCTAACCAGAGCAGCAGCCACCTTCTAGTAGTCTTAGGACAATGGTGTCAGTTAAGAAGAGGCTTCTATTTTCCAAAAATATCCCTTGCATAGAATATCTTCAGTTTTTCCAATGATAATTTTGTTGTCTCAGAATAACTGTGGCCTTTTATCAAACTTGTTAAATAAGTCTTTCTTATTCAACCGAAATGTATTTTGCTTTCAAGCTTCCTGAGAGCTTGCCTCTACTTTCTGCAAAGCAGGAGTGTGGATTGGATCAATTCCAGTTCCAGGGCTGATTTGTGAATGGCAATGATTCAACGTGTTTAAGATTTTATAGACTTGATTAAAAAAGAGTATTCAGCCGGGTGCGGTGGCTCACTCCTGTAATCCCAGCACTTCAGGAGGCTGAGGCAGGCGGATCACGAGGTCAGAAGATCGAGACTATCCTGGCTAACACGGTGAAACCCTGTCTCTACTAAAAATATAAAAAAAATTAGCCAGGTGTGGCAGCACGCACCTGTAGTCCAAGCTACTTGGGAGGCTGGGGCAGGAGAATTGTTTGATCCTGGGAGGCAGAGGTTGCAGTGAGCTGAGATCTAGCCACTGCACTCCAGCCTGGACAACAGAGTGAGACTCCATCTGAAACAAAACAAAACAAAACAAAAAACAGAATTCTAGAGGATGCTCTTTCTGCTCACCTGGGAATTTGAGTTCTGCATCCTGTTCTTCACCATCTTTACAAATACTCGTCTCTTTAATACAGAAATAATAGGAACAGAATTTAGCTTAGATTCCTCTTTGCCTTTTGCATCAAAGAAAAATGGATTTTTCTCCACTCTTAGATGCTACCCATTTGGAATGCTGGGCCTTCCCAGGGACAGCATTCCAGATGAGTAGCACATGAAAATTGAGAAAAATCCATTTTCTCAACAAGAAGGGGGCACAGCTTTTGGGAACCACGGTGCCCCATCTTGCTGAGTCTCTTGGGGGTCTCTGTTCTAGATTTCAGCAGAGGTGGAGGCTGCTCAACCCAGGGCCTGTGAAGGACACTGCTCTTCGCGGAGGACACGTCTGTTTTAGCTGGAGGCAGCGCCTCCAGAGCAGGTGGAAGGGCTGCAGATGCCCGGTGGTTCACACCTTGGCATCCCAATGGCTCAGGGATGGTGGGGCCCATGATGGTTGAACTCCCTTCAGGGGGGCCTGTTGAATGCCATCGTCACCCAGAATCTGAAGCTTGCTATTTCCCTGGGGTTTGATTTACAGTTGCTGATCCTGGGGTCCCCAAGATGTGGCACCTCAGGGACAGTTCCCTGAAGAAAGAGCAGCCCCAGATACTAGGGACCCCTCAGGGAGGGAGGGAGCTGGGCCCCCTCAGAGATCCCTGACTTTCCCCGGGGGTCACCAACCTCATGCCCATAGGGGCCAGGAAGTCAAAGGCGGCGGCGAGATGGACATGGCAGCAAACCCAGGGGCCGGGGTCCTTTCTAAGGGGCTGGAAGCTGGTGGCGTGTGGGACTGTGGGCCTAGTGTCACCAGCAGATCCAAGTTTCCCAAAGAAGTCAGAAATCTGGAGTATTCTGTTAAAGTGCCATTTTTTTTTGTTTTTTTTTGTTTTTGTTTTTGGTTTTTTTTGAGACAGAGTCTTGCTCTGTTGCCCAGGCTGGAGGGCAGTGGCGAGATCTCAGCTCACTGCAACCTTTGCTTCCCAGGTTCAAGTGATTCTCCAGCCTCAGCCTCCCGAGTAGCTGGGATTACAGGTGCCTACCACCACACCCGGCTAATTTTTGTATTTTTAGTAGAGATGAGGTTTCACCACGCTGGCCAGGCTGGTCTGGAACTCCTGACCTCAAGTGATCGGCCTGCCTTGTCCTCCTGAAGTGCTGGGATTAGAGGCGTGAGCCACCATGCCTGGCCAAAAGTGCCTTATTTTGAAATGATACTTTAACAAACCCCCAAAACAAAAAAAAAATTCCAAGGGCCAAAAGAGGCATAGCCTTGGGCTGCCATTTTGTGACGTCTGCCTCAGGGCCGCCCTGCTTGGCATCTAGCTGGCGCTCAGTGGACAGCTGTGGGTTGCCAGATAAAATACAGGATACCCAGTTACATGTGAATTTCAGAATGAAAACAAACACTTTAAGTATGTCCCATGCAATATTTGGAACATACTTAACACTAAATCACTATTTGTTATTAATCTGAAATTCAAATATAACTGGGTATCTTGTTTTATTTTTTTCCTTTAAATCTGGCAACCCCATTTGGCATTCCCCAGACCCACGGGGACAGCGAGTCAGGCTGTCTTTTAGGATAGGGACATAGGTGCTCATAAGTCTCCACTGTTCTCCCACAGCAACAGGCTGTGAAGACTCGTGGCCTGTATTTAGCTGACAGTTGACCTCTAGAAGGCCTGCAGCCTGCAGCCACTCAATATTTATCACAAAGTTAGTGAGAGGAACAAATTCAGCAGAGAGTCATCATTTCAGATATTGCCAGGCAATGGTTTTAAACCTCTCTTCCCTCCTAATTTCTTCTTTTCCAGCAGGTTTTGTTTGTTTGTTTTTGTTTTTGTTTTTGAGACAGGTTCTTGCTCTGTTGCCCAGGCTAGGGTTCAGCGGTATGCTCAAGTGGCTCATCGCAGTCTTGAAATCTGGGCTCAAGAGATTGTCCCACCTCAGCCTCCCGAGTAACTGGGACTACAGGTGTACGCCACCATGCCTAATTTTTTGTGCTTTTGTAGAGCCAGGGTTTCCCAATGTTGCCCAGGCTGATCTCGAACTCCTGGGCTCAAGTCATCCGCCTGCCTTGGCCTGTCAACATTCTGGGATTACAGGTGTGCCAGCAGGATTCTTTACCCACACAAAGTCCGCTCAGTGGACACCTGAGCACTGGAGAGCAGAGCCCCACCCCGTACAGATCTGCTAGATCTGCTTTTACTGAACTTGACTGGATTCAGTGGGATGTGATGACATCCATCTGTCTCAAGGGCTGTTCTCAGCCGTGGCTCAGCCCACGTCACCCCACGAAGGCTGTTCTTCAAGATGCTGCTCTTTACGTCGCACACCGTCCCCTCCAGGGGGAAAGTCCAGCAAGGTCTTTGTTCTAAGAGCACTTGCGAGCGTCCATCCATTGTATCTCATGGACACTGTGAACTGTGACCAAGTTGATTTCCCATTTCTCATTGGCTGCCAGGAAGGTGGGAGTCGAACAGGGCTCCCCCTCGGCAGCGGTGGAAGTGCTTATGCAAGGCACTTTCATCCTCATTCCCGCTCCGTTTTGTAACCACTCCCACCTTCTTTCACCCCCCTCATTTCACTCTTAGGACAGGGGTTCCTGGGGCTCCTCACTCCTCCCTTCTTCTCTTAGGACCTTGTCTCCAAGTCCCCAAGTCACTTAGTGGCCTAGGAAGGCTGCTCCATGAGCTAAAGCTGCGCTGGAATATCCCTTCTGCCTTCTCTCACCTTAACGGACTGGGCTTGATGCTTGCTTGTCTCTTAGGTCATCCATTCAAATGAGGCAGGGGCTGGGGAGGGAAGGGAAGGAAGGGAGGGAGGGAGGGAGGGAGGTGGGGCAGGGGCTGGGGAGGGAAGGGAAGGGAGGGAGGGAGGGAGGGGGAGGGAGAGGGAAGAGAAGGGAGGGAGGGAGGTGGGGCAGGGGCTGGGGAGGGAAGGGGGGGAAGGAGGGGGGGCAGGGGCTGGGGATGGAAGGTAGGGAGGGAGGTGTGCGGTGCTCCTTGGGCAGCGCGTGCAGGCGTTTGCACGCCAAGAGCTCTTACCCCATGTTGAGACTGACTCTACTGTGTCTGCAACATCAGAACACCTCCCATACCTGCTTCTCTTTCTCTTTGAAGGCACAGTTGCAAGGTGTCGGTTCTTTTGCGTTTTTCGGTTCGTGCTCCTCTACACTTTCCTGAGTGAAAAGTTTCAGGTTAGCAAGAGAGCGCTAACCTTAGTGTATCCTTACCTGTTCCAGTCTGGGACAGGCATCTGAGGTTTCTAGAAGATGCTGGGACTTACTCAGATAGGTGGGCAGAAGATAGGGGATCACTGCAGGGGAGTCTTTTTCTTTTTTATTTGAGACAGGGTCTCACTCTGTCACACAGGCTGGAGTGCAGTGGCATGACCACAGCTCACTGCAGCCTCGACCTCCCAGGCTCAAGCGATCCTCCCACCTCAGCCTCCCAAGTAGCTGGGACTACAGGCATGCACCACCACACCCAGCTAAGTTTTTTCATTTTTAGTAGAGATGGGGTTTTGCCATATTGCCCAGGCTGGTCACCATCTCCTGGGCTCAAGCCATCCTCCTATATCAGGCTCCCAAAGTGCTGGGATTACAGGTGTGAGTCACCATGCCCAGCTAATTTTTTATTTTTTGTAGAGATGGGAGTCGTGCTATGTTGCCCAGGCTGGTCTCAAACTCCTGGCCTCTAGCTATCCTTCTGCCTCGGCCTCCCAAAGTGTTAGGATTACAGGCATGAGCCACTGCACCCGGCCTGGTATCTTTTTCTTGAGCCATTGTCTATCCACACACTGCACCACTCTAGCCACATTTTACTTTTCCATCCTGGTGAGGGCCCGAGGTTACCACCCCCAAACCCCCATTCTATTCTCATCCCACACATCTACCAATTTCTACTTTTTGATCAAAAACACATAGTGGTGCTGAGGAAACCCGGATCTTGAAAATACCTGGGCCAATGAAAATCTTGGGAAATAGTTAAATAAAATAGTACTGATACGATGATGTAGAAAACAATACTGATATGATGGCCGAGTGTGGTGGCTCATGCCTATAATCCCAGCACTTTGGGAGGCCAAGGTGGGCAGATCACTTGAGCCCAGGAGCTCCAGACCCGCCTGGGTGACACAGTAAAACTCTCTACTAAAAAATACAAAAATGACCCTCTACTGAAAAAATACAAAAATTAGCCGGGCCTGGTGGCGAGTGCCTTGTAGTCCCAGCTACTGGGGAGACTGAGGTGGGAGGATCATTTGAGCCTGGGAGGCAGAGGTTGCAGTGAGCCAAGATTGTGCCACTGCACTCCAGCCTGGGCAACAGAGCGAGACTCTGTCTCAAGCAAGCAAACAAACAAAAAGAAAAAACAAAAACAAAAAACAAAAAGAAAGAAAAGAAGAAAAAGAAAAAGAGAAAAGAGCATGATTGAGAGGTCCTGTTAGCTAAGGGTTTTTATATGCGTTCCTTCACGGGATTGACTCCTGTGGGTTAAGCACATTTTTATTTTCATCTTAAAGAAGAGGGACTTGAGCTCATAATGCAGAGGGAAGGTTAGGGGCTCCAGCCCAGCTGAGACCACTCCGCAAAGCTGTAGCCAAGCCCCTTGGGGAGGATTTGATTGGCTGGAGCCCGGAAGGGGAGCTGGGCGGCTCCCCAGCCAGAAGCAGCTAGTACATTTCAGTGGTTCTCACATTCAAGTCCTAATAAAGGCCGAGGAACAGGCTTGCATCCTTCTCCAAGGGCAACTTCTGTGTGTTTAAAATGTTCCTATTGAAAATCCCAGTCTTAATCCATTCACGAAAATATCAGCTGTTTCTTGGCTGTGGCCCTAGTTGTATTCACTAAATAGAAAAGACAGCTTTACAAAGGCACTGCCGGCTCTAGGAGGACCCAGGAAAAAGTCTCGGGGTCTGCAGGACTCGCCAGCGGGCAGGAAGCTTATTGAAAGCGATGCAGGCATTGCCCCCGCCCCCGAGTGGCCTTTTCTCTTCCCCACAGTAACCGAGTAACCGAGCTTGCTCTGTGACAGGCTCTGCTGGCATCACACCATTTAACCACCCCACGAAGCAGGTCCTGTTGTTACCGTTATTGCCGCTGTTGAGAAACCTGAGACAGAGGTAAAGTTACCTACTGAGGCTCATTCAGGGACAGCGGTAGACTTGAACCCTCTGCCCTATCTGTTGGACTCCAAAGTCTGCCTCTCATCTCAGAGAAACTCTGCCGCCTTATTTAGCAATGTGGGAAGTGAACTAGATGGGGCACAGCCTGGGCCATTGTCACTGTCACACTGTCACTGCAGGGGAGCTGTGGACCCAGAGCATCCCAGAGTTAGGAGGCCGATGACCACGAGGTTCTCTGTGAATGACCAGCACTGAGGTTTTTCCCAGCATTTTATGTCAGGTCTGATTTGCCAGAGGTATTAGTATAGAACTATGCCTTTTTTCTGTTTTAAAAGAGATGAGGTCTTGCTCTGTTGCCCAGGCTGGAGGGCAGTGGTGTGAGCATAGCTTACTGCAGCCCCAAACTACTAGGCTCAAGTGATCCTCCTGCCTTAGCCTCCCAAGTAGCTGAGACTACGGGTGTGTGGTGCCACACCTGGCTAATTTGTTTATTTTTATTTTTAGAGGTGGTGTCTTGCTATGTTGCCCAGGCTGGTCTCAACTCATCCTCCTGCCTCAGCCTCCCAAAGTTCTGGTATTACAGACGCGAGCTGCCCTGCCCGGCTGGAAGGATGACTTTTGACTTTGGGAAGTTCTGCTCAGTGAAGAGATGTTCAGGTATTAAAACTACAGTGGTTGTCTGTGTGTCGGGGGCGGGTAGTTCTGAAACGCAAGGTGACTAATTTCGTTTCCCAGAGCCTCGACTGTTCCATCTTTATGAAGGGGCGCTGAGATTTTATACAGGAGACTTGGAAAAAAATCGACCCCTTGTGAAAATATTAGGTGTGAAACTTAAAGGAATTCTACTTTCCTTTAACTTCCATTTAATGCAAATATACCCCTAGGAAGCAGCTGCTGCCCAGACAGATGTATACAGGTTCCCTTTTGAATCTTGCAACACTGAAAAAAAACTGTTTTCTGTGATGTTGTCAAACTCTTGAACAGCAAGAAAAAAAGAGATTTTTTTCCCCCTTTTTTCTTCCCTTAACAAACAGGAGTTTCTGATAACATGTTAGTCACAAACCTTAAATGTAAACTGAGCCTGGGGATGAACCCCGAGAGAAATAGTGACGGAGTAGATGGGGTGCACCCTGGAAAGGAATGAGGTAGATGAGTGGATGGGCTAGGAGGGTCGGGATTGGAGGTCACTGAGGTCCCGTTTCTGTAGCTGAGTAGCCGGGTGACACCGCCCTCCCACCTTCTCAGTTTCCCCTCAGTGGGCAGATGCCCAGCAGCCCTCCTTGCAGGCTGACATGAGGTAAGGGTGGGCCGTGCCCTGTGGGGTGCGCCTGACAGCAAGTGCTCCGTAAATAACACCATCAGCCTTGCTGTGATCGTGGCTCTACTTCTTATCAAATCTTTCCCTACGTTGTGAATTCCACAAATTTGAAAGTTCCCAGCTCCAGCTGGGGACCTGACACAGGTTTGGCTTGGCCGCCTCGGACCTTCCTCCTCCCGCTCCGTGGACGGCTGGCCAGCCCGCATTGTGTGTGCGTAGGGAGGCCATGAATAATGCATGTGGACTGATTATGTAAATCTGCAGGTTTTCTTTCATTTTCAGCCAGTGCATGACAATGGGCTTTTTAGGGCCCTCTGCTGTCCCATTCTGTGGTTTGGTGTCTCTGCTGTGGGCCTGGCCTGCCAAGCCCTGGGGGACGCTGCCTCGGGAAGGAGCGAGCTCTCCAGTGGGCACATCAAAGGACATCTCAGGCCTCTGTTGCTGCCCAGATCTCCCTGGCATGGCACAGCGTGAAAGGAAACCGTCCTCTGCCCGAGGCGGCCCCATGACATATGCAGAGGGGGGCCTGTGATGTTTAATTCAGAGTGGTGAGTGCTGGAAAGGCCGCGTCCAGAGCAGGACGTTGACTTCATTTTTGGGGCTGCAAGCCAGGGAACCTGTGGTCTGCAAGGTTTGTGGGATGAAGGCCAGGACTCTGCAAGGAGGTCACCTGGTTGGTGGAGGGCACACCCTTCCCCGGGGGTTTGACCCTCTCTGAGCTCAGGCAGGCAACACACACACACACACACACACACACACAGTGTCACACATAGACAAACCCTCATGCACATGGCACACATGTACACACACACACAAGCATGCATGCACACATAAAAGCTGACAGTTACAAGGAGGGGACTCAGGGCCAACCCCACAGAGAGCAGGAGAACTGGGGTCAGAGGGATCTGGGGTCAGGTCCCAGCCCTCCTTACCAGCCACTGTGTGCACTTGGGCGTCTCTTAACTCTCTGAGGCGCAGTTTCCTCATCTGTAAAATAGGGATCATCGTACCAGGCATGGCTATTAGAGGCTATTAGAAGCCCTATCACGCCTGCAAAGCTCAGATGAGCCCAGTCCCTGGCCTGGAGACGGTCATGAAGAGACGGTGGCTGTGGCTCTTTCCCTTACTTGCCTAACCCCAGCCTTGGGATCTGATCCGCCTTAGGCAAGAGTGAAGGAAAGGGAGAGTCCAGCTCTATTTAGAAGTTGCTGTTCCAGTGCCTTGTGGACCGCAGGAGTGGATGATGAATATGTAAACTGCAGAGCAGACAGGAAAGCCTCTCTGGTAGCTTTCAGGGAGCTTCAGAAGCCGCCTGGGTGCTGCTCATACGTGACTTGGTTTGGGGAAACTTTCCAGTGTGTAGACCCTACCGGGTCTGAGGCAGGACTCACCCAGGAGATCAGGTGCACGGGTTATGGGCAGCACGGGTCATGGGCAGCATAGGGAAGGCAGTGTCCACCGGCTGGTGCCAGGCCCTGGGCAGGTGCTTCAGAGACGGGACAAGCACCCTCACCGTCCGAAAGCACTTGGCTCCCGAGGTCTGATGACAGCAAAAGTGGACAGCAGATAGCGAGGGCTGCCTGCATTCTTTCATCCTCACCATCCGCCTGCGAGGCAGGGGCTGGAAGCTCCCATTTACTAATGAGGAAAGCAAGGCTCAGAGAGGGGAAGAGACCTGCCCAAGGTTGCATAGTTAATAAGTGCAGGGATTTGAGCCCAGGACCGGCTGACTCCTGTACTGTGTTACAGATGAGATACCAGGGTGTGTGTGTGGTGGGAGGGGACCCATTTTCCCTGGGTCACCGGCCCGAGACTGGAATCTTGGTTTCTCAACCCAGTGCTATTTCCAACTCTGCGCCAGGAAGCAAATCTCATCCTCACGCCTTTCCTCCGTGGCTCCTTCAGCCGGGAATGCCCACCCTTTCATCTCTTTGGTGGGCAAGCTCCAGCTCTCCTTTGCAGTCACTGGCAGTATCGGGGCTTTGGCAGGCCCTCCCTGCACGCGCTAGGCAGGCTGAGTGCCCTCCCTGGACTGCACAGCCCTGGCAGCCTTCGGTGATGGAATCCGCCTGAAGTCAGCTCTCTGTCTGTTCCACACTAAGGGATATGTTCTTCGACGACATCCACCTGCCCATCCACCTGTATACTCCTCAGTCCATCTATTCATCCATCTGTCTATCAATCAACCTGTCTGTCCTTCCACCCGTCCATTCACCAAATATTTACTGGGTGTCTACTGCGTGCCGGGCACTCAGAATAGTGAATCCAAATCTCCACTCTCTGAGAGCTTATATATCCCTAGCGCCTGGCAGATTAATATAAATATGAATAACAGCCACCATTCGAAAAATACAGATGAGCACCATGAGTCTCAGAGAGGTTAAGAAACCTATCTAAGGTCACATAGTAAGCGGCAGAGCTCTGGTCTAAACCTAGGTCTGTCTGATGCAAAAGCTATCCAGTTGCCTCCCTTTCCATCCATCCATGTGTTCTGCACTACCTGGATCCTCCAGGGACTTCCCTTGGCCATTGCTAATGGGAGCTGCAGGGCAGCCAGGGAGGTTCTGCCCTGGGCAGCAGCACCTCACCTTCTGCTGCCGGATGGCCCTGTTGATCCTCTTCTCCTGGCACAGCTGGTGCTCCATGCGTTCCAGGGCCTCCTTCAGCAGGGCCTTTTCTTCGGCCTCTTTGTAGATATCATCCTCCAGCTTTGCCACCTGCGACTGGTACATCTCAACGGACACTTTGCTCCGCCTAGGTGCACAGGAGAGATGGCGTCTCTTTTTCCCTTATCTTTCCCAATCACCATCAATGTGCCAGAGCTGGAAGTCTCTCAAAATACATCCAGGTGGGGCTCACTCATGAGTGTCACGCAAGCAGGAGAGCATGTCAAAGATTTGGGGCACAGAGAGCGGAACGAGCCGCTCGTCAGCCGAGTGTGTAGCGGGAGGGGATAAAGGAGGTGCTACCAGCCCCTCCCGACTTCCCGGGGAGCGGGGAACTGTGACTCTTGAAAATATGACAGAGCTGTCAACGCCACACAAGTGGGAAACCGTAAGTCGAGGGTTGTGAGAGGTGCAGCTTGCATAGAAAATAGTCCAGAGAATGGAGAAACCATGCACTTCTGCAGCCGCCATCTCAGGGACAGAATTCCCTCTACCAGGCCTAGTCAGTGCCCTCCTGTTACCTTTCTGACATTTTAGGTATTCCACACTCGGGTCTCTGTCCTCCTGTCCCAGGCCTAGGTGTCTGCTGCTAGCCTGAGTTTAGCCAGGAGAAGGGAGGCACGGGCCTTTATGCGGGGATGTAGGGGTGCCGAGGTACCTGAGCTGTTCAACGTCTTTTTCGTATCCTCTCAACAGCTCCTCTTTCCTCTCCAGTTGGTTCTTGAGCTGGGTGATCTTATCAAATACCAGGTCGAGGTCCCTTTGTCGAAGCTGGTTGACCTTGTCCCTCTCCTGGCGGGAGAGGTATTTCATGGACACGTGGCCGGACATGTCCTTGATGTTCATCAGACTTCCAAGGGTTTTGCTCATATCCAGGTACTACAAGGAAAACGTTCATGTATAAGAGGCATTACCGGAGGCCGCTGGTGGCCGCTTTAAGGAGGCCAATGTCTAATTCTGTTTCATTCACTTTCTGCAATTGCAGAGAACACACACACGCTTTGAAAGGAGTGCAACTGGGGCTTTCAGCATGACTTTCATTTCTCCCACATCCATTTACGCTATGCCTTTTTTGAGAACCGGGGGTGAAAAATGACAACAGATATAAACACTTCATTCTAACTACCCAGTTTTTCAAGGAATTTGGCTATGCGATTCCTGACCCATGCTGGGATAGTAGGTAGGTCTTGCAGAGTTATTAGAACAACTAAACAGGCATGTGAGGTTGACATTTAAACTATCCCGTGGTTAACACTGACTGCAGGGGACCCAGACTTTGGATAGCAGTGGGTTGGATGCTGGATGTACGTACCAGCTTTTCACTGAGCTCTAAAGCCTCAGCCACATCCATCTTCCCTGACTTCTCCATGGCTGAGCTGAACCTTGCGTTGCAAAGGCCATTCTGAGGCTGAAATCAGAAAGAAATGAAAGCGCTCTCTTGACATTCCATTGTGACCTTCTATGACCGGAAGCTAAAGTACTGTGTGATTGCCGGAGATTAACTCAACAGAGTTGATTTTCAGTCCGGTCCTAATCATTCCGTCTGATTCCTTTGTCAACTGCTTTCTTATAATTGTATTCCTACCCTTCAGAAAGCGACTCTGTCTTTGAAGTCTCTGTAATTATATATCACTTGTCTTGTTCTTTGATCACCGCCTGTCTTCCCTCTACAACAGTGGTTCTCAATTGGGGTGGTTTTGTCCCCTCCCCTGGGCCATTTGGCAGTGTTTGGACACATTTTTGATTGTCACAACTGCAGGCGGGGAGTGCTGCCAGCATCTAGGGGGTAGAGAGCAAAGATGCTACTAGACATCCACACGTCCCCCAATAAACTGCGCCAGACTGTGGGGTCCTAAAATATCAACAGTGCTGAGGCCTGGAAACCCTGGTCCAGATGAGAGTGCCATAGCAGCAGGGACTGGGTTGCTGTTTGCTCACTCTCCCCCTCCTTGTGCCCAGCATGGCGCCTGGCAGAGTGGGCATGTTTGTTGAATGAATGAATGCAGGTTAAACAGAAAATACCCCCCATCCTTTTATTAAAGGAGTGTCATTTTCATGCAGTGGAAACTGGACCCTCACTTCTGACGCTTTCCAGAGATGATGCAGATGGTGGGTGAGCATCACTTTAGACCCTTTCCAGAGAGGAGACAGCTGTGCACCTGCTAAGACCCTGCTCAGCCAGCTCCTTGCTGAAAGCCCCAGCCAAAGGCATAGAAAAGGCACCAGGCCAAGCGGGGAGTCTGGAGGCCATGGACAAGTCCCATACATCCCCTCACAACTAAATTGAGTTGTCAGTGCTCGCCACGGACACCAAGATCATGTCAGCTCGCAGCATTTACTGGCTCTACATTGTAAACCTGGGAGATTTAAAACAAAAACAAAAACAAAAACAACACCCATTCACAAAAATATAAAAGCCTAAAGGTGACTGTGATAGGTGTGACATATTTGTCTATATTAAGAGCGGACATATTTATCTATCTATGAGATGAGAATAAAGCAGGTATTTAAAGACGACAATAAATTGGGCAGACTTGCTACAAAAAGAACCTAAAACGCAGCTTGGTGTCTCCAGCTCCCTGAGCCGCGTCCTCTGCACTCCCCTTCAGAATCCCCTCTCTTTTCCTGCAGGTTGCAGGAGTCCGGAGGGAGGGTGGCCTAAGGAAGAGTCCAGGCTGCAGGTTCAATCACACCATTCCCACCTCCTTCTCTGCAGACCAGCAGGCTACAAGAGGCAGACCTCCAGGGACACAGTCCTGGCTCTGTCATTCATTATTTTTGTGTCCTTGGGTGAGGTGCTTGACCTTCTGAAGCCTTAATTTTTCTTTTTCTTTCTTTTCTTTTTTTTTCATGGAGTTTCACTCTGTTGCCCAGGCTGGAGTGCAGTGGTGCGATGTTGGTTCACTGCAACCTCCGCCTCCCGGGTTCAAGGGATTCTTGTGCCTCAGCACGGATGTGTACCACCATGCCTGGCTAAGTTTTATATTTTTAGCAGAGACGGAGTTTTGCCACATTGGCCAGGCTGGTCTCGAACTTCTGGCCTCAAGTGATCTGCCTGCCTCGGCCTCCCAAAGTGTTGGGATTACAGGTGTGAGCCACCGTGCCTGGCCTGAAGTCTTAATTTTTCTCATCTGTAAAATGGGGATAACAATGGTAACTGACGTGGGCTGCTGTGTGGATTAAATGAGAAAACACATGTCAAGGGCTTTGCTCAATGCCTGGTACACAGTAAGCACTCAGTAAACGCCAGCTATTCTTCTTCCTGCTCCTTCTCTTCTTTTTTCTTTTCCTTTTTTGAGACAGGGTCTCACTCTGTCACCCAGGCCAGAGTACAGTGGTGTGATCTTGGCTCACTGCAGCCTCCACTTCCTGGGCTCAAGTGATTCTCTAACCTCAGCCTCCCGAGTAGCTGGGACTACAGGCATGAGCTACCAATGCCTGGCTAATTTTTTGTAGAGACAGGGTCTCGCCATGATGCGCAGGTTGGCCTTGAACTCCTGAGCTCAAAGTGATCTGCCCGCCTTGGCCTCCCAAAGTGTTGGGATTAGGCATGAGCCACTGCGCGTGGCCCCTTTCTCTTAATTTGAATTGCTGCCAGTGTTGTGTTGGAAGATTGAGGTCTTTTGAGAGAGTGGAGAGGTTTCTTGCTGTGTGGTGCCCGTGGTGGGACTGGGGTCCTGCGGAGGGGAAGGCCCATCTTGGGAGCGGGTCAGTCTGTGGTGGGACTGGAGCACAGCCGAGGGGGAGGCCTGTCTTGGGAATGGGTCAGGCTGGGGATCAAACTGATCCCAACCTGGAGGCTGTCCCTCCACTCCCACCCTCAGGGAAGTAGGGTTTGATTTTCTCAAGAAAACCAGCTCATTTCCAAAGACCCTCTTCCCGGACTCTCGTAAATGTCCAGAAAAACTGCCGAGAGAATGCAGGATAGCCTCACTGTTTCCTCTAGAACCCTGTGTGGTGTGGATCCAGCTGCGGCAGCACACGTGCCCTCGGCGGGTCCTGTGACAGATGCTGACCTGTCACGTGTCCATCAAATGCCCAAACATCCATTTAGGGTAAAAAGGCACGTTCAACTGCACAATCAAATCACTTCTGGAAATCCTGTTGTCCCCGCTGGAGAGCAGCGGCGCGATCATAGCTCACTGTAGCCTCGAACTCCTGGGCTCAAGTGATCTTCCCATCTCAGCCTCCTGAGTGGCCAGGACTGCAGGTACCTGGCACCATGCCTGACTAACGTATTTTTAATTTTTTTGTAGAGATGGGGTCTCGCTATGTTTCCCAGGCTGGTCTCAAGCTCCTGACCTCAAGCAATCCTCTTCTCTTGTCCTCACAAAGTGGTGAGATGACAGGCGTGAGCCACCATACCTGGCCTATTTAAATAATATTTAATAATAACATCTATCATTTATTTTTTCCTCTGAGCCAGCACTAGGCTAAGCACTTTCCAGAATTATCTCCTTCAGTATTTTTGTCATCATTTTACAGCTGGGAAATGGAGTCCCAGAAAGGTCAAGAGCCTTGCTGCCCAAGGTCACACAGCTTGCAGACCTTGGATCTGGACACAGGACCCTCTGACTCTAGAACTTGTGTGCTCTGAATCACGGCTCCCTTCTCCTGCCTTTTATGTATTTGTGTTTTTCCGGTGACAGCGAAAAGCAAACTTTAGGCAAACTCATGGCATAACATGATCTATTAGCCTGCTGCACATGTTCTGCAGAATATCATGCATGATCGGCCGGGCGTAGTGGCTCACGCCTGTCATCCCAGCACTTTGGGAGGCCGAGGCGGGCGGATCACGAGGTCAGGAGATCGAGCATCCTGGCTAACAGGATGAAACCCCGTCTCTACTAAACATACAAAAAATTAGCCGGGTGTGGTGGCGGGCACCTGTAGTCCCAGTTACTCAGGAGGCTGAGGCAGGAGAATGGCGTGAACCTGGGAGGTGGAGCTTGCAGTGAGCGGAGATAGCGCCACTGCCCTTCAGCCTGGGCGACAGAGCGAGACTCCGTCTCAAAATAAATAAATAAATAAATAAATAAATAAATAATATCACACATGATCTGCAAAGGGGGCCAGCCATGCTGGCCCATTGACGATGTGGCCCAATGTCAATGCCATGCTGAACCATGCTGTGCACAAGCATAAGGCTACCTTTCTGTGCAAAGCCTGGGCAATGGGTATGGTTGGGGCACCAGCTAGTGAGCATAGACAGCAGCCCATGAGGAAGGACCTGGCGCTGAACCACTGATATGTATGGCTGTGCCAGGGAACCCAGCTAGTGTCTGCCTTCAGGCCCCTCCTCTCCACACGCCAGTCACAGCAGAGAGAATTGTCGTTGGTTACCGCTAGGATCTCTATTCTTGAGAGAGTTGGCAAATCTGGTTTTGCATCCAATAGTATTTTCTGGATATTGCTTTTCATTCTGAGGTTCTTTAAATCTAGAAAGGATTCATTCTGGTGGTCTTTATGATCTATAAAACAAATAAAGTAGACTCAAAAGAAAGGCTCAGGAAGAAGTTATTTCATGTAATAACCATAGCAACTATTTACGGGACAGTTACACAGGCCTGTTTTAATCCTTACGATCTCCCGTGGCAGATGAGGACACAGGCCTAGAGAGATTAAATGACCTGGCCAAGGTCACCCGGCTCATAGGAGGCTGCAGCCGCACAGGTATCAGTGCTGAGGCCATTGACGGTGGACTTGCTAAGGTCCTTCAGCCACAGAACCAGGATAGAACCTGAACCCAGGCTTCCAGGTCCTAGACCAGTGCCCTAGCCTGCAGTGGGCCCCAAGTCTTAGGAGAGCTCTATCCCCTCTAAAGGGGGTACTCTAAGTGGTCCTCCAACATAGATCCTTAGACAGTATTCATCCATGACAAAGTTCTCACCCAGCCACCATGAAATAAGAAAAACTAGGCCAGGAGTGGTAGCTCACGCCTATAACCTCAGCACTTTGGGAGGCTGAGGCAGGTGGATCACGAGGTCAGGAGTTCAAGACCAGCCTGGCCAACATGGTGAAACCTTGTCTCTACTAAAAATATACAAATTGGCTGGGTGTGGTGGCTAGTCCCTGTAGTCTTAGCTACTAGGGAGGCTGAGGCAGGAGAATCACTAGAACCTGGGAGGTGGAGGTTGCAGTGAGCCAAGATTGCGCCACTGTACTCCAGGCTGAGTGGCAGAGCGAGACTCTGTCTCGAAAAGAAAAGAAAAAGTACAATAGTGAGTTGTGCATGAAATGTTATTTAATATCAAGGCCTGCACTTGACTCTGAGATCATGGCCTGCCCAACTTTTTATGTATTACAGTGTCCTCTGAGTTCCGGGATGATGCAGATAAAACATGGTAGTCTTGGTAAACTGGTCAGTCCCCAAAGTAAGCCTGGGGTCCGCTGCTCTGACTAGGAAGGAGGAGATTTACCTGGTGCGTGCGCCTTCTCTAGTTCTTTAATTCGCGCTCGAAGTTCAGATAAGGCCTTTTTCTGACGCTGAATGACCTCCTCGTGCCGGGACCCTTTGCACTTGACCCCTAGATCGCTGAAGGATTGCTCCTGTGGGCAGAATGGGGTGGGCAGCAGTTGATCAGGGATTGGAAGATTTCTCTTACATTCACAGAAACATGAACAATTCATGTATAGCGGAACCCAGTCGCTTAGCACCTTTGGGAAAAGAGCATTCGGGCTTCCGCAGAGGTAGAATTCACATTTTCCATCTCAAATATCGGGTCACACGTGGGAAGACCTCCAACTTTCCTATTTAGCATCACTATACATAAAAGAGCCCCTCCACGTTCCCTCTCCACGTTTCATTTTTTCTTCTCATACTGTTCTACGCCTGGATTTCCATTTGCTGTCACGCTGGTCTTGTTTCTGAACAATCACAGCAAATTCTACTCCTGGAGGGGCATTTTCAGATGAGAACGCAAGATGCTTTCTTTTAACTGGTGATAAGGATGATTATTTAATATTTGCTAGGGGGATTTGATAGACTGGCTCTTGGTTGGGCTGGAGAAAGGAAAACCTTCCTCTGAGACTTTGGAGCCTCTGCAACAGCACTGTCCCACAGAACTCCCTGTGGTGAAGGGAATGTTTTATACCTGCACCGGCACCGTCCAATATGGTAGCCACTAGACCCAGAGGGACCATCCTAAACAGCTCAGGTTACAGTTGCAGTTTTTTTTTTGTGTGTGTGTTTTTGATGTTGTTTGTTTTGGTTTTTGGAGATAGGGTCTTGCTCTGTTGCTCAGGCTGGAATGCAATGGCATGATCATGGCTCACTGTAGCCTCTACTTCTGGGCTCAAGTGATCCTTCCAGTTCTGTAGCTGGAACCACAGATGTGTGCCACCACGCCCGACTAATTTTCCTGTATTTTTTTGTAGAGACAGGATGTCACTTTGTTGCCCATGCTGGTCTCAAACTCTTGAGCTCAAGCAATCCTCCTGCTTCAGCCTTCCAAGGTGCTAGGATTACAGGCATGAGCCACTGTAACCAGCCTAGAGTTGGGTTTACTAAGAGCACAGACAAAGAAAGGTCTTTTTCACCTGTTTTTTTTTTTTTTTTTTTTTTTGATGGTATGTGTGTATGTGTTGCTCTGTCGCCTAGGCTGGAGTGCAATGGCACAATCTCAGCTCACTGCAACCTCTGCCTCCCGGGTTCAAGCGATTCTCCTGCCTCAGCCCCCTGAGTAGCTGGGATTACAGGTGCATGCCACCACGCCCAGCCAATTTTATTGTGTATTTTTAGTAGAGACAAGGTTTCACCACATTGGCCAGGCTGGTCTCAAACTCCTGACCTTGTGATCCGCCTCCCTTGGCCTCCCAAAGTGCTGGGATTACAGGTGTGAGCCACCGCACCCAGCCGTCTTTTTCATCTTTTAAGGGTCATGTACCCTTTTAAGATTTGGAAGCATGCAGGGTTTTTCCTTCCAGAAAAATTTGCAGCGACACAAATATTTGCATACAACTTCCAGAGGGTCAAGACCTCCCGAAGTCCATTCATAAACTCTGAGCTAACCAACGCTTCTCCAGGGTAGGCAAGTCATTCGTTCATCTCACATCGATTTATTGTGCCAAGCCTTGTTCTAGGCTCTGGGGATTCAACAGTGGCTAAACCCAGCAACATCCCTGTTGTCATAGATTCTGCATCCTCGTGTGGGCAGACAGACAAGGGGAAAGTATCTGGTAGAAGTTATAAATGGTAAAGAGAAAATTAAGTGGGTAAACAGGGTGGGGTGCTGGGAACAGGTTTCAGTTGCAGATAGAGTTGCCAGGGAAGGCTTCAGTCAAACTGGCAAGAAAGAGAAAAAATTGACAATCTGGCTCTTTTATAATACTTTTTAAAGTAACAGTTTTGGTTCACTTCATGCATATACATATACATATATAGATAGCTATAGATATAGAAGATAATATATATGTAGTATGAAGTGAACCAAAATTATTTTAAAAGTTGCCTATCCATCTATCTATTGAATGGTAGCAATGGCTGCATGCCAGACACTGTTCTAGGCACTGGGGCGAGATCAGGGAGCGGGCAGACCAGCCCTTGCTGCTGTGGGTGCGTTTCTATGGGGCAGACAGATAACAGGCAGACAGGCGCACTAATACTCTAATTTCGGAGAGTGACAAGTGCTCCCAGGAAAAGAACGCAGAGGAGAGCAAAGGAGACACTCTTTGTTCTTCCTCCTTTGATGGTTCAAATGCTTATCAGAGGCCTGTATGACGCATCCCTGGCCCTGCGCTAGCCACACTGCCACCAGGGGAACAGGGCCCATGGCCTCCTACAAGGGGCTCAACAGTGCTGTCTGAGGCCCTCCTGGGACGGCCCCCTACCCCCACCCCCATGTCCCTACCTCTCGTTCCCTCCCTTCCTTCTGGCTCTGCTCCAGGTCTCCTCCAGCACAGGCCTCCCTGACCACCTGACCACCCCCCTCCCCCAGGTCAATCTGTTCCGAATCCTGCTGTACAGTTTCTCAGAGCGCTTCTTCCCACTGGACATTTTACTTGATCTTGGCTTGTTTATTTCTGTGTCTCTCCTCCCAGATGACAGGCTCCGTGAGAGCAGTCTTTATCTCCTTTGAAGACGGTGCTATTTCCAGGGCCCAGCACTGTGTCTGAGCACAGTAGGTACTCAGTAAATATGCAGCCTGTCAGAAACAGGAGCTGTAAGGAGCTTGTCCTGGCTTTCCAGCTGGGACCAGGGCTCAGCAGCTAGGAGAGAGACGCAGGCCACCCTGGCCGCGCTTAGTAGGGCCTCGCCTGTCCTCGGACCCTGGCTCCACCCTGCTCACAGGATGCATGGCTGGTTCCCTTGCGGGGTTGGCTCTACACTGGCCTCGGTCACCTCTTGAGGATGCGTGCTTGCCCTGAGAGTAAACGACCTGGAATGTTCTCCCTCTCTCTCTGTCTCTCAGTGTATAGCAGGGGGCAGGAGATACTGAATTTTGGGGGTGTAGGGGTAGCCACGCATTGAGGCTGCCTCACAGCCTGTGCTAGCCTGAAGGGGTACCAGGAATGTCACATGACCCCTCCTTGCGGCTCTTCTGGGAATTTATTTATTTGGAGAGGATGAAATTCTTTCTCATACAACTCTTAAGCCCTCTGACCCACTCTGGCTTAGAAAGCAGGAAGGAGCCCGAGGGAGGAAAACCATTCCAAGAAGGAACAAATACATTTTCCCTTTTATCTTGCAGTCTCCCTCCCCCATCCTCCTCCACTAATCCCTCCATATAATATAAACTAAAAATCAAGGGCATCCCAGTTCAACAATCCAGTCCAACAGACGTGCACAGAGTCCAAGGGCGTTTGGTGTGGGCGGGAGCCGGTACATCTTCTCCTATCCCTGGCATAGGGCCTGGCACACCGCAGGTGCTCAATAGTTGTTGAACAAGTGAATGAATATGGGTCAGGTTCTGCTCTAAGAGCCTGGGATTCCAACAGGAGTGCCACATACTCTCTGCCCCACGGAGCTTACGGCCACGTGGACCTGCTGCAGCCCCCGCCTTCCTGGTCACCCTGAGCAACCAGGAGACACTTCTGTTAAAGTGCTCTGGACAGCAATCGATGCCAAGGACAGCTGGCTGGACCTCGAGCCCTTTCGTTCAAGCTGTTTGCAGCCCTGGCTCAACGCTGTCTGGCAGGGGAAAGGCATCTTTGAGAAAGCCGGAAAGCAAGCTGACACATTTGGCCTGGCTTCCCAGTGAAAATCCAAAGCCCATTACTGGAACGTCATGCTCTCTAGGCTCAAAAAGCCCCAGGGAAAGAAGAGCCCCAGGCTCCAGGAACCCAGAGCCTTGAGGAACCACTGAGTCTCACGATTGCATGCTGCGGACCGTGGGGAGTATCACAGCCCCAGACATAGGGACAGAGTGTGAGTGCCTGCTTCTAGGACGGCCCAAGGAAGGCTGTTCTCACTCAAAGACACACTCCCATCAGATGCTTCTGGGCAGGTGCATAGAACAGCTACCAAGACACAGCCACAGAGCACTCCCTACGTGGCTCTTTGGGAGGGCAGTTTGGCTCCAACAATCACAATTCAGGAAGAACAAGTACATTAACTACAGCATTGCACAAGAGGAGAAGCAATGGAAGTGTCCATCAAGAGGGGACTGGTTGGAAAGAAGAAACAATGGGATTCTACACAACCATTTAAAAGGGTGAGGCAGATCTTCATATACTTGCAAAGATGCCCATTAAATAGTGGTATGTAAAACTAAACCCATGTTGCAGAATGTACGTGGTTTGACACCATTAGTAAAAAAATTATCTACTAAACAAATATCTATATGGGCCAGGCATGGTGGTTCACACTTGTAATCCCAGGACTTTGGGAAGCTGAGGCAGGTGGATCTCTTGAGTCTGGGAATTCCAAGACCAGCCTGGGTAATGTGGTGAAACCTCATCTGTACTAAAAATACAAAAATTCGTCAGGTGTGGTGGCATGCGTCTGTAGTCCCAGCTACTAGGGAGGCTGAGGCAGGAGGATCATTTGAACCTTGGGAAGTTGAGGCTGCAGTGAAGTTGTGATGGCATCCCTACACTGCAGCCTGGGTGACAGAGTGAGACCTTGCCCCGGAATAAAGGAATGAATGAATAAATATATGTATGGGTTTGTGTGTGTTTGCTCAGGTGTGTATATACATAAAATGTATTTCTCAGCCAACCCATAAGGTGGGGATGGTCATTACTGTCAGAACAGGGAACTGGTGCACAGTGACCTCCCCAAGGTCACAACAGAGTTTCTAAGTGGAGGAGCTGGGATTCAAACGCAGGTGCAGTGAATCTACGCCTGATCTTCAGCCACTACACTTTCTTGACAGTGTCAGAACGTGGAGGCCTCTACGAGGGAAAGATCTCACGGCATGCACATCACACTGTGGACAGCTGTGACCTCTGGTGACTGCGACTGAAGAGGCAGGATTCTGCGACTTACTTTATACGTTTCACACAAGCAAGTCATACTTTCGGAACTTAGAATGAAAATATCTTCAAAAGGAAAGAAAGCCACCACTGGGCCGTGTCTTAGCACGTCCTTCCGGGTGCCCAGGAGTTGCTGGCACTCACCTCTTGGCTGCTGGAGAAGGCCTCGGTGTGGACGGGTTCTATCTGCACAGAGGTGTCACACGTCTGGGTCTTCTTCCGGGACTTCTGTTCCTTCTCTGTGTTCAGCTGGAGTCTGTGTTTCTCCTGGGAAGCCCTGGGGTAGAGAAGAGGAGGATAGCACGAGGTTCCAGGAACCACAAATGACTTCTGCAGTCATTGGAAGACCAGGAAATGGAGCTCTATTTTTACAGGAAACAGAATTCTTTTGAGACTTCAGTTTCCTGCTCCCAGATTTCTAGAGAATTCAGTTTCAGGGGACTTACGAGAGAGTGACCAGGGCAGGGAGCACCTGCCCTTGGTTCCTATACTGGGGCTGAGGACACCTGCTGTGGTTTTACAGGGACATTTGCTGCATGTCTGCTGTTTCTAACACTTTATGTGTGTCTAACCCTTCTCTCTCTCATAACAATCCCACAAGTTAGGTCCTCTGCTTGTCTCATTTTACAGACAAGTAAACAGACACACAGCAATCTGCCTGTAGTCACCTTGCTTGTAAATGGATGGTCTGGCTATTTTTTTTTTTTTTTTTTTTTGATGGAGTTTTGTTCTTGTTCTCCCACCCAGGCTGGAGTGCAATGGTGCGATCTCCACTCACTGCAACCTCTGCCTCCCAGGTTCAAGCAATTCTTCTGCCTCAGCCTCCCAAATAGCTGGGACAGGCATGCACCACCACGCCCGGCTAATTTTGTATTTTTAGTAGAGACAGGGTTTCACTATATGTTGGCCAGGCTAGTCTCAAACTCCTGACCTCGGGTGATTCGCCCGCCTTAGCCTCCAAAAGTGCTGAGATTACAGGCGTGAGCCACCGGGCCCGGTCTAGGGTCTGGCTTTGAAACCAGGCAGCCAGGTGTGGAGTCTGCTCCTTTAGCCACTACGTGAATCTGCTTTGGCCACGAGGCACACAAAGCTACCAGATATCCACAAAACATCAATTTCAGTCAAACTCTTTTTTTATGAAAACATGACTCATTCTAAAATATGGATAAGCTGCGGGTAAAAATGCAACTCACGGATGTTTTTAAAGATGAACCCAGGGGACGATGACAATATTTTGTATGTATTTTAAGCTGACACCTCCAGTTTATTCATTTGTTAAATAAATATTAAGTTCCCTTATGTGCTGGGCTGGGAAATCAATAGTGGGCAAGGTCTACACAGACCCTGTCCTCGTGGGAAGGGCAGACAATAAACAGGCAATGGGGCCGGGCGCGGTGGCTCACGCCTGTAATCCCAGCACTTTGGGAGGCCGAGGTGGGTGGATTGCTTGAGGTCAGGAGTTCAAGACCAGCCTGGCCAACATGGTGAAACTCCATCTCTACCAACAATACAAAAAATTAGCCAGGTGTGGTGGCTCATGCCTGTAGTCTCAGCTACTCCAGAGGCTGAGGCACAAGAATGGCTTGAACCTGGGAGACTGAGGTTGCAGTGAGACAAGATTTCTCCACTGCACTCCAGCCTGGGCAAGAGAGCGAGTGAGACTCCATCTCAAAAAAACAAACAACAACAAAACAGGCAAAGGTAGCCTTGCTGTGTGCTAAGTGGTAGGTTAGACAGAGTGCAGGGGCTGAGGGAGACCAAGCATGGCAGGATCCCTTGGCTATGTTTGGTGAGGGTGAGTGAGGGAGGGCTTCCTGGAGGAAGTGGCATTTAAGCAGAGACCTGTCATCTGGAATATTGGACAAGGAAGTTTGAGAAGCACAGAATAAGCAAAACCATGAAACACATTCATTGATTCAACTCCTCAAGCAGCATGTACTGAGCCCTCTCTCTATGCAAGACTCAGGGGCTCCCTATGCCAGGTGAACTATCCCCCCTCCCCCGCCCACCCAACCTGAGTGCCTCCTTGAGGGCCTTCAGCTCCCGGTCTTTCTTTTCCGTCAGACTGCTCATCTGGGCCATCTTCTCCTTGAGCACACTCAGCTCCTTGCTTTGCTGCTGGACCAGCGCCACGTTCCGTTCCAGTTCCATCTTCTGCTTCTCGTTTAGCTCCCCTGGGAGTGACAGGAGGGCCGGTAAGGGGGTCTCTGCCTCCTGGGTTCAAGTGATTCTCCTGCCTCAGCCTCCTGAGTAGGTGGAATTTCAGGCATGCGCCACCACGCCTGGCTACTTTTTTGTGTATTTAGTAGAGACAGGGTTTCACCATGTTGGCCAGGCTGGTCTCAAACTCCTGACCTCAGGTGATTCACCCGCCTCGGTCTCCCAAAGTGCTGGGACTACAGGCATAAAGTAGCTATTATTAGCATCCTCACTTCACAGATGCAGAAACTGAGGCTCAAAGAGGTAAGGGACTTACCTGAGGTCATGCAACTAAGAGTGAGCAGGTATAGAATTGGGCCCGACATCTCCAGAGAACTGGGCATTGTAGCCTGTACCCCACACTTTCTCATACCTTATTACAAAAAACCTCAGCCATAAATGTCTTGGGGTATTAACAGGAACAGCTACAGGGAGCGAATACCCTGTAGGGTTTGGGATGGAGACAAGATAGGAGCATTCTTTTCCCTTCCTCCACTTCCCCAGGCTTAGTTCCATCTCCCAGCTCCTGCCTGTCTATCCATGTCCTTCAGCTCAGGGAGAGTAGACATGGGAAAGAGAGGCTGCTATCAGATGCAAGAAGGAGGGAGGCAGAAGTAAAAGCACAGAGATAAGGAGGAACAAAGCAGGAATATGAAGGCAGCATTGTTTGTGTCTGTCTGGAACAGCACAGAACTCAGTTATTTTGCCCCTACTCTAGGGGCCACTGATGCCCATGTTAACCCTAGGAAGAAGGCGTGTTGTCCCTACTTGGCATCTGAGGAAGAGAAGGCCTGGAGAGCCCCCTTGTCCTAGGTCCCAAAGCTAGTGAGTGCTGGGGCTTGTGCAAACTGGCCTGCCGCAGGAAGACCCCAGGATTGCCCTCAGGCCTTTGCTTCCGGAAGCAAATCTGTGCTAAAGGAAAATTCTCCCTGAAGAAGAAAGTTGCATTTCAGTGCAGAGGTCCAAAGTCCTGTGGAGAATGTGCCCTGTGCCCCTTGGCATTGAGTCAGGGACTCAGTGGGGGGTGGGAATCAGGGACATATCCAGGATACGACTTTTGCTGACCCTGAGTTACAGATGCTGGGACAACACAGGGAAGCAGGGTTGTTTATGCCAAGGTTTCCAACTCTTTTTTTTTTGGGACAGAGTCTCACTCTGTTGCTCAGGCTGGAGTGCAGTGGTGTGATCTGGGCTCACTGCAAACTCCGCCTCCCGGATTCAAGCAATCCTCTGCCTCAGCCTCCTGAGTGGCTGGGATCACAGGCGCCCACCACCACACCTGGCTAATTTTTGTATTTTTAGTAGAGATGGGTTTTCACCATCTTGGCCAGGCTGGTCTTGAACTCCTGACCTTGTGATCCAATTGCCTTGGCCTCCCAAAGGGCTGGGATTACAGGCGTGAGCCACTACGCCCGGCCAACTCTTAAGCCTCATCTCCTTCCTTTCTCGAGCGGGTCAGGAGGTCAAGAGACACCGGAAATTGTTCAAACCTCTCAAATCCGACATTCTGCTGTGGGCCTCTGTAAGGTCTTTCCTCAACTTCATGATGACCTCCTGCTGAGACAGGATTTCCTTCTGAGCAGCCAATAAGTCATCTCTGAAATTCACAAAAACAGGTGAAGTCAGTTCAACTCAAACTCCACATTGTCTCCTGAGTGTCAGGAAGGGGCCAAGTACAAATGCAAACAGATTCTCAATTATGGTCCATGCAATGCCAGTCCCAGCAAAGGATGAGGACAGTCTTCAAAAACTCTAAAACAAAAATGACTTTTTTGTTGCACCTTCGTTTAAGAAAATAGATGGAGGCCAGGCACTGGGTACATGCCTGTAATCCCAGCACTTTGGGAGGCCAAGGCTGGAGGATCACTGGAGCCCAGGAGTTCGGGACCAGCCTGTGCAACAGAAATCAGAACCCCATCTCTACAAAAATAAATTAAAAAAAAATTAGCCAGGCATAGTGGTGTGTGGCTGTTGTCCCAGCTACTCGGGAGGCGGAGGTGGGAAGGTTGCTTGGGCATAGGAGTTGAAGGCTGCACTCCAGCCTGGGTGGCAGAGCAAGACCCCGTCTCTAAGAAAAAAAAAGAAATAAAGAAAAAAGAAAATCCACTGAGACAGAACACAAGATCTGGCTGAGTTGAGTCTGAGGCTCGAACATGCCTTGCATGAGACTGATACCCACTACCCAGCATCATGACTTGATGTGTCTGTGAACTTCTGATGGTGGAGGGAGAGGGGAAAACTATTTGGGGGAGGTTCAGGGATTCTTTGGGGACAGGGAAGAAAAAAGAGAGGAAGACAATGTGGCTCTGTTCTCTCAGCAGCTCCTTTGAATTCCTGGTGGAGGGAGGCGGGGCCAGATGTGAATGAATGGTGTTCTTGGGGGAGCTGGTAGAAGTGTGGCCTCGGCGCCCAGGCAACAGGGGGACAGTGATGGTGACAGGACAGCTCCCCCTCCCACACCCCTGGAGGGCAGCACACCGTTGGCACCCTGAGACTCAGGATGGCTGATGGGAGGGTGGCTGCGCCCAGTGGAGGGGTGAAGGGTGCCTAGCAGGAACAGCAGGGGAGGCGCCTTGGGTGGGGATTTGACAGGAAGAACACAGGGTGCATGCCTCAGCAAGTTGAGAAACTGCAGCCTGGCAGAGACAGGTCTTGTGTGTGTTGCAAGGAGTAGGTCTTGCCCTTTTGGAAGGGGGTTGGGAGCCTTAGTCTTTGGGCAGGTATTAATGCCACTTCATTTGAGTTCACAGGCTTTTGAAATCCAGGCTCTTCTTATAAAGACTTTATTTTTTATTTATTCTTATTTTTTTGAGACGGAGTCTTGCTCTGTTGCCCAGGCTGGAGTGCAGTGGCGTGATCTCAGCTCACTGCAACCTTCATCTCCTGGGTTCAAGCGATTCTCCTGCCTCAGTCTCCCAAGTAGCTGAGAATACAGGTGTCTGCCATCATGCCTGGCTCATTTTTGTATTTTTAGTAGAGACGGGGTTTCACCATGTTGGCCAGGCTGGTCTCAAACTCCTGACTTCAGGTGATCCACCCACCTCGGCCTTCCAAAGTGCTGGGATTACAGGCATGAACCACTGCACCCAGCCTTATACAGACTTTAGAAGGTACTGCGTTTATTATGAATTAAAGTAAAACACTGGCAGGTTTCATGTCAAATAAAAAAAAAAGACTGGTGATCATTAGAATGAACATAACTACATATATATAGTATATTCTGTGTGTGCATGCATCTGTGTGTGTCCACGTGAGCGTGTTCTTGGCTGCAACCACAAATCTTCCAACTCGAGGATAAAACCTCAGAACTCAAGCATGTTCACACGCCAAGGAAGTGGACCAGAGCAGGGCCGGGAGGTGCTGACTCTTCTCCAAGTCACGGGCACCACTGTTTCTAGAGTTTAAACAGGAGGAGGAGTCAGGAACTTTTCACAATGCGGAGGCTGGGTATCCTTGTCTTTTGGGGGTAAAATCCCTGTGACATTAGACTTCAGTCACTAGGATTTGGTGCAAGGATCGGGCAGGTGGTTGTCCTCTTGGGGGAGCTTCTGAATCCCTACGCTGCATCCCATCGGCACCTCCTTCTTTATGTGCTGTTTTCTGGATCTTTCCCATTCATACGTTTGTTTCTCTGAAAACCATCAGTTCTTTGAGGATAGACTTCTTTATAGACTCACTGGCTCTCAGAGTCAGGAGGGTTGAAATCATTTATTTGAGGTCATTTAGCCAACTCCTTAACTTCTCACCTTTGCAAGGCCCCGCCCCACCAAGTGGTCTCCACTGTTTGAAATCTCTGTCTGCTTAATAACACCTATGAATGGGCTTGCCTCTAGCTGATCCTCGGAAAAAATAGCTAATAGCAGTATTAGCTAGATTTCCCAAGCACTAGGCATGTACAGCCTTCTTCACAGACGTGGAAGCTAAGGCTCAGTGAGGTGGCGTGACTTGCCCAGGGTCACACAGCTGGAAAGTGTCAAGTTGGAATCTGCTATGTTTTGAATGTTCGTCTCCTCCAAATCTCAAGTTGAAACTTAACCCCCAAGGTGGCAGTATTGAGAGGTGGGGCCTTTATAAAGTGATTGGTCACAAAAGTACAATTATGGATTAATGGATTTGTGGGCTACTGGGTTAGTGGATTAATGGATTATCATGGCAGTGAGACTGTGGATTTATAAAAAGAGGCAGGGAGACCTGAGTTAGCACACTCAGCCCCTGGACATGTGATACCCTGCACCACTCCCAGACTCTGCAGAGAGTCCCCAACAGCAAGAAGGCCCTCACCAGATGCAGCCCCTCAACCTGGGACTTCTCAGGCTCCAAAACCGTAAGAAATGAATCTCTTTTCTTTATAAATCACCCAGTTTTGGGTATTCTGTTATAAACAGCAGAAAACAGGCTGAGGGATCTGAATGTAGATCCATCTAAATCTTTCCACGACATTGCCCTGCCTTGCTGAAGGAATGGGGAAGTGGAAGCAGCACTGGAAAGGCAGCAGGCCCAGCTCTTTGTATGGCTTCTGACAGTGTGGCCCAGGTAGGGGCTGGTTGCCTGTTTGCCCCCACCCAGGTGGTGCCGGTGAGAATGCCTGGCGCTCACGCACCCGCGGGTACTCACATCAGGTGTTCATACGCCATGTCTTTGGCACCGCTGTCCGTCGTGGGAGCCACCAGAGGGTCTTGCGGCCTTTCCTCCTTTTGGGCTGTATCAGAGAGACATGTGATCGTTGTGAGAGGAGGCTGTCCTTCCCCTTTGCTTACAAGCACACCTGTGTCTTTCACAACTTACAAACCCTGCCTCCACCTGCAGTCCTCTCCACCTTGTGAGACCCACATGTGTGCCGTGTCACAGGCTGGGGGCTCTCCCAAAGTGCGTGGCCATGCGATTGTCCCAGTTACTCTAGAAGGCAGGGGCCATCAAGTCCACTTATAGACAGGGAAAGGGGCACCGGAGTGATGGAAGCTGCCGGCGACCCACTTGGCTAAGCTGGTGAGCAGTGCAGCCTCAGCCCCTGGTCCCACCGCCTGCCTGTCTCTCTTGGAAGAAGAATCTGTGTTTAGCACCTTCCTCTCCTCACCTCCCATTTACACCTCAGTGCACCGCCTCTGGCGTCCTGTCTCACTACTCACTCACATGTTCACTCACTTGTTTATTCCTTCAACAAACATGTGTGGAGTGCACACTGGTCTAAGTACGGGGGTGACAAAGATGCAGTCACCCTTTAGGTCCCAGCTCAATCTCAAACACCTCCCTCTGACCTGGACATCACCCTTCAGGTCCTAGCTCAATCTCTTTTTTTGTTTTTGAGACAGTCTCGCTTTGTTGCTAGGCTGGAGTGCAGTGGTGCAATCTCAGCTCACGGCAACCTCTGCTTCCCGGGTTCAAGCGATTCTCCTGTCACAGCAGCCTGAGTAGCTGGACTACAGGCGCACGCCACCACGCCTGGTTAATTTTTGTATTTGTAGTAGAGACGGGGTTTCACCATGTTGGCCAGGATGGTCTCAATCTCTTGGCCTCGTGATCTGCCAGCCTTGGCCTCTCAAAGTGCTGGGATTACAGGCATGAGCCACTGAACCCAGTCCCCAGCTCAACCTCAAACACGCTTCCTCTGACCTGGACTCTGGGTTGGGAAACTGAATCCCACTCTTCGTCCTTGTCATGGTGCCCTATTCATCCTGGATCACCTGTCAGGGCAATAATTTTGTTACCACGGGGACAAAAACTGGCTTGTCCATCACTGGATCCCGAGTGCCTACATGAGATCGGAACGTAATAGAAGCTCCACCGAGAGAGCTGAATGAGTGAATGAATGAGGGAAGTCCTGACGGCTTGCCGACTTGCTGGGAACTAGAGCCGTGTTTCCTAACCAGGAGTGAGTTTGCCTCTAGGGGACATTGGGCAATGTCTGGAGACATTTTGGTTGTCACAGCTGGGGTAGGGGTGCCACTGGCAGCTGGTGGGTGGAGGACAGGGAGGCTGCTAACACCCAGTAGTGCCCAGTTCAGTCCCATCCATGAAAAAATGATCCTGCCCCAAATGTCAACAGGGCTGAGGCTGGGATACCCTGGCCTGAGTCCTCTACTTCCAGAACTTTCTCCAAGAGCTTAACAACTTTACAATAATACCTTACCTTGGCCGTTTGGGGCAAATAAGTGCTTACAAGTCTGAGTTCTTTTTTCAGCTTCTTTTGGGTTTATTTTTTAAGGGACAAATCCTGGCTGGTAATGAGTGCATTAGTGAAGATGCAAAAGGCCAATGGCAGAGAGAAGCCTTTGAAAGGCCCCCACACGAGATGTTTTCATGTGGAAAAGATGATTCCACTTCGTGCTGCCCTGACAGCTCTGACAGCCCTGGTGGCCTGTGTGTCTCGCCGGCTCACTGGGTCGGCACAAAGGATGTCCCAACTCATTGCCATGACTTCTGCTGAACCTGGGCCTCGGAGGGCTTCTGACATCGTTGTGTAACAAGAACAAAAGGGGGCCTCAGAGAATGAATGAGCTTTTGAATAAGGCACGGCCTTTTTCTTAACCATCAGCCTGTTGGGACCCAGCGGACAATCAGAACCTACCCCGAACACTAAGATTTCCTTGGTCCCCCTTCGGACTTACCCGGGTCGTTGTCCTTCAATGTTGCAATCTCGCCTTCTATTTTTTTATGGTGTTGACTGACTTTCTGGAGTTTCTCTTCGAGGCTCACAATCGTCTGGGAGTGCTGTTTGATTTGCTCCTTATATTCCATGATCTCTTCTTCAAATCCATGTCTCTGTGATTCCTGCTCATCCTGGACGGCCTTTACCGTCTTCTGCTGCAGGATTAGCCGCTCTTCCATCAAGATCTGGGAACAGAGTGTCACTCAGTGTGGTCTTGGGAGCTGGGTATGACAGCAACCATAATATACACCCTGGGTACACACAGGTGCTAAACTGGGCCCCACCCCAGGGCCTTAGCACGTGCTGTTCCTTCTGCCCTGTACACTTCTTCCACAGCTCCTTTCATGGCCAACTCCTTCTTGACTCTCAGGGCTCAGCTCCAGCGTCACCTCCTCTGAGAGGCCCTCCCTGACCACCTATCAGGAGCAACCCCAGACACTTCCTATTCCAGCGTCTGTTTCATTGTCCCTGAAGCCTTTAATCATTTGTTTCTCATGCCCTCTAGAATGTTAAATTCGTAACAGCAGAAATGTGTCTGTTTTTACTTACTGCTATGCCCACAGCATTTGATGTTTGATAGATATTTGTAGAATTAATGAATGAACAATTTCATAAGAAAAAGCAAATGAATTTGCCTTTCTTTCTTTCTCCTTTCTTTCCTTTTTTTTTCTCTCTCTCTCCTTCCTTCCTTCCTTCCTTCTTTTTCTTTCTTTCTTTTATCTCTCTCTCTCTTTCTTCTTTCTCTTTCTCTCTCTTTCGAGACAGAGTCTTGCTCTGTTACCCAGGTTACAGTGCAGTAGCATGATCTTGGCTTACTGCATCCTCTGCCTCCTGGGTTCAGGGTATTCTCCTGCCTCAGCCTCCCAAGTAGCTGGGACTACAGGCGTGCACCACCACACTCAGCTAATTTTCATATTTTTTTTAGTGGAGATGAGGTTTCACCATTTGGCCAGGCTGGTCTCAAACTCCTGACCTCAGATGATCCACCCACCTTGACCCCGAAAGTGCTGAAATTATAGGTACGAGCCACTGTGCCCAGCCAGAATTTGCATTTCTTAAAAACAAAAAATTAATGACCCCCAAATGGCAAATCTGCTGCTTTCCCACATCCAAACACTCCCTCCTGAGGCTCCCCTTGGCGTTTGCAATCCCAGCACCTCCTCCTCAATGCCCGCCTGCTACTCCAAACTCACCCTGTCCTGCTCCCTATTCCCAGGTGACGTGCTGGGCCTCGGCCTCTGATCTCCCCATGACAGGTACATTCTTTGCCCGACACACTCACACATGCCTGCTCTTCCAAGGACCCTGCCTAGGAGGCTGCCTTCCAGATTAAGCTCTTGTCTTGCTTTCTCTCCCAAAACTATTGTGTACCCAAAGCTGGGGGGCTTTTGAACTTTGATGCCCTATCCTCGCCTTCCTCCTCTTGTCTCCTCTTCTCCAAAAGAGGGTTGCTCCAAGAGAACACCCCCACCATGACCCCAGACCTCCATACTCCTATCCCTATGTCGTCCTTATGCGATCAGGTCCCCAAGCACCCTGGCCTGAAGCGTGCAGTCTCCTTTGGCACTGTGCTCTCCTTGGCGCTCACGTCCTACCAGCAGTTATCAAGTCCTGCCATCATAACTCTCTCCTGCGACTCCCTCCCTCCCACACCTCCCCCAGCTCCCGCCAAGGTCAGGTCCTTATGATTCTGGTCCACCACGTGCCACACCCAGACCTGTTCTCTCCAACGCCACACCCTCGTGAAATTTACTTCATTCTCTTTTGGGAGATTCACCTTCATGACTTCCTTGCTCAGAAACCTGTCGGTTGAGCGTGTGGATGACAGAGTGAATGCACATGGAGCCCTGATTTTGGAGGGCCTCGAATACCGAGCCTACGCTTTAATGCATTGTCTTAAAGCCTGTGGAATCATCACTCATCACTCGGTCCCGAGGCTCTCCAGGCATTCTGATCCTGTGAGGAACCTGCATTACAACATCTCAGAATACCCTGCAGACGGGGCATCCTAGCTCTGTGTACCTTTCATTCTAAACCAACGCTTCTCATTAGGGGGCCATTAAGGGACACTTGGCAATGTCTGAAGACATTTTTGGTGATCACGACTGTGGGGAGAGGGCTCCTGGCATCCGGTGGGTAGAGAACAGGGGTGGTGCTAAATATCCTAAGATGCTCAGGACAGCCCCTCACAGGAAAGTGCTACTTGACCCAGAACATCAGCAGTGCTGAGGCCAAGAAGCCCTGGTCTAAGCCACACATTCTCACGCACTGTAATCTTCTATTGGGAGAAAAATTCTCCCGTTCCTGGAAGGCACCGACTTACCATTTTTGTCTTGGTAGTTTCCAGTTCAGCTAATGTTTCATTTAATTTCAAGGCGAGGCTCTCTGCTTTTAGACTTTCAGTTGCCTTTGTTTTCTGAGTCTCTTCAACCATGGCTAGTGCGTCATTTAATTTATTACTTAAAACATCCTCTTTTTGCTCTTTTAATTCTAATTCCTAGACAAAAAAAAAAAACACAAATAGCAAAATAACAGACATTCAGGAATACGTATTTACCCAGTCCCCTTCTCCCCAACCTTCAGGGAGGGGGCAAAGTCTATTCTCTAATTATTCTGTCGATTCTTTTAAAGTACAAAGTCTATGCCTTCTCTGGAAGGTTCCAATTATTATAGAACTCGTCTTCACATTCAGCGGAGATCTGTCTCCTTGTGATTTCTGGTCTCTGAGCTCAGTTCTGTCACCTGGAGCTCGTTGAGAACGTTTTATTTCTCTTTTATGAGACAGCCCTTTAAATATTTGAGGAAGGCTGTCATGTCTGTCTCTAAATCTGTTCTCCAAGATGAATGTGCTGAGTCCCTTCTCTCCTTCACTGCAACACCTGCTTCCAGGACACCCCCCTTTCCTCCAGGGCTCCGGCGGCCCTGTCCTGGGCATCTCTTATCCCTTATCCTGGAACCCATTCTTTTTTTTTTTTTGAGATGGAGTCTCACATTGTCACCTGGGCTGGAGTGCAATGGTGCTATCTCAGCTCACTGCAACCTCCGCCTCCCGGGTTCAAGCAATTCACCTGCTTCAGCCTCCCAAGTAGCTGGGACTACAGGCGCATGCCACCACACCCAGCTAATTTTTGTATTTTCAGTAGAGACGGGGTTTCACCATATTGGCCAGGCTGGTCTCGATCTCTTGACCTCATGATCCACCTGCCTCAGCCTCCCAAAGTGCTAGGATTACAGGCGTGAGCCACCGCACCCACCACCGCATGAAAGATTCTTTCGATCTTTCATAGTCAACATTCTATTCTCTTTGAGTCCCTCCTGCAATAAATGTGAAGTGTGGGCTTCTTGAGTGGCACTGTGCTGGGCATCTTATGAACATTATTTAATCCAATTTAAAATATATTCGAAGTACTAGGCATTCTTAAACTCTGTTGGTGGAGGTGCAAACTGCTGTGACTTTTCTAGACACTCATTCAGGAATGTGTATTATGAGCCTGAAAATGTGCAAGTCCTGTGACTCAGCAACTCCACTTTAGGGAGTTTTTCCTAAGGACGTAAAGACTGATGCACAGGGTGGGTTAGCTGGGCATCTGCTGCACTAGTGAAGAGTGAGAAACCAACCCAGGGGAGAAGAAAAGAAGTTGGGATCCATCCAGCACAGTGCAAACCTGGGTCACAGAAGATTGTTTGATGACACTGAGACATTCTATACAAAATGAAATCATTCAAACTTTTTTTTTTTTTTTTTTCTGAGACGGAGTCTCGCTCTGTTGCCCAGGCTGGAGTGCAGTGGCGATCTTGGCTCACTGCAACCTCCGCCACCCGGGTTCAAGTGATTCTTCTGCCTCAACATCCCAAATAGCCAGGATTACAGGCACCCACCACCACGCCTGGCTAATTTTTGTATTTTTAGCAGAGATGGGGTTTTGCCATGTTGGCCAGGCTGGTCTTGAACTCCTGACCTCAGGTGATCTTCCCACCTTGACCTCCCAAAGTGCTGGGATTACAGGCGTGAGTCACTGTGAATGGCCAAAATCATTCAAACTTAAAGCAGTTGAAACCTTACATTATTTTGAGACTCGAGAGGAATGTGGCTGTGGGGCCTGGGTCACGTAGCACGCACCTGCAACTTCTGTTCTTTTCTGTAAATGAGTGGGAAAGCCCTGGCAGCGCCAGAGATAAGACTCCTTCAGATGATCACCCCTCATCCTGGAATATTAAAGCAATTTTCCCAGGAATGTAGCAAACTGTGACCAACCAAAGGGCTATAACCGCATGTGCTGACCTTGTGTGGAAGACGGTGCGATCCTGTTAACTGCCTATCAAAGTGAAATTTTCACCTCCCTGCTTTGGAATGCTGACTCATTCTTTTGAAGTCTGTTTTTTGGGTTGCCGTCCTCAAGCTTTGAGCTCGAATAAACTCTATGCTTAGAGAATCTCATTATTTAAGGTTGACACATCGTATGTTAAATATCAAAAATAGCATCCAAAGCACTGTGCACAGTGTCACAGTGTAAATCACTAACTTGGTCATAAATCGGTATTTATCGATGTCGATGCTGAGGTTCAACACAAAGGCGGTCTGGAAGGAATCACATCAAAATGTCGACAGTGGCAACTGTGCTCAGTGGACTCTGTTAGTTATTACTTTCTTTGGAGTGATTTTCTGTTTTTTTTTTTTCAAGTTTTCTAGAATGACAGGTGTCTTGTTTTTTTTTTTTATAATCAGGAAAGAAAACACTTTTTTTTGAAAATATTAAATCCCTATACCATTTTCATCATGTTATTCCTGCAAGCCTCTCCTGGGAGTTGCTGCATCCTCTGCGTACCTCCGCTTAACTCCGTCTGATTCTTTTTCAGGGTCTTAACCTTGCTGTTACTGTTGGGATATTCCACGGAGGACCTCATGCGGACCTGGCCTACGGAGGTGCTCACTGGAGACACTGGCAGGCATCCCACAGAGTAGCTTGTCATGTACAGCTCAGCGACACACCCCAGGTGTCCCAAATAATCCACAACAAACTGAAATTGTTTCTTTGAAGAGCTGTGAAGCTGCCCTGCTTATCAGTAGATCACGTGGCCTGCCATCTTTGCTCCCTGCCAGCTGCTCAGCAGCTTTTCCCAAGCATAGGAGAACAAAGTCCACTGGTCCCATGCATTGGAAATTCCCTTCTTTTCCCTCTCTCCCTTTTCTATTTTGCCTATATAGATGAGATCAATCTTTGATTGCTCTTCCGAGTGTACAAATAAAATAGTGTGCAAACACACAACTCTCTACCTGACTCTACTTGTATTTCTTTGGATTTTCCTGGTAAATGGTGAATCCCTGGGCTGGGTCCTGTTCTTGCTTGTCTAGGGTAATGTCACCTGTCTACTTTGAGGGCTGCCATGAGACCTCATTTTTTTTTTTTTTTTTTTTTGAGAAGGAGTCTCACTCTATTGCCCAGGCTGGAGTGCAATGGCATGCTCTTGGCTCATTGCAACCTCCCGGGTTCAAGTGATTCTCCTGCCTCAGCCTCAGTAGCTAGGATTACGGGCATGCGCCACCATGCCTGGCTAATTTTTGTATTTTCAGTAGAGACGGGGTTTCACCATGTTGGTCAGGCTGGGCTTGAACTCCTGATCTCAGGTGATCCACCCACCTTGGCCTCCCAAAGTACTGAGATTACAGGCATGAGCCACTGCGCCTGGCCAAGACCCTACCTTCTGATGTTACTGTTCTAAGGATATTGTTGAGAAGGTTGCTTGTTGCAGAATCCTCTACGTAATGACCCGTAGGAGAGATTCTCTCTGGTCTAGTACCAAGAATGGTCATATTTCCACGAGCAGTTGGTCCATTTTTGTCTAGCAAATTGTATAACCAGCTGGGCTTTCCCTTGCACTGTAACTGCTAGAGGAAAAATTGTGACTCATTCATTGATTTCATGATACACTTTTTTTTTTTTCATTAGTCTCATTCCGGATCCCTTTTACGTCCCGACTTACCTACTTTTAAAATTTTAACCTCGCCTTTTCGCCTACCCATAGTGTATTTCATGGAGGATCCATGGTACATCGTTTGGGGGACACGGCTGCTTGGGAAGAGGCTGCCTTTCTCGGGCTCTCCCACGGCCTGCAGCATGTGCCTCCCTGCAGGGGTCCTCTGTGACCGTGACGGCCCTGGGCTGACAAGTCCTGCATCACTTCACCCAACTCTCGTCTGCCTTCTCTGGACACATGCCAGTTACTCCAGGTCCCTCCTTGAAGACTGGTGTCCAGGGCTGACGTGCAATGCAGATGTGCCTTCCTGACTAGCCTCCCTAGAGCAGCCTTGTTTAAAGTGCATCAGTGCCACTTGGGCTGCTTACGAAACATGCAGCTTCCTGAGTCTGTCCTCCATCCAGGGGGTCAGAACTTCTTGGGGTGGGGTCCAAGAAACAGGCATTTAAAAATAAATTCCCCAGAGATCCAAATGCATGCTAATGTTTGCAAATCTTTCTTTGAAGAAAATGATCCAAGGTTGATGTGAATAGAGACCTTTTTAGTCCTAGCTGATCCCGAAAATCCTTTGAAGTCATAGTCACCTACATTTAAATTTAACCCATCATTGCCAGGTTGCATGTTTGTCAACTGGGCTTTGACTTTGACATATTGGTAATTGTGTGTGTATGTGTTTTGTACTGCTGGGACCCAGGAAAAGCGAATTATGCCCTACTGCTTATGTACCCAAGACAGGGTCAGATGCGAAATCCACTTCTATTCCTACTATGTTTACAATTCTCAGTGATAACAGTAAATGCATTTTGATTATGAAGGTGATGATAACTATGACAACAAGCTCTGCTTGGAAAACTGATATCGGCCTGATCAGAAACCTAGGTGTCCATACCCTTACATCTCCTCTCTTTTTTCTTTTTTGAGAGGGAGTCTTGCTCTGTCACCCAGGCCGGAGTGCAAAGGCGCAATCTCAGCTCACTGCAACCTCCACCTCCCGGGTTCGAGCGATTCTCCTGCTTCAGCCTCCTCAGTAGCTGGGATTACAGGTGCATGCTACCATACCCAGCTAATTTTTGCATTTTTAGTAGAGATGGGGTTTTACCATGTTGGCCAGGCTGGTCTCGAACTCTTGACCTCAGGTGATCTGCCTGCTTCGGCCTCCCAAAATGCTGGGATTACATGTGTGAGCCCCTGCGCCCGGCCAACATCTCCTCTCTTAAGCTAGGTAGCTGAGCCCAAAGCTGAAGTGCAGTAGAGAGGGAGGGGTGAAGATTTAGGGTTGGGGAGTCAGACAGTCCGGGCTTTGGATCCTGTCCCTCCACTTCCCAGTCATGAGTTTGCCATGCTAACACGGGCAGCTGACACATGTATGTGGAATGCTGAGTGCCTCTCCATGTGTTCTGTGGGTATAACAGCAGTCATGTCTCACAACAACTCAAGGAGATTGATCTGTATGTATTAGGTGTATTTCATAAGTGGGGAAACTAAGGCACAGAGATGTTATTCTTGCCTGAAGTTCCACAGCCAGCCATGGGGAGAGGTAGGATCTGAACCCAGAGCCTGGCTCTGGCGCACGGCCCTTCGCCGTGCTGGGCCCCTCTTGTCTCTCCCTCCCTGCGGCTCATACCTCTTTCTGCTTGGTTAAGCGATTCTCCAGGTCTTGCACCTTTTTCTTTTCCTTCTCCATGGCCTCCTTCGCTTTGCGTTTCTCGTAGGCAATGCTGCTCTCTGAGACCTGGAAGTCAATGAAAGTGGTTTGAGGGCCTGTGCCCTCAAAGGGAAATGACACCGAAAAGGGAAACCAGGACGAGTCACTGTGGAAGCCACCAAGTCAGGGTTGGAGAGAAAGATCTCAAGGAACAAAGCACCCACTGGGGACAGAGGTGAGAACCCGGGAGCCATATCTTAGTCATGTGTGTAAAGGAGTGAGTGAGTCATCATTCAAGATTTCAAGGCAGGTGTTCAGGAAGTGACATGCTGGTGAGTGGTTGGGTCCTGGTATTTGGCGCTGAGTCACTGAATAAACTGGCATGTGCTGGCACCGATGCTGGCCTTTGTTGCAAGTACCTGGCTCTTTGGGAGGTAGGGCAGGACAGACAGTGCTGGGGAGGTGCCTTCTGTCTCTGTAGACCCATGTCAATGGCTCCAAAGGAGGACCGAGGCAGCCACTGCCAGTCTACAAAGGCATGGGTTCCCAAAATTCCTGTCTAGGTCAGTTTGTAGCTGAGAACACAAACGCCATATACCTGGTGACGGGGAGGGAATCGGAGGCCCAGACTCACCTGTACATGCCCTGGGAGGTAAACAGCTAGGGAGGGCTTGAAAAACTCTATCTGCAGCTGTTGAAACTCTTGCAATTATACACCACCCCCGCCCCCACCAACATAAAGTTCACAAGAAAAGGATTTTAAATATACGTGTATATGTACAACAAAAGACCAGAGGAGTATGTACTGAAATGTAAGTGACGGTTATTTGGGGGGAATTGGGATTATGGCAACTTTTATTTTGTTCTTTTCACAGGTCTATATCTTCTAAATTTTCTTTAATGCACAGGTATTATTGGCAAAAAGAAAAACGAATGAAAATTGTTACAGGGCATGCAGTGATAGGAGATGGGAATATCGTAATTCAAGGGACAGTATGAGACTCAAGATGTGTGTGGTCCTGAAGGAAAGACGATGTTCCCAATGTTGCCAGTGTTAACATCACGTGTATGGCACCCACCCACCCCACCCGGCTCTGCATATCCAACTCCCAGGCCCCCCTACCCGACCACATCTCCCAATGCAGACCTGGCTTTTTCTCACTGTCAAGTCTTCACTTAAGATGGTTCAATCCTTGCCCTGCAGGTCTAAGTCCTGCCCGTCCTACAAGGCCACCCACACCCTTCCGCATGCCCTGTGGTGAGGGCTCTTCCCCTTCTCTTATTATGCACTGCTTGGTGCGTTGCAAATGAAAATAGTGCACAGAATGTGTTAGTGCATCCAATCTGCAAACCCCAGAGACCATCTATCTGATTATCCCCGTTTCACAAGAAAGGAAATGCAGGCTCCTTTAAGGAGGCAGTATAAAGACAAGCAGTGTTCCAAGGTGTCATCACCAGGAAGCGGTGGTGCAGGCTTAGATGCCAGGGCCCTCGCCTTAACCGTTCGGCCTCTGGGCCCTGATTCAAGCCCTGCCCACTTGGAGGCAGGAGGCTTTTTCTTTTTCTTTTTTCTAATTTTTAAATTTAAATTTACATTTTTTTTGAGATGGATTCTCACTCTGACACCCAGGCTGGAATACAGTGGCATGATCTCGGCTCTCTTCAACCTCCACCTCCCAGGTTCAAGTGATTCTCCTGCCTCAGCCTCCCGAGCAGCTGGGACTACAGGCGTGCACCACCAGGCCCGGCTAACTTTTGTATTTTTAGTAGAGACAGGGTTTCACCATGTTGGCTGGGCTGATCTTGAACTCCCAACCTCAAGTGATCTGCCTGTCTCGGCCTCCCAAAGTACTGGGATTACAGGCGTGAGCCACCGCACCTGGCAAGATGAGTTTATATGTTCATAACCAGGCTGGCACAGAGCCCAAGACACTGCCTGGCTGTAGCCTGAGCTTCGGGACCCCATCCCTGGCCCGTATGTATAAGGGAGGCTCTGGGGGTAGCCGTGACCACAGTTTGGGTCCCACCCCTTAGCGTGTCTGTGCTCCCTCTGCCTACCTGGACTCTGACCTCACTTCCCTCATGGGCTTGGCATTGTCCCGCTGCCAAGGGCTTCGCTTCAGGCTGTGCAACCCCCACCCTGCTGCGCCCACTCAACTGCCCACCCCACCTGGACTCTGACCTCACAGGGCAGGTGCATCCCAAGCCATGAATATACTGACTCCTCATATTACACCTCTAGGGAGGTTCTGCCACCACACCCACATGGCAGATGAGGGCACGGAGAGGGCAAGGGGCATGCCCAGGGTCACACAGCCTGTTAGGGCAGAGCTGAGATTTGAGCCCAGAATGAACCCTTTAGCCCACCAAGCTCTGCAGTTCCTTCCCGTCTCTCCCACCTATTTCCTTCCCCTGCGCCCTGGTGCCTCCCATCTTGGGCCAGCTTTGGTTTCATTCCTCACCCAGTCTCCCTCCCACCCCCCGAACCTGGCAAGCTCAGGTCCTGACCTTCACACCTGTGCCACTTTATCCAGTGGTCCTCTCTGCCCCCAGGCTCCTTTTCCCTTCCAGTTCTCACTGGAATGTCACTTCCTGAGTGGTCCTGCCCTCGGGCACCCTCCAGCCTGCTTTGGCTTTGTGGCCCTGGAGCCGCCCCTGCTTCCGCAGGCTGTCTGTTTCCCTGCGCTAGGATGGAAGCTCTGGGCAGCCCGGCCCTGGTCTGTCTTGCTCACTGCGATGTCCGTGGCACCCAGAACCGGGCCTGGCACATGGTGGGTGGATGAATGAAACTGAGATCAGCAGGTAGATAAATGAATATTTATCGGTAGATGAATGAAACCAAATCAAACCATTCACTGAGCCATCAGCTCTGTTTCTGGAAGTTCTGTGGGGGCCAGGAGGTGTGTGTCTGTGCCACCTCTGTCCCCAAAGCCCAGCTCATGGAGATGCCATGTGGGTCCCTGAGTGACCTCCTACTGGCTCCCCGGCTCTTACTTCCAGGGTGTGACCCGGGCATCCGGGCTGACCTGAGGGCCTGCCTCTCATGCTGCTCAGGGCAGGTGTGTCTGGTGGGCCAGGCCCCTAGGTTGGTGGCACTGGGGTGGGTGGATGTGGATGTCTCCAGCTCTGACCCCTCTTTTTCTCCCTGGTGTCATTCTGTCCTGGGGTGCCCATCTGCTTGTCCCTTCCAGAAGGCGCTGATTCCTGCGGCTTATCTGATGTGACAACCACGTGGGTTTACTATGCACCCACTCGTGCCATCTCTTTTTGTGCTCTTTGTGTCCTTTACTCCTCAGCCAGTCCAGGGAAGGCCTGCTCCAGAGTCCACGACACCAGCAGGCCAGGCCAGGAGCAGTGCTTTCTCCCGTGGCCATGCTGGGTGTGGCACACATGCCTCTCTACCGTGAGGACGATGCTCGCTAAGCCCCTGACCCAGGCTGAAACCCAGGGTTCTCTCCTGGGGAGGATCCCTCTTTCCTAGGTAGCTGAACCAGAGAGCAAAAAGAACTTTCTGAGGGCCCTCTACGATGCAGGGTGCAGTCCTATGTACTTTACACCTGAGAGCATCTAATCTGATGAGGCAGGGACTGTTAGCATTCCCATTTCACAGATGAGGAAACTGAGGGATGGGGAGGTGGCGATCTGCCAGAGGTCACATGGCCAGTCAATGGCAGATCTTGGCCACTTCAAAGGGAGGCGTGCCTGTGATACCTGCCCGATTTCCCACCAGACTCCCCGGGGATCTCCCAGTAGCTCCTTCCAGAAGGTTCTTTCCTGCTGCTGCTCATACCTCCTTCTGTTGGGTTAAGTGGTTCTCCAGATCCTGAACTTTTCTCTTTTCTGACTCCAAGGCTTCCTTTGCTTTTCTTTTTTCATGGGCTATGCTGCTCTCCAAAACCTGCAAAACAATGACCAGTGCACTTGGTGGCCTGCACATTTAGGGGGGAAATTGCTAGTAATGATCATAATAATCATAGTAACAATAACAGCCGAAGTGTTGGGGCGGCTATTAGATACGCCTGGGCCCCTGGCCAGCCCTTCAGTCTCACAGCAACTCTGTCAGAGAAGTGCTGAGAGTGGCCCATTTTACAGATGAGGAAACCGAGGAGCAGGAAGTCTGAGGGCCCAGAGCCACACCCTTTGTCAGAGGTGAGGCCAGGATCTGAAGTCTGCGCAGAGGAAAGCACGGAGCCTGAATAAAGAGCTCTGGACAGGGAACCCGGGAGCAGCGGGGGCAGCTTCCTGTCACAGGGCCAGGCAGCCTCTCTGATCAAAAGAAGAGTCTCGTTAATAATGGAATTTCCATTATTGAAATAAATCTCTTCAACAGAATTCGGTTTCAAGAGAAGGGCAGTATGTTGGATTAATGAGCCACAATATGCCAATTTCTAGAAGGGACAGGCAATGTTCTGGTAGGATGCAGGGACGAAAGTGTGGCCAGTATTGAGTGCCCTAATCAAGGAGTTTTGTCTGGGAAGTTACTTGCTGGTAAGCTATTCAACTAAACAGCTTAACGTAAATCACCAAAGGAAATATGTTGCCAGCCTGTTTCCAGTCACCACGAGAAGGGCCACCTCTATTTTCCAATGGCTTATCTTTCAAACACCAGGTTAACTGTCAGGTATTTAGAACTTGGAAGATGGTTGCCATTATAACCAGTGGTGAGGGCCCCAGACGAGCCCGCAAAAAGTGGTTAATCCAGAATATGGCTGAGGATATTGTATACTTTGCAGTGAAAAGCAGTTGACAAAACTCCAACACTCTGCTGTCCCAACACCAGCCTTAAAGCAGAAGAAAAGTGACATCATAAGAATTTCATGTTTATTTGGATCCTTTGAAGTGGGTTTTGAGGTAGGACATTTTCCTGTGAACTGTGAAAGAGACTTTGAGGCACTTCCTAGGGACTTAGGGTTGGCTCTGCTGTGTCTGACTCTGCGTCTACACTCGCCAGGCCTTCCTCTGGGCAGCTCCTCTGTAGCCAGGACAGGTACTACTGGGAAGAGAGGCCTTGCCTGGCTCACACGTAGGCCCTACATACCCAGTTGCCGTGCTTCCAAGTTCACAACGGATAATGGGGATTAACTTTGAACATGACCTCAAGATCCAGATTATGACCTAGTGATTCTGTTGACCTTAAAAACCCTGATAATGTGGCGGAAGAGCTAATGAAAAGAAAATCAGGCCGGGTGCGGTGGCTCACGCTTGTAATCCCAGCACTTTGGGAGGCCAAGGCAGGCAGATCGCTTGAGGCTAGGAGTTCAAGACCAGCCTGGCCAACACGGTGAAACCCCGTCTCTACTAGAGATACAAAAAATTAGCCAGGCGTGGTGGTGTGCGCCTGTAATCCCAGCTACTTGGGAGGCTGAGGCATGAGAATCGCTTGAACCCAGGAGGCAGAGGTTGCACTGAGCCAAGATCATGCCGCCGCCCTGCAGACTGGGAGACAGAAAAAAAGAAAATCAAATAGCCACTGGCAGTTGAATGGAGCCTGTGGCTGGGGCTGCTCTTTCAATTTTCCCCGATAGGAAGCCACAGAGAAGTTCTTCCAGAAGTAGGCTGACATTTTAACAGACCCAGGGTGATCCAACCACAGATCCTCTCTGCAATGAAGCTTGAATTTTTCTCCCGAGCCCCGTGGCCTCAAAGTCTCTAAATTCAAGGATCTTCCCCAGGCCTTTGCTGTTGACATCTTGGGGCATTTTTTTTTTTTTTTTTTTTTTTTTTGAGACAGAGTCTCGCTCTGTGGCTCAGGCTGGAGTGCAGTGGCTGGATCTCAGCTCACCGCAAGCTCCGCCTCCCGGGTTTATGCCATTCTCCTGCCTCAGCCTCCTGAGTAGCTGGGACTACAGGCGCCTGCCACCTCGCCCGGCTAGTTTTTTGCATTTTTTAGTAGAGACGGGGTTTTACCGTGTTAGCCAGGATGGTCTCGATCTCCTGACCTCACGATCCGCCCGTCTCGGCCTCCCAAAGTGCTGGGATTACAGGCTTGAGCCACCGCGCCCGGCCCATCTTGGGGCATTTGACTCAAGGGACTCCTTGGAGACCCTGCTCCTCATCCCCACCCCAGAGGCATTACTTGGGGGCAAACCTCAGTGATGCTCTGGGAGAGGCTGCAGGACACAGCTGTGCCACAGACTGCAGCGATGGATGGGCAAGGATTTTACTTGAGGAGTCGATGTTGATGAAAAACAAATACCCAAACAGAAGAAGGGGCACAAGTGGCAGCAGAGACAGTAGCAACAGCTGCCATTTACTCAGCAATAATTCCACAGGCCAGGCCCTCCATTATACACTAGATCTGAGCCCACAGTCGCCCCTTCGAGAAGGGAGGTAGTGATAGGTCTGCTGCAGCCAGGAAGTAGCCCAGCTCGGATTCGAACTCGTGTCTCATCTGGCTGCAAAGCCCGCACTCCCCTGTGCTGTGTCAGGACTGAGGAATTCATGAAAGCAGACATGAAAAAGGATCAGGGATCTGAGGGTGACTACAAGCTAAACATGAATCCACAAATGTGGCAGAGCTTTCCCAAAAGCTAGTTCAGACATATTAACAGAAGTAGAACATCTTCAATGAGGGAGGGAAAAGTCCTCCCCTTAGGCTACCGTGGCTGGAGAACAGTGGTTCTGGCCACCTCCCTTTAGGAAGAAAATGAGTGATGGGTGACAAACTCAAATGCCTATGAAGCCCAGACAGATACCAAAAAACGACGTGGGCTGTGTTTAATGCAATAGGGAGTGGTGAAAACTGTGGCAAACTGCTGCTACCCGGTAGGGCTTCTAGTCCATTTTTGCTAAGTAGAAACAAGGGCTAGATTTTCTGACTTTTCGGGAGTGGATGGAAATCTGAACTTTTAAGTAGATTCTATGAATTCAAAGTAAAATATTCTGGGGCCAAACATAACCTCCACAGACCCTGTTTAGTCGCTGAGCTTCCCAGTCTGTGACTTCTGGAGAGCAGCACAGGCCACAGGAGGGGGCCAGCACCAGGTTCCAGTCCTGTGAGGGACCTGAGGAACAAGGGTGCTTGGGCCTGGGGAGGAGCAGATGCAGGGCGCGGGCACCTGTATTTTCACACATCTGTGTCACCGTGTGGAAGAGGAAGTGGACGTACCTCGTGGGAGCGCAGGGGAGGGCGGAGGATTGATACTCTTCTGGGGCATAAGAGTTTGACCCAACTCAACCTAAAGGGAAAACTTTCTGTTGGCCTGAGGCATCCATGCGGGGACGGACTGCCCTGGGGTGGAGAACATTCCTCAGCGGTGGTGCTCAAGGCTGGATGCTGGTGGAGGGTCCATGCAGCCCTGAGGTCCCATGACTCTGTCATTCTACCGTTTCTGTGCTTTGGAACACAGAATATGCCCATGTCACCATTCCTACCTGTCTCCCAAGCGCTCTCTCTCTCTGACTGTGTTTTACACTGTTTACAGTTTTTTCCCAACTGGTTGTCAAGGCTACAAACTCTGGGGTTCCCTTGAGTCTCCCACGCTTCCCGAAGTAGCCGAGTCCACCCAAACGTAAACTGCATGAGGAAGGCTCCACCACACTCTCACCCCCATCATCAACGGCTCTGAACTTAATTCCACATGGCCCTGAAGCCGACTGGGGCTCAGCCGACTCTATCTCCCCGGGCATACCTCCTTCTGGCGGGCCAAGCGTTTCTCCAGCTCTTGGACTCTTGTCTGCTCTTCCTCTAATGCTTCCTTCACTCTGTTCTCCTGGGTAATGCTTTCCGCCAAAGCCTGAGTCAAGGATCATTGTTTAATAGACATGGTTACCGTGGCAGGAATTTGGACTCTGCCAGGCACCACATAGGTTACCTCTTCCCTCTTGACTGCACCTCCCTGTGGGGGGCTGTGGGCAGCACAGCCCTGGAACTCAGAGCCAGCGGGCCCAGACCAGAGCCCCAGATCCACCCTTCTTAGCTGCAGGGCCTTGATGTGGGCTCGAGCTGACTCTGTCTCCCTGAGCCACGTACCTTCTTCTGCTGGGCCAGGAGGCTCTCCAGCTCTTGCATTCTCTTCCGTTCTTCTTCCAAAGTCTCGTTCGCTCTGTTTCTCTCTTGCGTAATGCGCTCCTCCAAAGCCTGGAAACCAATGACTGTTGTTTAATAGACATGGTTACCATGGCAGGAATTTGGACACTGCCAGGCACTGCATGGGCTACCTCTTCACTCCTCACCACACTCCCCTGGGGAGGCTGTGGGCAGCAGAGTCTAGGAGCTCGGAGCATGTGCTCTGGAGTCAGGAGACCCAGGGTAGAGCCCCAGGTTGATCCTTTCCAGCTGTAAGACACTGGGGAAGTAAAGCTACCAGAGCCTCAGTTGCCCTGCCTGTACAATGGAGACAGTAATAGTCTTCCTGTGTTGGGTTGATGTGAGGGGTGGATGGGATGACGAGCACGAAATGGCTGGCACAGTGATAACCACGCTTCCCACCTTGCAGACGAGGAAACAGGCTTACATGAAGGAATCCACCCAGTTTACTAGTAAATCACATGAGTAGGGATTCTAACTCTGACCCATTTGATTCTGAAGCCTGTGTTCTAAACCAGAGGTTAGCAAACAACGGTTTACAGACCAAATCTGGTCTGTTTTTGTGAATAAAGTTTTATTGGAACACTCTGTGCTTGCTGTGTATTGTCTATGGCTGCTTTTGCAGAAGAGCAGAGAGCGTATGACCTGCAAAACTGAAAATATTTACTATCTGGCCCTTTATGGGACCATCTGGCCAATCCCTGATCTAACGCATCGGTGTGTGCACAAATCAAGTGACTGTTGTCAACAACTGGTAATAAGAAAAGAATGCTAGATTGATAGAGGAACCCAGACTTTTTTTTCCCCCCTTTGAAACAAAGTCCTCAAACAAGTCAAGATTCATGAGAGGGAGGCTACTTAATGAGCCTGGACACATGTTTTTTCGGAAAGGGCAGGTGATGGGAGTCAGAAGGGCTAAGGAAGGCTCACATAGTCAGGACACCTGGCACTGATGTCCAAGAGGTAACTTTCCAAGGAGTCCCCAGGGTCAAGTCCATCAATCCGACTGTCAGAGGAAGGGTGACCTTCGAGTGTCACAGTCTGTCTGGCAGGGACCTGATGTCGCTTCCTCCCTTTGCAAGGACGGTGGGGTGCATCGAGGTTTGCAGGTTTAAAAGAGGGGCTGACGCCAGCTCTTAGAACACTCTGCCAGGCCAGTGTCGCCATGGGTGTCTAGGAAGACTAGGCAGGCGCCCAACGCAGTGTTTAACACGGTGGGGCTGAAATACCAGACCCTGACAAGGGAAAAAGTCCATCCAAAATTAAAAAGAGAAAATAAGGCATTTGGAATGCCGATGTTAAAAGGAGAAGGTAATCAGAGAAGAGAAAAGGAAGTCGGTGGAGAGTTCTGTGAACATCCTGAAGATTTCTAGGTACTTTCTGGTTGTATTTTCTTCTCTGTGGAACAGTGCTGGCTTCTTCCATATCTAAATGCCCTTCAAAATGTGCCCGTCTTGATTTATAGCTATCATTAATATTACCTTTATGCGGATTGCACATGATTTGGTCAGATGGCTCTTCCTTTTTAATCTTTTATTTCGCAAATGCAGAAAAGCAGAGAAAGAGGCAAAGAGAAGGGGGAGGAGGAGGAGACCGATGTCTTGGGGTAACTGGACACACATGTGAGGATGGAGATGAAAGGGGGAGAGGTCTGGAGGGCAGGTGTGTGTGGCAGAGGAGCTGGGGAAAGATGGAGAAGGTGGCAGGTCCAGTCCTCTTCTGGGGAAGAAAGGAGAGATCTGGGAAGAGTTGAGGTCTGGTGGATCTGGGGCTGCTATCTTGCGGGGGCTGTGAGCAGGGTCAGCACACACAGGCTGCTCCACACCCACCCACGACAGTGGCTCGCAACTGTGGCTGCACTTTGCAACCACCCGGGAGTGCTTAGAAATCCCAGAGCAGGGGCCACACCCTCACCCCACTTAGATCACAATGCGGAGAGTCGGTGAGGAGAGGTGCAAGGCATTAGTAATCTTTAATCTCCTAAATGACAAAAGTCATAAAGACGGTAAAATTCATGGGAGGGGTCCCTGAATATCAAAAAGGGCCAACCCTTGGGTATGGCGGCTCATGCCTGTAATCCCAGAACTTTCGGAGGCTAAGGTGGGAGGATCACTTGATGCCAGGAGTTTGAGACCAGTCTGGGCAACACAGAGAGACCCCATTTCTACAAAAAATAAAAATATTAGCTGGGTGTGGTGGTGTGTGCCTGTGGCCCCAGCTACTTGAGAGGCTGAGGTGGGAGGATCACTTGAGTCCAGGAGCTCAAGACCAGACTGGGCAACACAGCAAGATCCCATCACTACCAAAAAAAAAAAAATTATCTGGGTGTAGTGCCATATGCTTGTGGTCCCAGCTACTTGGGAGGCTGAGGTGGGAGGACTACTGCAGCCTGGAAGTTTGAGGTTGCAGTGAGCTGTGATCACACCACTGCACTCCAGCCTGGGCAACAGAGCAAGACCCCATCTTAACAAAAAAAAGGGCCAACTCTAGGACAGTGATGAGAATCAGCTCATTAAATAATACAGTTTCCTGGCCCTCTCCAGATGTTCTGATTTAACGGGTCTGGCGTGGGGACCAAGATCTGTATTTTTAGCAAAACATCTGGGTGGTTCTGATCAGGAAACTTTGGGAAAATCTTCCTCTAAGACTTTGCCCTAAGAAAATGTGGATCTGCAGACTGGTAGCGTCAGCACCATCTGGGAGCTTGTTGGAAATCTAGCGTCTCAGGCCTGCTGAGACAGAATCTGCATCTTAACCAGATCCCCAGAAAATTCACGGGCACCTTCGAGTTTTAGAGACACTGCTGTCTTCTAACTGGCCTGGTTTCTAGAAAAGTCAGTAGCAATTTTGGCCATTTGTTTTCCCTGATATGTATAAAGAGAAAGCAAAAGACTGAAATTTGTCATCTGAAGTTGATCTTGTGCACATTTAGAAACAGTCTGTCAGCTACAAACCAGGACCTGCAGCGATGACTCAGATTTTATAAAGCTGACTGCAATGTGTACACAAACAAGGCACCGTTTCCTGAAATTTCAATCACGCTGCCTTTTCAAGCTGATTTTGCTGTGAGTTTTAGAATTCAAACTTCATGTTAAATCCTCCCCACTTATTCACCCTGTTTAATTAATTTAGTTTCACGGCACCAAACAGAGTAGCTGAGATTTGTCTAAGTACATATGCCCTCAATTTCCCATATAAAAGACCATTTCATCAATTTTCAGTAGTAAAGCAAATGACAGGGACCACCTTACCGCCTTCTCTTCCGTCAGTTGCCTGATTTTGGCTTTCAGCTTCTCCTCTTGCTCTAGCCTCTCCTCGTTCAGCTGCTTCTTCTCTGCCAGATGCTCCCGCAGCTTTTCTTGCAGTAAAGACTGCTGAGTTTCTTGAGAACTGTTGAACTTGATCTGAAATGAGAGAAAAGTAAACCGATGCTGATGGGGGACAGGCCTAACTAAAGAGTCTTTCCACATTTGTTTACCAATTGTTTACCTTTCATGGGACAAAGGTTTACCCAAAAGTTTCTTAAAATCACAGAACACCACAGCATGCAGTGATTAAGAATTCAGACTCTGGATCTAGAAAGAATCCCAGCTCTAATTGTTTCTAGACACTTCCTCATTTAGAAAATGAAGTTAATAACAGTATTGACCTTTTAGAGTTGTGAGGATTAAGTGAGATAATGATGGAAAGCTTTTAGCAGTGCTGAGCACATAGTAGGTGTCTAGTAAGTGGTAGGTGGGTGTGAGAAAAAAAAAAAGCAGTCACTTAGGAGCCAGGAGGCTTGAACATTTGTCTTGATTCTTCGCCCATTAGCTGTGTGACACTGAAATTGTCCTTATCTGAAAAATGAGGAGAAGGGACTAGACCAGGGGTTGGCAAACTACAGCCCACAGGCCAAATCGGGTCCACTGCATACTTTTGTAAATAAGGTGGCTTTTTTTTTATTTTTTATTTTTTCCTGAGCTGGTGTCTTGCTCTGTTGCCCAGGCTGGAGTGCAGGGACACGATCTTGGCTCCCTGCAAACTTCACCTCCTGGCTTCAAGTGATTCTCCTGCCTCAGCCTCCCGAGTGGCTGGGATTACAGGTGCCCACCACCACACCTGGCTAAGTTTGGTATTTTGAGTAGAGATGGGGGTTTCACCATGTTGGCCAGGCTGGTCTTGAACTCCTGACCTCAGGAGATCCAACCACCTCGGACTCCCAAAGTGCTGGGGATTACAGGCATAAGCCACTGTGCCCGCCATAAATAAAGTTTTATTGGAACCGTGGCATACTTATTATGCCCATTGCCTACATATTGTCTATGGCTACTTTCATTTTACTGTAGTAGAGTGGAAGAGGTATGAATATGGTCTGCAAAGCATAAAATATTTACCACCTAGCCCTTTACAGAGAAAGTTGCCAATCCCTGGACTCAAGCCTCTGTGGCTGATTGGCACGGTGGTCCCTTCTTCACCCCACTCTATCCATGTCTAGGGCTATGTAACTTGCAGTGCCCGCCCATATTTTGCCTCCAGACACTGAACTCAGCCATGTGACTTGCTCTGGCCAATGGGATCTTAGCAGACATAACACAAGCAGAAGGTTGAAAAACACTATGTGATTGGGCCACTTTCTCTTCTACCTCTGCAGTCTCCCTGAGAACAGCCTAGATTTGCTTGCTGGGGGATGAGGGACACATGGAGCTGAGTCACTCCAGCTGAGGCCAGTCTAGATCAACCAAAGGCCAGCTAACACCCAGACAAGTGGGCAGGCCCATCCAAGGTCAGCAGAGCCACCTTGCCACTGACCCCAGACACGTGAGCAGTAAATAGCAACTGCTGAATGCCGCTGAAGTTTTGTGGTTATTATATAACACTCTTATGGCTATAGTTATCAGAATGATATAACCCCTAAAGCTCATTTGCCTCTAGAATATTTCTTTTCTTTTAGTAATTCTGCTGCCTGTACTATAGATAGCTGTATTTTGTCCACTGGATTTAACAAACACAGTTTTCAAAATCTGATGGCATTAAGGCCAGGCACAGTGGCTCACACCTGTAATCCCAGCACTTTGGGAAGCTGAGGTGGGTGGATCACTTGAGGTCAGGAGTTCAAGAGCAGCCTGGCCAACATAATGAAACCCCATCTCTACTAAAAATACAAAAATTAGCAAGGCATGGTAGCAGGCGCCTGTAATCCCAGCTACTTGGAAGGCTAAAGCAGAAGAATCAATTGAACCCAGGAGGCAGAGGCTGCAGTGAGCCGAGATTGCGCCACTGTACTCCAGTCTGGGCAACAGAGCGAGACTCGGAAAAAAAAAAAAAAAATCTGATGGCGTTAAGTCTTCTGGGCCTTTGACAGAGGAAAACAAACAGTGTGGTTGGCCCAGGAGGCCAGACAGATGGCAGCACCCTGTCCTTGTCCTTACCCTCCTGGGAGATCTTAGCCAACCTTTTCTGTACCTCTTTGTGTGCAAACAGAGAAATCATTTCACCTGTTGGAGGGTGTGGACTGACTAGCTGATAAAGAAAAAACAGGTTTCAAATGCACAGTGCTATATAAATGCCAACCAGGGGCTGAAATGAACTTTGGAAAAAAAGAAATTAAAAGAATTACCTGAAGTTCCTGGGTCTGGCTCATAAGTTTTTTATAATGTTCCAGAAGATATATCAGATACAAAGAGAACCCTTAAAAAAAGAGAAGCAGGAAGAATGTAAGTATCAATTCAATTCAACTCCAAAGCTTGCAGACAGGTGGATGAAGGCAACGTTGCCATCCCATCAAAACAACATGAGCTGTCATCCAACCTGTGGTTTTAAAGTCGTTGATAGGCAGCCGGGCACGGTGGCTTAGGCTAGACATGGTGGCTCACGCCTGTAACCCCAGCACTTTGGGAGGCTGAGATGGCAGATCACCTGAGGTCAGGAGCTCGAGACTAGCCTGGCTGGCCAACATGATAAAACCCCATCTCCACTAAAAATACAAAAACTAGCTGGGTGTGGTGGTGCATGTTTGTAATTCCACCTCCTTGGGAGGCTGAGGCATGAGAATCACTTGAACCTCAAAGGCAGAGGTTGCAGTGAGCCCAGATTGTGCCACTGCATTCCAGCTCGGGCAACGGACAGAGACTCGGTCTCAAAAAAATAAAAATAAAAATAAACATAAAAATAAAAAAAGTAGTTGATAAGCCTTGGTTGAGCTCACATTCAACTTTCTTTTTGGAGGTGGAAAATAAACCATCAACAGAACACCTATTAACTGCCTACTGTGTGTAAAGCATGGTGCTAAGTGTGGGGGATGGTCAAAAGCCAAGACCTCCAGGGGCTTGCAGTTCAGTCCGACAGACAAGGTGTAAATGCCTGCTGGAAACACGCAATGACCTCAGGTGGCGTGTAAGTGACTGCTGAAGGAGAGGGGAGGGTGAGGGTCTCAGAGGAGGGAGACATCATTCCTGGAGTGAGCGAGTAAGGCCACTTGGTTGAAGAACCACTGGGTGTGGGTGCTGTTGGGTGGGCAGAATTCAGTGAGCCGGGGGAGGGTGCTTCAGAACAGGGGTGTGTGGGGCTGAATGATGACCCCCTACGATTCCAGGTCCGAATCCCTGGAACCTGTGGGTGTGACCGTACGGGGCAAAAGGAGCTTGGCAAATATGATTTAAGTTCAGGATTTCGAGGTGCGGTGTTCTCCTGGATTATCTGGGTGGACCCAATGTCATCACATGGCTTCTTATAAGAAGGAGACAGAGGGAGGTTTGACCACAGACAGAGGGGAAGGTGATGTGATGGAAGAAGAGAGACCGGAAGATGCCACGTCACTGGCTTTGAAGATGGAGGAAGGGGCCACGAGCCAAGGAATGCAAGGAATGAAGCTCTAGAGGCTGAAGAAGGCCAGGAAACGGATGCCGCCCTAGAGCCTCCGGAAGGAACTTTAACCCGGTGAAACCGAATTAATCCTGAACGCTAAGAGAATAATGTGTTGTTTTAAGCCACTCTCTTGTGGTCATTTGTTACAGTAGTCACAGGAAGCCATAGCTTCGTACAGGGATGTGGGGGTGGTGGGGGTGGGTTAGGAAAAGGCAGTGCTCCTCCAGGGAAGTGCTGAGCTTACTTGGGCTGGAGTAGATGATGGGAGAGGGAGGAGCAGATGGTGGAGGAGGCGTGGAAGGGTGAGGTCAAGCTGTGACAGGCCTGCAACCATCACCTTGAGAGAGGAAACTTGATTTAAACATGATTGAAAGGTGCCCAGTGGGTCCCCATTTTATAGATGAGGCAGTGGCATTCTGAGACGCGGGCCTGCCCGACGCCACACAGCAGGCCAGTGGCTTAGCCAAGACTAATTGGTGTGACTCAGGGTCTGAGTCACTATTCTAGCAGCTGGCAGAACAGTGAAGTAGCCTGATGAAGAGTGGTGTGTGTGTGTATGTGTGTTTCTTTTGCAGAAAAATAACTGGGCTGCATTCGAGAGGCTGGAGCTGGCAGGGCTTCTTTGCTGCAGCACTGCTGATAGGTCCGGCCATATTGCTGGTATTGCACTGCTGACATTGTTGAGTCTGTGCCGTGGGGGCTGCCTTAGGCATTGTGGGATGGTTAGTAGCATCCCTGGTCTCTACCCACTGGATGCCAGGGGCACCCCCACTCACCCCACCCCAGTTGTGACAACCAAAAATGTCACCAGACGATCCTGGATGTTGCCTGTGATAAGCTCCCCTCCTCCGAGTGAGAGGCAGGGAGCTCTGCTAAGGGCCCGAGAGACGCCCAGGAATTCAGTGCTGATCCTCTAACCGAGGGTGGGAGAAGCGAGGAGGAGAAGGAAGAAAGGGAAAGCCTTTCAAAGCGGTAGAATGGTGGCCGCGCCATCAGACGGGAGAGAGACAGGGTGGGGTTGGGGTGGGCTGTGGCAGGGGGAGAGAAGCCCCCAGGCTGTTTCAGACATGCTGAATTGGAGGCATGGGCAGGACTCGAGGGAGGGATGGTCAGCGGAGAGCTGGACATGCTGACTGGCAAGGCCGGCCCAGCCCAGCCCATCCAGGGTCCTCGTGTGAATGAAGAAAGAGGCCCCCAGCCAGGGACCCCACCTGCTGCCTCGGCTGGACTCCCTGCACCATCTTCCCGGCAGCCCCTCCTGCAGAGGCGTCCGTGTGGATAACACATAGTAGTGGCTGGGGAAGCCCGGAAGTGCAGAGTTTCTTTGTGAGAAAGGAGACGGGGTGGACCAAGGGCTGACTGCACAGGAGAAAACACCCTCGTTAGGGACAGGAGTTGGTGAAGGGGCTGCTGGGAATGAATAGAAAAGATCAGGAGGGAAGCAGAGTGCCCCAGGGCCTGAAGAGCTGAGGGGCAAAAGGGTTTCAAAAAAGAGAACGAAGAGTGTTGGGCAGGTCAGAGACATGGTCCCCGAGAGGGTGGTGGCCCAGTCAGTGCTGCAGGGGGCCCACGTCAGTTACTTGGCAGAAAGGCCAAGAAGTTGGCAATGAAGACCGAGGGTGCAACATGCTTCTTAAAGATCACAGGTGAAGACAGGAGTAAGAGCAATTGAAAAGGAGCAAAAGAAGCGATGGATTCCAGAGAAGAATGATTTTTTCAGGATGGTAGAGCCATCTTGAAGTGCCCCTTCGATGGCAAAGGGAAGGAACTAAGAGGAAAAGAAAGGCCGCAGACGCCAAAGAAAGAAGAATTTTGTGCACAAGGTCCCTGGGAAGGAGAGGAAAGGGGAGACAGGGCAGGGTACGTGCTGCATCTAGGAGGAAGACCTCGTGGGGATGATGGAGGGAAGGAATAAAAGATGGACACAGAGAGAGAAAGGAAGCGAGGAGAACATGCTTGTGCATGGGGCAATGCACCGTTCGGAGGATTTCCAGCACAGAAACGTGAGAACAGCAATATTATAATAATAGCACACCTCCTGTATGCCAGTGCTATGCCAAGAGTCTGATACATCTTTCTAATCATTATAAACAACCTGGCAAGGAAGTGTGTTCATATTTATAGGTGAAACGACAGAAGCTCCCCAAGGTTAAGCTACAGAGCTGGTAAGTGGTAAATCAGAATTCAGACCTAGGTCTGTCACTCTCTTTTCAAAGGGTTTGGAGGCTTGAGAGTACAGGGTTTGGGTTGGTGCATTGGGGAGGTGCATTGCAAGGATACCAAGATGGCGGAGGAAGTGAGATGGCTGAGCTGACATTGGCTTGGCCCATTGGACCAGGTGAATACAGACATCTGTGGAGGCTCTGTTGGGATAAGTCTGGGATTTTGCTTGGCTGCAACGTGTGACCCAGGAACCAAAGGAGAAGGATGAAATCATAGTTGGGATCTGAGGAGGACTAAGGGGTGAGGGAGTTGAGGATGCTGAAGGGGAGGCCAGTATTTGATCACGTTTCTATTTCTAGATGAGATGACTAACTGTAATGATAATGGGATTTTGCTCTTTGGGGGAAGCAACAAGTCTTTCTTATACTTCTGTTTACAAAAGTTATATATGTTGCAGAAATTCATGATGTGGGAAGTGTTTGCTGCTGTGTCTTCCTGTTCGGCATGGTGGCTGGCACACAGGGGCCCTCAACGAACAGTTGTTGAACAACTGAATGGAAGTCAAGGTCCAATGCAATCCCACCCTGCTGCGATAATACTCCTAACAGTTTGATGTCTTTTTCTCAAGGTTGTTCTTTTGCTCAGATACTGACATCTAAAAAAAATAAAAGCACACTAAGCATATTGTATTGCAACTTGCTTTCTTTTCATTTAAAGACACAGTGTATCTTGGATATCTCAGTGGTTTGCCATGCATGCAAGAAAAGTCCTTTGTTTGTAACAAAGTCTTGCAGAAATAGACACAAACGATGGAGCTTGCAGAGAAAAATGTAAAAAGTCCTTTCCTTCCCTTATCAGAGGAACCCTGAGAAACCAGGCAGGAGGAGTATTCAGCTGACTTTCAAGGTGCCGCTTAAACATTCTTATCCTCCCAGCTGAACCACAAAGCAAATCCTCCACCCTTCCGAACACACTGGACCCCACCAGGCCTCACCTTGTGGGTTACACATGACATCTCACACAAACACTGCAAGTCGTTTCCCTGACGTTTAGCCCACCTGGATTCCTCTGGGGGATTCGTTTCAGGACTTACGTCCTAGTTTGTGACGTGTGTTTTATCTCTTAGGAGGATGTTCTAAGAGGCAGGTAGCCCAGTGGTCAAGAGCAGGCGGTCTGAGGTTGGAGGGGCGTGGACTGGGTTGCAGCTTGGTCACCCGGCAGTCGGGACACCAGAGCCACTGTCACGACTCTAAGGAGGAGGCCTCTAGAAAGGGCTGTTGGCTTCAACCCAATTGAGGGCTCACAGCTAAGGAAACCCCATTTGCTGCTAAATGGAGACAGGGCCGAGGCTCCAAAGGATGTCACCTGGGTGCAAGTAAACCAGGCTATGCGGCCCACATGCCTGCCTGGCTGGTGGCTACCCATGTTTAGGTCAGATTAAGTCAACAAGTATTGGAGGCTGACAATGACAGCAGCCCCCACCGAGTATGAGCTGCCTGTGACCAGCACTGCCATGCGTGTATCCCAACACTCAGTCCTCATATGCCCCTAAGAGACTGGATGGCCATTTCATGAGCAAGTAAATGGAGACACAGCCACATCACGTAACTGCCCACATAGCTAGTAGGTGCACAGCTGAAATTCAGGCCTTGGCAGTAGGTCCCCAGTGTCCCAGCTTGGAACATTACTGTGATACAGATGGGGCTTTCTGTGGTTATGGCGCAGGGTAGGAATCAGATGCAGTTTACCTTAGGGAAAAACGACTCTCAGCTCTGTCGCTGGCCGAGCCGATGACAGCACCCATTCTCGAGGGACTGGGCACGTGCCTGGTACCTTGGTGCATCTTCAGAGGCAGTGTGTATGTGTGTAGGGGGTGGGGGTGAAGGGGCAGGGATCATAGGGAAGACACAAGTGTCAGGGTCACGAAGACCTCCGTTTGAGTCCTAGCCCTAATGTACTAGCTGTGTGACCCTGGGCAACTTTTTAACATTACTGTGTCTCAGCTTCTTTACTTTTAAAATGCAGGCTGGGCGCTGTGGCTCACGCCTTGTAATCCCAGCACTTTGGGAGTTGAGTGGGTTGCTTGAGCCCATGAATTTGAGACCAGCCTGGGCAACATGGCGAAACTTCATCTCTACAAAAAAACACAAAAATTAGGTGGCATGGTGGCACATGCCTGTAGTTCCAGCTACTTGGGAGGCTGAAGTGGGAAGATCGCTTGAGCCTGGGAGGTGGAGGTTGCAATGAGCTGAAATCATGCCACTGCACTCCAGTCTGGGCAACAGAGCAAGACTTTCACTCAAAAAAAAAAAAAAAAAAGATAAATAAAATAAAGATGGTAATCATACCTGCCTCCCTGGGTAGGTGGGAGGATAAAAGTACACAATGCGTGTGAAACACCTAACACAGTGCTAAGTCCCCAGGAGGAGTTAACAACCCGTGCTTTCTACCCTTCTCTTCGGAGCCAGACATGCAGGCAGCTCCTGGGAGTATACGGGATGGCGATGAATAGACTGGGGACTCCCTGTCAGCCTCTGTAACGTGAAGTGCCTCGAATCACCTTATCCTGGTGGAGTAATCAGAAAACCAGCTTTGAGCCAGTTACCTCTTTTCTAAAATGAAGATAATGGGCCAATTATTAACTCATAGAGTTATTGTGAGGATGAAATGAGATCATGTATAAAAAATGCTGAGAACCGTATCTAGAATACAAGTCCTCAGTGATGAATGACTGTCATTGTCACCATAATCACCGTCATCACTGTCATCATTACCTTCCTCCTTCCTCCTCGTCCCTCCCCCTCCCCATCCTTCCTCCTCATCTTCCTCTTCCCGATCCTCCTCCTGGACTAGCCCTGGGCTAGGAATTAGGTATAAGAGTAGAGAATATGGGGCATACTCTAGCTCACCCTGTTCTTTCAGTCTTTTGGGCACTTGACGTAATATTGCTTGTACTGGAAGAGAAAATGCCTTTTACCATCAACTTCCTCTTCTGCTGAGTGGACAAAAGATGTGCCCTGCTTACCAACCTTTCTGTTATTCTCCATTCTTTTAGTTGTAATCACAGAATATGTAGCCAGCAAACCACCGTTTCCCCAACGAGTGTTTCGTGGAACATCATTCCAAGAGGTTAGCTGGGGGCGGGGGTGGGGGTAAGGGCATCAAGAAAGGGGACCAGTAGTTGGGAAATACTGCTTTCTTTTTCCCCTTCTTGTTGACCCAGGGTGCGTGTTAACCAGGGAGGGATTCTGCAGAGACCTGCTTAATGTCCTTCAAATCTCCCGACTCTATGAAGTCAGAATGAAATGGCTGGTCTGAGGAATGCTGCCTAAAATCAGTCTTCCTTAGCTTTTCTGGAATTACTGGCCTGAAAGCTTAACTTTACAATCTGCATTTATTTATTTATTTATTTATTTATAGACAGGTTCTCACTGTGTCACACAGGCTGCAGTGCAGTGGCATAATCATAGCTCACTGCAGCCTCGAAATCTTAGCCTCAAGGAATCCTCCTGGCTCAGCCTCATGAGTAGCTGGAACTACAGGCCTGTGCCACCATGCCTGGCTAATTTATTATTATTTTTATTTTTTTGGAGATGAGGGGTTTCATGACATTGCCCAGGTTGGTCTTGAACTTCTAGTTTTAAATGATCTTCCTGCCTCAGCCTCCTAAGTTGCTGGGATCACAGGCATGAGCCACTACAACTGACAGCAACCCACATTTCTTAACAGTAATATATGCCTAGATTTATGGACTTAGTCTAGATGACTAAAATGGTCTTGGGAGTGGGAAGGGGACAGTGCACACATAGCTTGGCTCTGTTATTACCAGGATGGAAATCAGGGTCTTTGTTTTAGTTCCGGTCTTGAAGAACAACGAGAACTCTGCTCCATGTTTTACCGCATTTCAAGTAAGCTCACGACTCTGCCTTGATTGCAAGAACAGTAACACTCTCTGCTATATGATGAGGGGAAGGTTCCTACATCAAAATTAATGTTGGTTTTGCTTGTGCTTTTTAAGAATGTTACCCCACCTTCTGGATACTTTGGAAGCATCCTGCGGGGGATGTTGAAGCGCCAGGTTGAAAATCACTCCTCTATTCTTATTCCTTGTGGAAAGAATATAAAACTGAGGCAGGCTCTCTGGAGGGTGATTTGGCAAGGAGAAGCAACAAGCTTCAAAATGTTGGAGTTCCTTAAGGTGCAGCCCTGGGCTCTTTCCCTTCTCTCTCATTAATTTCATGTCAGTCATGAGCTTCCATGAAATCAGGCAAAACATGGAGCAAAGTTCTCCGGCTGTTCTTCAAGATTGAAGAATAAATAATCTTCCGAAGTGATACCATTCACATCTATGGCCTTAATCTTCCTTCCTGCTTTGCTTCCTGCCTGCTTGCCTCCCTTCCTGCTTTCCCTCCTGCCTTCCTTCCTGCCTTCCTGTCTTCTACCCATCCATTCATCCACCCACACACCCACCTATCCTTCTATCCACCCACCTTTCCTCCCGTCCATCCATCCACCCACCTACCCACACTTCCATCCATCATCCTTTCATCCATCCATCCATCCATCCATCCATCCACCCTTCCATCCATCCTTTCTTCCATCCATCCATCCATCCTTTCTTCCATCCATCCACCCACCCACCCACCCGTCCATCCATCCTTTCTTCCATCCATCCATCCATCCATCCATCCATCCATCCATCCATCCACCCACCCACCCTTCCATCCATCCTTTCTTCCATCCATCCTTCCATCCATCCATCCATCCATCCATCCATCCATCCATCCATCCACCCACCCACCCTTCCATCCATCCTTTCTTCCATCCATCCTTCCATCCATCCATCCATCCATCCATCCATCCATCCATCCACCCATCCATCTACACTTCCTTCCCATTCATTCCTCCATCCCACAGATATGTATTAGGCCCCTGCTGTGTGGCACGTGCTCTCTGGGTGCTGGGGATACATCATTATTATCTAGCCCGACAAGACACCCGGGTAAACAGCTGTCTCTTGGGCATCTCATCTCAGATGTCTCAGAGGCACCTCACACTCCTCTTCCCTCTCAAACCTGGGCCTCATCTTGCGTTCCTTGCTCTCAGTTTTAGTGAAGAAATCACATCTGTCTTTTACACACACCAGAAACCAAGAGGTCCTGTTGACTCTCCTCTATCACCTTCCTTCCAACCATCTCCAGTCCTACCACTGAGGCCTGTTGATTTACCTCTTACTCGCTCCTGAATCTGAATCTTCTCTTTCTCCATCCCCACCCTGCCCTAGGGCGGCCTTGTCATCTCTTATGGCAGCCTCCCAAGTGGCTCCTGGGGCACCACGCTGCCTACCCTCCAGGACGTTGTCCGCCTGCCACCAAGATGATTGTCTCAGAATGCAAGCTTGTCCAGCTCCTTACTTAAGACCTTTCACAGGCTTATCTCTGCCCTTAGAATAAAGCTGCTCACCAGGGCCCTGCAAGACCCCACATCATGGCCCTGGGAAGCTCCCTGGCCAGCCTGCCTGGCCCTGTGCCCATTTCTGTTAGCCCCTTGTGCTCTCCATGCTCCCCCTGCCACCACACTGCTCCTGTGCTCGGAATGCTCTCTCTCCCTTCTTTGGCAAACAACTCCTATGCATCCTGCAGATGCCCTGCTCTCCCTGACCAGATCGAACCCTGCACTGCATAGCAACTGTCGCCACTCAGCTTTCATGTTTGTTCGAGTGATTGTCCCATTAATGCCCACCTCATCCTTCCCCCGAGATCATAAGCTCTTTGAGGGCCCAGTATTTTATTATAAAAAATCTCAAATGTATGGTCATATTGGAAGAATTTTACAGTGAACCATATACGCACGACCTGATTCTACCTGTTCCTGACCCCATTATGTCTCTGCCCTGCACGGCATGTGGCGTCTAGGAAGCAAGCATGCAATCAATCTTTGTTGAAAGAAAGGGGTTCATGCCTTTCCACTTCTAGGAAAATAAAGATAATATAAGCAGGTATACGTGCAACAGTGTTCATCTCAGCATGATTTATGAGTGTGAAAAACTGGAAATCACCTAAGTGCCCATGATAGGGGATTGTCTAAAACAATGGCACATCCCACACAATGGAATCAGTGACCGCCGTCAGTAACAGCGATGATGTAGGTCTGTGTCTACTGACGTGGATGATGTACCATTAGGAACAAACCAAAGAAAATTGGGGATAATGTGACACTATTTTTTTGTAAAATTAAAAGTCAATAAACATTCAGTAATGCCTATTGTGTGCCAGGTACTGTTCCAAGTACTTTCCATGTATTCATGCATTTTAATGATCACAACAGCCCTAAAGGGTGGGTACTCCCTATTAGCCTCATTTTACAGATACGGAAACTGAGGCATAGACAGGGTCAGTGCCTAGAATCACGTGGCTATTTCCACGGGAAAATGCCTTGGAAGTTAAACAGCGTAATGAGACTTTGCATAATTTTGATTTAAATTTCCTTTTGCTTCTGTTTCATTTGTCTTCAGTTATCATGTCTCACTTGTGCGTTTTTTTTTTTAATGGAAAATTACGCCTCAGGCAGAGAAGCAGGGGGTTCTGGAGAAAGGAGTAGACTTGGCCAGATACCCAGGATGACTTCCTCAACAGATGTCCCATCATGCTGAGATTCAACACGACATTTTAGAGTCATGCAACCATGTGAGAAAAAAAGTCCCAGTAACCTTTGTCAGCGCTGGAGGGCAGGATCCCAAGGTCCCGGAGGAGCTGCTCCACCTCCTCCAGCCAGGACAGGGCGTGCCTCAGGATGTCCAGCACCACCTTCTGGAGCCCCGAGACAGGTGGGCTCACCTGGAGGTGCTGAAGAAGGTCGACCTCCTTCTTCAGGTCACTGGTGCAACAGGACATTTTCATGCAAGCCTGCAAAGAGGTGAGATCATGAGGAGCCCAGGCCCTGTGGCCAGAAATAGGCCCTGACGTGAACCTTCGAGGAACGTTGACTCTGCAATGAAGCAGGCAGCGCCACATATTGGCCGCCTTGGGAGGGCTCAGTTTTTTCTTTTTAAAAATTTTTATGTTTTGACAGTTTTTTTTTTATATATACTCTAATTTGGACTTTTGATGGTCAAAGTGAACCCACTGTTAGGTATATGAAACCCCAAAGCTAAAGTGCCATCAACAGTTTGGCTGCAATGAGAAGCAAATGTGGCTACTTCTTTTTTCCATTCATCAGAATTCCTGCCAAGATCAACACACAAGCTGGTCGGAAAGCGTGGTTTCCTGATTTGAAAGGGTGCTGACAAGCCAGCATTTGCACAAACTCCCCGAACAGGAGCTGCTGATTTCCAGAGAAAGCAGCAGCCACCGCCTGCTCTGATAAGCCATGCTCCAGGGTGGGGGCCGCAGGGCTGTGGCCAAGTCCTCTGGTCCCTGCTCCTCCAGAGTCAAAGGCAATGGTGTGGCAACCGCCTTTTGTGTCTGGGCCAAAAAAAGAAAATGTAAATAAAAAGCAGGAATGTTTCTTTGGTTTCTCTGGAAATAACATGGGGGCTATTTAAAAAAAAGTCTTTTTGGTTGGGGATGGGGGCCACTCAAAGTCCGTATTTGAAGATGCTCTGGCATCTTTTGTGGACACGCCAAGTTCTTCTGGGAGGCATTTTTTGAGGCCCTTTGTTTTTTCTTCTCCAACAAGAGGAAAAAGTGGACAGAAAAGCCAAGCATTTCTGCCTAACTTACTCCAAAAAAGCTGGGCAATTTCCCAAGTAAGCAGCACAAACATTAGACAAAGCGACCATTTGTGGACAGCGTAAGGAGGGGCCACCTGGCAGCTGTCCAGCGACGTCCTCAGCTTCTCGATGTTCTCGGTGGTCTCCTCCTGCTTGGAGTTGCTCAGCTGGGTTTCTTTCTGTAGGGTCCACTTTTTCTGCTGAAAATTGATGTTGTCCTCAGTGACCTGGGCAATTTTCTCTATTAACTGGTGAGAAAAAGAAAAAGAAAAAAAAAAAAAAAGATGCAACATACAGGGACGGGGGGCTCTGGGGGAAGGGGAATGGGAGAGGGGAGAGATGCAACGTAAGTCCCTGTCTCAGCACGGGAGGACGGAGGCCCTGATGTGTCTCGGCGATGGCTGTCAAGGGGGACGTCGGTCCTGTCACCAGGGAATGAATCCCGGAATCAGAGACTTTTTTTTTTCTTTTTTTTTTTTCGACGGAGTTTCATTCTTGTTGCCCAGGCTGGAGTGCAATGGTTTGATCTCGGCTCACCGCAACCTCTGCCTCCCAGGTTCAAGCGATTCTCCTGCCTTGGCCTCTGAAGTAGCTGGGATTACAGGCATGCGCCACCACACCCAGCTAACTTTGTATTTTTAATAGAGATGGGGTTTTACCATGTTGGTCAGGCTGGTTTCGAACTCCCAACCTGAGGAGATCCACCCGCCTTGGCCTCCCAATGTGCTGGGATTACAGGCGTGAGCCACCACACCCGGCCGATCAAAGATTATTTTTAAGATCCAAAGGCCTGTCTTGTGGCCCTGAGTTTGTTTCCAGATTCTTCTGTGTTGTATAGGGAGTCAGAACACTGAGCCTGATATTATGGGCTCATAAGCAGCAGGTCAGGTTCTTCCACGCCCACTGAGAGCAGCCCACGGCACATTTTCCCATCTGTACTTTGACACAGGGGGCTAGAAAGTGTAGTGGAAGAACAGCAAGGCAATCATTACAGCCAGACGTCTGCCCTTACTGCCACTGTCAACTTTTCTCCTCTGAAGGAAGGCGCCAGAACGCATTGGCTGTGGGGAGGCGGCTCCCTTTCTCCCAGTGCTAATGGAAGCTAAACATGCATGTCTGGAGACCAGAAGTAAGCCCGAATGGTTTAATTTGATTTTCACAGACACATTTCAAGGGAGTTTTAACTGGCTTTTACTTTAAAAGCCAGGAAATCCCATAAAATCAAAACAAATCTTTATGGTGTAGCAACAGTGTGAAAAATATGCCACCAACAAAAACAGAAACATATGCTCCCAGGGTCTGGAATCCAGATCCCCGAAGAAGAAGAAGAGGAAAGTGAAGGAGCCACGTGGCGGGGACAGCAGACTAACCTGTTGGTCGGTGACGGGCTTGTCTGGGAATGGCTTTGCCCGTCCATAGGTGGCCTTGATGACTTGACTTCTGAAGTGCTCCAGCTGCAGCAGAAAGGGCAACGGTGTCAGGGGGGCAGTGGGGGCCGGCAAGCGGGGGCAGCGTTGCCATGGCAGGGTGCGGGAAACACCACTTAGCAGGGTTTGCACGCCTGAATGACCATTCCGCGTTATCAGAGTCTTCACTGCTCACGGGGAGCGGCGGTACCCACAGAAGAAAGGAGAACAGCAGGCTTTAATTACTTTTTAGGCACGCCTGCCTAACCCGAACGATGCCTGTGGTCAGTGCACACACATGTCTCAAGCCCTCAGAAGAGCCTCTTGCTGCCAATTATCCAATGGGAAGTCTGGGGCCGGGAGCGCTGTTCCATAATTGCTAAGTTGGCACCAGACTGTGAAATAAATATTGAGGCTGTCGGTCCAAGTAAATTGTGTAGTCAGCAAGGAAGCTCGGCGAGAGGAGAATGTTCTCCCTTTCTCCATTTTGTGCCTGAGCCCATAAGCGTCCTGAAGACTGTCCCCACTGTGTTCACCTCGGTATCCCTGGAGCCCACTACAGTGCCTGGTGTGGGGGAGACACTCAAACACCCAGCTCACCTTTGTTGGATGCCTGTACACAGAAACATCAGCTAAAGCCAAGGGCCTCCACTTCTAGCGGCTTTCACTGAGCCCCTCCTGGGTGCTAGTGTTTTCGGGTTAAGGCTGATGAAATAGCAGTTACATTAAGTCTGGGCTTACAGAATCACAAGTCCAAGGTGTCCCGATCCCATCAGATGTTAGAGGTAAAAAGGAGCCCGACTTTCTCTGGAAATTTACCAACATGGCAGCCCCTGGCGTGAGTCTCCAGTTCCCTGGCAAAATGTGGTTATTAAAGGCTCCAAAGCAGAGCCTTGAAGGGACCAAAAGGGCTACTGCGTCAACCAAAAAGTCAAGGGGGCCCAAGACACAGGTATTTACTGAACAGGGGAAGTTCTAATGGGAAATGTCTTAGGGACATCTCTGCAATGACCCTGCCAGGAGAAGACCAGGTGACATGAGGTTCTCAAAGCCATCCTCTGGTTTCATGGCCAAGGGGAGGGTCCCAGCTCACCCAAAGAATTGATTGTGTAGAGGAAGCCCTGTGAATGATGGTCCCCCCCATTGCCATTAGGGGCTCCCCATAGGAATGGCTGTCCAGGGCCATTGGGAGGCCTTGGGCCTGGGGTCACTTGGCTGGGGAAGGGCAGACTGTTGGACAGGAGCAGGGCCTTGGAGATACAGGAGCGGGAAGATGCTGGAGGCAGAGACCGGGCTTGTGCTCTCTCTGGAGTCTAGATCTGGACCAGTCTCAGGACCTCCAGGGCTCCTCCCAGATGACCTCTGCCCAGAGCTGGAACAAGAATCTTGGCCCTTGGGCAAAGAGCACAGGTCAGGCCCTCAAATCAGGTTTGTGTTGCGGGGAAGGTTGAGGGTAGCCAGTGTGCACAGGGAGAGGCCCAGACGGGCAGGTTCTCTGCCCTTGATAAGGGGCTGGCACCCCCACAGGAGAAATGGTGCTGGGGGTGACAGTGGTGAAATTTGAATTTTAGGGTGCAGGGACAAAGGCCTGGTCACACTGCCTGGTAAGGCTTGGATAGTAGAAAATGGAAGGGCTTTGGGAACTGAGCTGGGTGGTTTGGAGGGATCCTGGCTTTTAACCTTTCTTGGTAGTTCACCGACCCTCCTGAGAACCCAGTGGGACACATGAGGAGCCCTCCTTACCAGTAATAAAAATACACACACACACACACACACACACACACACACACACACGTGCGCACACAAACCATTCTGTGGATCCCCTGGAGCCGTGGTTTCCAGGAGAGGGACCCCTGTGGAGGAATCTAGGGTGGTCCTGAGGGTCACATGCCCTCCCATCTTGGTTTCCTGTTTGCCTTCCCTTAGCCCTCGGTAAACTCTCGTCTGCACATTCTGGCCCTCATGACTGTCACATGTGCCAGGAAGGGCCACTGGCAATTTCAGGCCACAGCATCAGAGATAACGTCACCTCCAGATCAGGTCAGAGTGGCTCACCCGCAGCCGGGAGTTTCTCCATCCAGCATGCACTTTGGACACTCTGGGGTTTTACCTTATTAAGAAAAGTGGCATTTCCTTATAGACACTGACTGCAATGTCTGCTGGGGCTCGAGGGGAAGAAAGATTGTGGTAAATGTCAGGACTAAAAACATTAGGGAGAAAATGCTAGAGACACCACTGGGGGCAAGGGGCTCGGTTAACTGGGGGCAGGCATGGAGCCGGGATTGGCTGCCTGGTCCAAGTCTCAGGTCATTGTAAACTATTCCAGTGGGAGGCCTCCCAGTAGCAGAAACCTGTTTAGCGATGTCCACAGGGGTGGGGAGCTGCAGACAGCCTCTGCTCATGAGATAAATGGGAGAATTAATAATGTACGTCTGTCTTTCTACCTTGGGCGTCCTCCTCTCTCACCCCCACTGGCTGCTTGGGTGCAATCATTGCGGAGCGTGGGCCAATGAGGGGGGCTCTGGAACACGCCTACCTGACCTACTGCCCTCTCCAAATTGATTTTAATGAGGCTCTCTCTGTTCCCCATTTCTTGCAGCTGAAGCAATTTCCTTCTGGAATCCTCCTGAAGCTTCTCTTCAACCTGAAATGACGATGAAAGCGAGTGCTTGCTGCTAATGTGATCATAATGCACTCTGGGGAAATTCCTCTAGGACATCTAATGGCCGTGGGGGGTCCCAGAGGGGTCGGCACAGCTGCAGCCCACATGGCAGGGGTCACAGGCGTGCATGGGGTGGAGGCAGGCTCGGGGGCACTGTCTGTTGGGGGAAAGGGCTGGGCTCTGCACCCTGGGCTCAATCTTTATCCTACCCCAGGCTCTAATCCCAGCTCGGTCCCTAACAAGCTGTATAATCTCAGCAAAGTCATTTCACCGCTCCGTGATTCAGCGTCCTTATCTGTCAAACGGGGTGATACTAGTTCCCTCTTCACAGTTATTGTGGGGATTTTAAAAAGCTTGGAATAGTGACAGCACCTCATAAGGGCTCTATAAGGGTGTTAGATGTTGTAACCTAGAACAGGTGGATGACAGTAGCCACCATTCAGCGTCATCCTAACACCATAAGGAACCACCGCCCATCGTGGGTACTTGGTAAATGTTACTGCTGGGTTTATTTTTTTTAAATTTTTTTTATTTTTGAGACGGAGTCTCGCTCTGTCACCCAGGCTGGAGTGCAGTGGCCGGATCTCAGCTCACTGCAAGCTCTGCCTCCCGGGTTTACGCCATTCTCCTGCCTCAGCCTCCCAAGTAGCTGGGACTACAGGCGCCTGCCACCTCGCCCGGCTAAGTTTTTGTATTTTTAGTAGAGACGGGGTTTCACTGTGTTAGCCAGAATGGTCTCGATCTCCTGACCTCGTGATCCGCCCGTCTCGGCCTCCCAAAGTGCTGGGATTACAGGCTTGAGCCACCGCACCCGGCCTACTGCTGGGTTTATTATCGTAACTGTTTATTGTTACCACTTCTAGCACACTTACCAAGGGAAACTGCTCTGGAAGACTCGCTAAGCAATGGCTAGTAAAGAATTGTAGCTGGCAAAAGAAGGCCCATTTCCCCCCCCCGCTTGCTTGGGTAATGGGTAACTCGAGGTGAGCTTGGGTGTGTTCGGTGCTGCCCTCTGCTGGCCATTACGGACCCTGCAGCTGCTCAGTTCATATCTAAACCATGAACCTTTTGGGCATCTGCTGAGCCAGGGCTCAGGCACCCCTAGGAAATGAGACAAACTCTCCTCGATGAGAGGATTTTGTTCTGAAACAACCTCACAAGTGGCTTATTAGGGGGCTAGAGAAGAGTCACATACATTTCATGTAAAACACCCAGAGCAACCTGTAAAGCTTTCTTCTGAGTGGCAAGGGGCAGCCAGTCCCCAGTGAGCTGTTTCCCGGGAAGGCCGGCTAAGCTCTCTGGGCCTCAGTTTCCTCACCTACATCCTCTCAGGTGTAAACATACCCCGACTTCTGTTTCAGAGGACGTTTTTCAAATGCTGCAAAAGCAGAGGCTGTCCTGGGCTCTGTTCTGGCTCCTCCTCTCAATATATGGCCTCCCTGCCCCCATCCACAGCAGACCCTTGGCATCGGCTGTCAGAGGTTTATTTATTGAGCTCCTCCCCTGTGCATGGTGATATGGTTTGATGGTGTCTCAACCCAAATCTCAACTTCAATTGTATCTCCCAGAATTCCCAAGTGTTGTGGGAGGGACCCAGGGGGAGGTAACTGAATCATGGGGGCCGGACTTTGCCGTGCTATTCTCGTGATGGTGAATACGTCTCACGAAACTGATGGGTTTATCAGCGTTTCCACTTTTGTTTCTTCCTCGTTTTTCCCTTGCCACTGCCATGTAAGAAGTGCCTTGCTGCCATGATTCGGAGGCCTCCCCAGCCATGTGGAACTGTAAATCCAATTAAACCTCTTTTTCTTCCCAGTTTCGGGTGTGTCTTTATCAGCAGTGTGAAAATGGACTAATACACATGGTCTCAGGCTAGGCCCTGAGCACCTTTGGCCGTGATACCTGGCCCCCTTGCCTCTAATTTATTTCCTTCTAGAACATCCTTCATGGTCCTGTGAGAAGGTTGCCAAGCGGTGGGGCAGCACCGTCTGGCAGAACTTCCTGCAATGATGAAACGTTCTAACTCTGTGCTGTCAAATAGGGTGGCCACTGGCCACATCTGGCTACTGAGCACTTGAAGTGGGGCTCCTGTGACTGAGGAACTAAATTTTACGTTATATTTAATTTCACCTAAATGGCCACACGTGGCTAGTGGCTGTGCCACAGTAACTGGAGTCAGACAGGCCTGGCTTCCCGCAATCTTGGCTTTGCCACTTACTGACTGTGTGCCTTTGGGTAGTGACTTGACTCTGTGCTTTGACTTCCTCATCTGTAAAACAGGAATCTTGAAAAGCTCCAATATATTTTTAAAAATAAAATAAATTGGGCATAATAATTTCTAGGTCAGAGTTGTTGTGAGGATGAAAAGAGATGAGATGTTCGGCATAATGCCAAGTCCATGTGGCTATCATTTTCACCATTATTATTAATCACAAATTTAATCATATTAGTTCCCTGTTCAAGAGCCTCAGTAGCTCCTCACTGCCTAGGTAGTCTACAGCCCAAGCTCCAAAACTAATGAAAAACAGCAAGCCGAAGATTCAAGCCCACATGCACCCCAATAAGATAAATAAAAACGAATTCACACCTAGATACATCCTAATAAAACTGCTGTAAGTCAAAGGAAAATAAACATTTAAAACATTCAGAATATAAAAAAGACTATATAATGATGCAATAGTTAGGTTATAGCTTGCTTCTCTCTTTTTTTTTTTTCTGTCGTTTTTTTGAGACGGAGTCTCACTCTATTGCCCAGGCTGGAGTGCAGTGGCACGATCTCGGCTCACTACAACCTCTGCCTCCCAGGTTCAAGTGATTCTCCTGCCTCAGACTCCCGAGTAGCTGGGATTACATGCATGCACCACCACACCTGGCTAATTTTTGTATTTTTAGTAGAGATGGGTTTCACCATGTTGGCCAGGATGGTCTTGAACTCCTGACCTCATGGTCTGCCCGCCTCGACTTCCCAAAGTGCTGGGATTACAGGCATGAGCCACCACGCCTAGCTAGGTTATAACTTACTTCTAAATAGAAATAATTGGCGCCAAAAGACAATGGAATGATAGACTTACTGTCATCTATAACGTGCTCAAAGAAAACAATTGCCAGTGTAGAATATCTAGTCAAAATATGTTTCATGAATGAAGGATAAACATAGAAATTTTCAGACACATGCACATGCATACACACACATGCATGCATACACACACGTGCGTGCACACACACACACACGCACACACACACTCCTGAGAGAATATGACACCAGCAGAGCCCATGCTGAAGGAAAACACTAAAGGATGTTCTTCAGGCTGAAGAAAAATGATCTAGATGAATGATCAGAAATGTAGAAAACACATAATAGTAATGTGTAGATATGGATGTTGACTATAGAAAAATACTAATAATGTCTTTTGGAGTTTCAAATATAGAGAGAAGTTTAGAAAATGAAAACAATGGCATATAAGTCTGGATGGGGTAAGTGAAGTTAAAGTGTCAATGTCTAAGTCATTGTGTTAACAAGAAGAAGGATATAATTATTGATGAATATTGAATTTTGGTAAGTTGAAAATGCATATTGTAAAATTTAGAATAATCACTAAGACAGTAAAAGAGTTAAAAACTCACTAAATATTAGATTTTGGTAAGTCATGAATGCATGCGATTGTCTTATGATTACTAAAAGACGGGTAAAAGAGAGAAAATTTCCAAGCTAATACAAGGAAAAAGGGAATGATAAAAAACTGTCAACTCAAAAGAAGGGAAGAATGGGGAAAAAAGGAACATACCATAGGTAGTACACCTGGCCCTGAGCAAGAAGATAAATTTAAATCCCCATATACCAGCAATTACACTAAATATATTTGGACTGAAAGACAAAGATGGCGGAACTGTATAAAACTTATGTGCTGTTCACATGAGATACACATTGTAAAATAAAGATTGACATAAAAAGTGTGAAAAAGATAGTCTGTGAAAACTCGAATCAAAAGAAAGCTAGGTTAGCCAATGGAATTACCTTAATGACAAAGACTTTAAGGGAAAAACATCTCTAGCAATGAAGAGGAGCACCTTGTGATGGCCAAAGATTTGATTCGATAGGAAGTAATGAAATGGTAAATATATATGCATCTACTAACACAGCCTCAAAATATATAAAGCAAAGATTGACAATATTAAAAAAAGAAAGACAAATCCATGATCATGATAGGATCTTTAAACAACATGCCTCTCTCAGTGGCTGACAAAACACACAGACAAAAAAAAAAATCAACAGGAACATTTAAGTTTTGAGCATTATTGGCAAGCTTCATTTAATGTCCATATATAGAATACTAAACCCAATGACTGCAGGATGCATATTCTTTTCAAGTGTACGTGTGGAACTGCAGTCGGCCACATGCAGGTCATAAAACAAGTCTCAATTAATATCAGAAGATTGAAGTTACACAGAAGATGTTCTCCGACCACAGTGGAATTAAGCTAAAAATCAGTAACAAAAAAAGGTAAGCAGAAAACCCTCAAATATTTAGAAATTAGGAAATAAGCTTCATAGTAACCAGTGGGTGAAAGAAGAAATCACAATGGGGATTTGGAAAATATTTTGATCTGAATAATAATGAAAATACTATGTACTAAGACTTGTGGAATGCAGCCAAAGCCTTGCTTAGAGAAAAATTGATAGCCCAGAGAGCATTTTGACTCCATGTTCATGACTACAACTATTTAAAAGAAAAATATACCATAGCAAATTCATTTTCATTGAGAGGGTATTTTCTAGAGCAAAGTTCATTAAACCAATTGTTTAACAGATTTCTAAATGTTTCCATTTTCACTTTAGTCTCCTGAAATTATTTTTATCTGGATCAGTTCTTTTGTAGGTAAATTATACAATTATGATTTGATTCATCTATACGTTTTTCTGGACCCTATCAAATATTTACCAATCACAGGTCTGTTATTGTGGGTTTTATTTTATAGTTCTCATTTCTACCATGTCCATTTTCCCCAGATTATATTTTACAAATCTAACTTTTTCAAGAATATTTGATTTTTTAAAAGTGATTATTTTAAATTTTTGTAGAGACAGGGTCTCACTATGTTGGCCAGGCTGGTCCTGAACTCCTGGCCTGAAGCAACCCTCCTGCCTCGGCCTCCAAAGTGCTGGGATTATAGGCATAAGCTACCGCACCTGGACAAGAATATTTGTTTTTTCTCTTAAGTTTTAATCGATAAATAAATTTGACTCTGTGTAGTTTTAACTGTTGATTTTAATTTTGTATTAATTATTTCTGCCAAGTCTAGTTATGCCTGGCCAACTTTTGCAGGCTTCAATACTATCCATAAGATGTGATTCTAGTGTAGTATACATTTCAGTTTGTGAGGTTTTAATGATTTGACTTCTGGTGACTATACTCACATTCATATTAAATAAAACTGGAGAAAAACTAGATTATTTGCTTTTATTTCTCAGATCATGCCTGTGAACCTCCCTTCACATAGAATTCCTCTGCCTTTTAGATTTGTTCTTAAAATATTCTCAGTTGTGGCTGGGCATGGTGTCTCAGGCCTGTAATCTCAGCACTTTGGGAGGCTGAGGCAGGAGGACTGCTTGAGGCCCGGAGTTCAAGACCAGCCTGGGCAACATAGTGAATCTCTGTCTTTATTTAAAACAAATTCTCAATGACAACCATCTTCTAATCAAATAAAGTAGATGATTCAAATGGAAAGAAATACATTCTGTCCAGACTGCTCAGGACTCTTAAGGATATTTTTAAGTAATCCATCTACCTTGGTCTCCCAAAGTGCTGGGATTACAGGTGTAAGCTACCGTGCCAGCTTTAATTTAAATTTAAATAGCCATGCACAGTTAGTGGCTACTGTGACGGATAGCACATGTAGGGAGTATGCAATACAAATTTTTCCCCAGGATGGGAAGGGACATTAAAATAATTAAGCACCACTAAACTCTAAACTGGGATTGGGAGGCTGGAGGTGGGTCTCATTACCAAAAAGCAAGGAACAGTTTTAGAAGGCAGTGAGGAATAGCGGGGTTACTCACAGGGGCCTTGGAGTCAGACCAACCTGGGTTCAAGTCCTGCCACAACTACATTATGGAGTGAACTTGGTCCCTTTCCATGTGTGAGCCTCAGTTTTCTCAGCTGTAAGAAGGGTTAATACCAGCATAGGCCACTTAGAGGACTAACAGGGATGATGAGTGGGGAGCTACTGCCCATACTGCTCTCTGGGCCTGTCGTCCACTACGTACCTTGCTCTTTTCTCTCAGAGTCCTAGAGATCACGCTTTGTTCAGTACAACTCTTCCTCAGCTCCGCCCTGAGCTTCTTCATTTCTTTCTCCATGTCTTGGATTTGCTGAAAAAGTTTCAACAACAGAGGAGTGAACCTCCCTGATGGGGGCAGGAGCTGCCTTCTCGGCCGAGAGGTCTGAGCCCTCATCACCCCTGGCACCCCATCCATTAAGGTGGAAACCTTGTCTGGTATCAGCTTGTTTAATTCCTTCTCCCGGAGGAAGGTTTTACATCTCTCAGCAAAATAGACTTTATTTTTCAACGGATACATTAAAAGTTCTGGATAAAGGAAATTAGTTTCTTTTGGAAATCAGTACAGCTCCTGGATTAAGGACTACAGGACATCCATCAACTCACTAGAAACCCTGCTCTTGGGGTATATTTTTGAGTTCAACCTAAAGGACCAGCTGTTTGGAAGACTCAACAGGCAAGGTCTAGAAGAACGGAACAATGAAATGTTTCTTTTTTGTTTGAGGCAGAGGGTAAAATGTTCCTGGCCTGGAGGAATGGCGCCAGCGTGGGGAAGAGCAAGTTGGGAGAAGCTGAGCTCCCCAACGAGTGGAAAACGCACACCTGGTGATGTGCGGGGTGGATTTGGAGGGTGTGAGGAATACACCTCCTTCGACTTTTAATGGTCCTATTTTCATTGTATTTACTTTTATGGTGTTACCTTCTATATGAGGCAAATAGTGTGTGTGTGTGCGCGCGTGTGTGTCTGTGTGTGTGTGTGACAGTCTCGCTCTGTCGCCCAGGCTGGAGTGCAGTGGTGCAATCTTGGCTCACTGCAATCTCTGCCTCCCGGGTTCCAGCAATTCTCCTGTCTCAGCCTCCCAAGCAAGCAACTGGGATTACAGGCGCACGCCGTCATGCCCAGCTAATTTTTTTTTTTTGTATTTTAGTAGAGATGGGGTTTCACCGTGTTCCCCAGGCTGTCTAGAACCTCTGAGCTCAGGCAATCCACCCACCTTGGCCTCCCAAAGTGCTAGGATTACAGGTGTGAACCACCACTCTTGGCCTTGTTTTGTTTTTACAAGTGGGTGTTAAATGGTGGTGTTTAAATAAAAATACTTCAGCAAGTGTCAACAATGGTGCCTGTGGCTAGGGTTTGGGAGTCACAGGTCAGGGGTGGGGCAGGGGACCATGTGGTGGCCAGCTGGCCAGCCTCCTGTCCCTGTCCCGGGTCTCAACCCCAACCTGACCCCAGGGGAAACCCTTGAGGGAGGTAGAGCCAACTGCCCAGGGAATCCTGGGGCCCCTTCACCCATCTCTCTCTTGCAGAAGTAGCAGATCAAAGAGCGATGAGACTGTTAAGCAAGCACAGGGCCCCAGAGCTTCGTGCTTAGTGATGGCCCAGGATCCCACCAAGAACCTGAAGGTCAAACTCTGGTTTTTCCGGTGGTAGCTACGAAGGAGGAAGCTCAACTCACAGTTTTGCAGAGTTTTAACTCTTTCTCCTGGGCTTCCCTGAGCTCCCTGTGAGCGTCTTCCTGTTTTAACTCTTCCTTTAGTACCGAGCACTATGGAGAAAAGGGCGACAGAGAAAGAGACGGAGGTTGGCCAGGTAGGGTTGTAGGGGTAAGGCGGGGCTCCAAGGCCCTGTGTGAGCCCCTGAGAGCATTTCCTGCTGTTTCCATCCAGTCACCCACTGAGATCCCAAAGGCATCCCATGGTGTCTGACAGGCACACAGGATCCCGCAGCGGTTCCTGGTTCTCCACTCAGGAAATCAGAGGAATAAAGCCACTACTCTCATCTTCAAAAGCCAGCAATCTAAACCGTAAGGAAAATCCAGCTTTGGAGAGTCTGTGCTGAGGAATAAACGCTGATGTCCTCGGAGGGCCACTAGCGAGCTTGGACGGCGCTTAGTGCCCTATGCAATTTACACCTCCAAGACACCACTGCGCTGGGAGCGGCGGTGGAAATGGAGCAGCCGTTCCGGAGGGCAATTTGGCAACAGGCATTAAGAACATAAATAACGGGCCTCCTTTTTGACCCAGAAATTCTGCTTTAGGAATGTATAAGGACAATGGTCGGGCACATCAGCAAGTCTGTGGGTTCAGGGATGTTTTTGAGAGTATTGTTAGCTATAGTGAACTAAAAGGAAATACCCGGCCGGGCGCGGTGGCTCACGCCTGTCATCCCAGCACTTTGGGAGGCTGAGGTGGGTGGATCATGAGGTCAGGAGATCGAGACCATCCTGGCTAACACGGTGAAACCCCGTCTCTACTAAAAATACAAAAAATTAGCCAGGCGAGGTGGCGGGCGCCTGTAGTCCCAGCTACTCCGGAGGCTGAGGCAGGAGAATGGCGTGAACCCGGGAGGCGGAGCTTGCAGTGAGCCACTGCACTCCAGCCACTGCATTCCAGCCTGGCAGAGTGAGACAGAGCAAGACTCCGTCTCAAAAACAAAAACAAAAACAAAAACAAACAAACAAAAAAAGGAAACACCCATGTCCGATAACCCAGGGGCTGTTTGATTCCACTGTGCGCAGACAAGAGAATTATGATGGAGCTTTAGAGACCCATGAGAAAAGCTCTTATCCATGTGGGGAAACAGTGGTTGTTTAAAGTTTAAAAAATGTGTATAGTGTAAATTTGTTGTTATATATCTGTTACAGAGGTATTTTCTTCCAGGTAATTTTAGAAACAAAACAGGAGGAATATGCACTCAAGTACTGACAGATTTCTTGGGGTGGCATTTCTCTTCTCTCTTTAATTTTGCTTTCCAGTTTTATCTACATTTTATTCTAAAATTAACATAGCACATGTAATTTGAAAAATAAAGACAGTCATTTCGGATGTTCACATGAGCAATACCCTTGGTCACAAGGAGCCGACGTGCTGATAAGTGCCAGGTGCGGCCTGGAGAAGAAGGCAGACCTGTTCCAAGGTCCACGAGGAAGGGAAATGGGGACACAAGTAACCCAAATGCACTTTGTGGGTAGAGAGCCCTGGAGGTGCTGTTTCTCCATATTCTTCCTACCTAACATCACCTCTACATCCCCGACACACATCCACACACCCCACGCACCCCACACACCCACACATCCACACATCCCATGCACCCCACACACCCCACACACCCCACACCACACTGACACACCCACACACCCCACGCACCCCCCACACACCCCACACCACATCCACACCACACCCACACATCCACACACCCCATGCACCCCACACACACCCCACACCACACCCACACCCCACACATCCACACACCCCCACCACACCCACACCCCACACATCCACACACCCCATGAACTCCACACACACCCCACACCACACCGACATACCCACACACCCCACGCACCCCCCACACACCCCACACCACATCCACACCACACCCACACATCCACACACCCCACGCACCCCACACACACCCCCACCACACCCACACCCCACACATCCACACACCCCACACACACCCCACACCACACCCACACATCCACACACCCCACGCACCCCACACACACCCCCACCACACTCACACCCAACACATACACACACCCCACACACACCCCACACCACACCCACACATCCACACACCCCACGCACCCCACACACACCCCACACCACACCCCACCACACCACACCCCACACCCCACCACCCCACACACCCCCACCACACCCACACCCCACACACCACACCACCACACCCACACCACCCCCACACCACACCCCCACCACCCCACACACCCCCACCACACTCACACCACACACGTCCACACACCCCACGCACCCCACACACACCCCACCACACTCACACCCAACACATACACACACCCCACACACACCCCACACCACACCCACACATCCACACACCCCACGCACCCCACACACACCCCCACACCCACACCCCACACATCCACACACCCCACTGACCCCACACCCACACCACACCCACACATCCACGCACCCCACACACCCCCACCCACCCACACCACACACTCCACACACCCCACGCACCCCACACACCCCACACCACACCCACCACCTACACCCACCAACCCCCACATCCCCACACCACATCCCCACCACACCCACACCCCACACCCCACGCACCCCACACACCCCACACCACACCCACACATCCACACACTCCACGCACCCCACACACACCCTCACCACACCCACACCCGACACATACACACACCCCACACACACCCACACATCCACACACCCCACGCACCCCATACACACCCCCACACCACACCCGCACCACACCCACACACCCCACGCACCCTACACACACCCCACACCACACCCACACACCCACACACCCCACACACACCCCCACACCACACCCACACCCCCACACACCCCACGCACCCCACACACACCCCACACCACACCCACACCACAGCCACACATCCACACACCCCACGCACCCCACACACACCACACACCACACCCAAACCCCACACATCCACACACCTGATGCACCCCATACACACCCCACACCACACCCACACCACATCACACATCCACACACCCCACAACCCACACACACCCCCACACCCCACACATCCACACACCCCACACACACCCCCACACCACACCCACACATCCACACACCCCACATGCACCCCACACACACCCACGCCACACTCACACATCCACACACCCCACACACCCCCACACCCCCCCCACACCCACACACCCCACGCACCCCATACTCCCACACCACTCCCACACCACACCCACACCACACCCACACATCCACACACCCCACGCACCCCACACGCACCCACGACACCCACACATCCACACACCCCATGCACCTCCCACCACACCCACACCCCACACATCCACACACCCCATGCACCCCCACACCACACCCACACATCCACACACCCCATGTACCCACACGCACCCCCACACCCACACCCCCCCACACCACACCCACACATCCACATACCCCATACGCACCCCCACACCCACACACCCCCCCACACCACACCCACACATCCACACATCCACACACCCCACACGCACCCCCACACCCACACACACCCCCACACCACACCTACACACCCCACACCCCCACACACCCCACGCACCCACACATCCACACACCCACACATCTACACACCACGCACCCACACACCCACACCCCACGCACCCACACACCCACACATCCACACACCCCACACACACCCCACACCACACCCACACATCCACACACCCACACCCCTGCACACCCACACATCCACATACCCCACACACCCCACATGCACCCCCACACCACACCCACACATCCACACACCCACACACCCCACGCACCCCACACTCACCCCCACACCACACCCACCCACACATCCACACGCCCCACACACCCCCCACACCACACCCACACACCCACAGCCACACATACACATACCCACACACCCACACATCTACATACCCCACGCACCCCACACATACCCCCACATCACACCCACACATCCACACCATACCCACACATCCACACCCCCATGCACCCCACACGCACCCTCACCCACTCACCTACACACATCCATACCCCCACACCCATACACCCGCACACACCTACACACACACCCATACACATCTACACACACCCACACCCACACACACCCATACACCCCCACACGCCACACCCCCCCACACTCATCCACTCACCCACACACTCACACACATCCACACTCCCACACACCCATACACCTGCACACCACACCCACACACATCTACACACTCAACTACACACATCCACACCCCCACAGGCCCATACACACCCCCCACACCACACCTCCACACCCACATACACCCACACACACCCCCACACCCCCCCCACACACACACTCCACACCTGAAACAGCGACAACACATGTAATCCAGGCGGTGACCCTGCTCGGGAGACGGATGCAGAGGGCTTGTCGAGGCGGGCTAACCAGGCGCAGAGGCAGAAGCGCACAATGAAAACCGGCCTCTCACTTCTCAAAACTGATTTTGTTATTTCCATTTCGCTGATGACAAAGGGGAGGCCACATCAGTTACAACAAAAGCCCACTCTGGGCTCAGACCCTGTCTGTGTGCCCCCGGGGCTCCTGTCCTGCCTTTCCCCAGCTCCAGTTGAGGCACTGCAGTCGGCGCCAGAGGTCACCTCTGCTGCTTTGTCCTTGGACCCCCAGATCCACCCCATGCATCCACCCCCAGATGCACCCCACCAGGGTACCTGTGCAGACTTGGCGAACTCATCAGGCACACTTGAGATGAAAGCTGTTAGGTTTTACCTTGACTCACCGAAACAGACACATCTCACAAATACTGAGAAATCCTATAGGTTCAGGATTCTAAAGTCAGAGCATTGAGGTAAATTTTGAAAATAGTCAATATTATTATTATTAGTATTAGAGACGGAGTTTCATTCTTGTTGCCCAGGCTGGAATGCAATGGCGCGATCTCAGCTCACTGCAACTTCTGCCTCCTGGGTTCAAGTGATTCTCCTGCCTCAGCCTCCCAAGTGGGTGGGATTATAGGCGCCCAGCTAATTTTTGTTATTTTTAGCAGAGACGGATTTTCACCATGTTGGTCAGGCTGGCCTCAAACTCCTGATCTCGTGTGATCCAACCACCTCGGCCTCCCAAAAGTGCTGGAATTATAGGCATGAGCCACTGTGCCTGGCCTCAAAATTACTTTTAAACAGCCCTTGACTTGCCTACCAGGTTCACTACACAGAATATTCTTATGCACACTATAAAGTCTAACGGAAGAAATGAAAGTCTGTCTAACTGCACTTGGATCTGCAAACATTCTGCTTCGAAGGTGCCTGTGCAAACCAGTGGTGACTGGGATGAGGTGAAGCCCACCGTGTCCTCTTTTGCATGCAGTGATTCTATTCTTAATATTAAGCCTTGCCACGGAAATATCCATGCTGAGAGGTGCATTTACTGCTGGAATTAACCAAACTCATTTATAACGGGCATTAGAAAATGTTTCCTGGAGTTGAAGCTACATCTCGCTTATTCTAGGGCACATGCATGCTGCTCCTTGAAAAGCTGCAAAGAATTGGCTAGCTGTTCTAGTTTTGCTAGGTGGACATTGTCCCCCACCCCCCGCCCCCAGCACAATGGTGTGAGAGGAAGGAATTAAATTTAAAACAAGAGCCCAGGGGGAATGAAACGAGCAAATCATGTGACTTCACTTTAGTTGCTTTTCACCCGATGGCTACAAGAAGGTGATACAGTCATCCTTACTCACTCTAGAACCAAGGGCTTCCAGCTGGTGGTCCTTGTCTTTGTTCTGACTTTTTAGTTGATTGACTTTTTCCTTTAGTTCTTGAACTTGCTCATCCTTTGCTAACATGTCTTTTTGCAAAGATGACACCATCCCTGTAAAAAAGAAGACTCACAGAGGTCAAAGAGGCAGTGAGGATGACTGTCATCGCTGCCGCTGTCAACCAGTTTGTGACGAGCCTGGCACCGAGAAAGGAGGTGTCTCCAAGGATCCCAGGAGCTTGAATGGGGTTGAGACCAATACCCACTGCACATCATTTGTTCAAGGTCTCTGTGAGAAGGAGAGGAAACATCTGTCGGGGTGCTGTGGGCATCGGCCCTGCGTGGGAACAAAGGCTCAGCAGAGAGAGGGACCAGGAGGGGCCATGAGATGGGCCTGTGGCAGCAAGGGACGTGTTGATCCACACTCACACACTCATCTGAGTTTGGAAACCGTCTCTGGCACTTACTAGCTCAGTTGTCTTTTTTCTTGAGACAGGGTCTCACTCTGTCACCTAGGCTGGAGTGCAGTGGCACGATCATGGTTCACTGCAGCCTCCACCTCCTGGACTCAGGTGATCCTCCTGCCTTGGCCTCCCAAGTAGCTGGGACTACAGGTACGTGCCACTTTGCCTGGCTAATTTTTGTATTTTTTGTAAACATGGAGTTTGGCCCACGTTCCCCAGGCTGTTCTCAAACTCCCAGGCTGAAGCAATCTGCCAGCCTTAGTCTCCCAAAGTGCTAGGATCACAGATGTGAGCCACAATGCCCAGCCTAGCTTAGTGGTCTGAACAAGTTATTTAACCTTTCATTGTATCTACAGAGTTGTTGTATAAAGAACACAGAAGAGTGGCTAACACATAGTGTTTATTCCCTGCCACCCATGACTCTATGTGGTAGCCAGCTTGCAAAAGGGCCCCTGTGATTCCTGCCTGTTAGAATACCTGGCCTAATGTGGCCCCCTCCCACCTGAACAGGGCTGACGTGTGTAACTCATATGGCCCTGTGGAAGTGGTAAATGTGACTTCCCAGGGCGAATCATCAAAGATGTTGTGGTTTCTTCTTTGCTCTCCTTTGGGTTACTCAGTCTGGGGAAAGCCAACCGCCATGTTGGGAGGACACTCAAGCAGCCCAAGGGAAGGGCACACATGGTGAGGAACTGAGGCCTCCAGCCAACAGCCTCAGTTGAGTCATTCCAGAAGGGGATCCTTAAGCCCTAGTCAGGCTTTCCATGACATGGCAGCAGTCGCTCCTACAACCTCGTGAGAGACCCTGAGCCAGCCTAAGTCACTCCCAAGTTCCTGAACCACAGAAACTGGGTAAGATAAACATATCTGTTGCTTTTTATGGGATAACTTGTTATGTGTCAGCAGAGAGCCAATATATTGTTGTATTATCACATGGAGAAAAAGTGAGAAGGGTGCATAATGCAGTGGTATTGGATTATCTCATATGGTCCTTTTCTTAGAAAAACATTCATCCTAGTTTTGTTGGGGTTATCAATCAAGAATCAATCTTTCTTGCACAATCAAGGATGTGTAATAAAGAACAACATGACTGAGAATTACATTGTAAAAATGAGCTTTGTCCGGGGACACAGTTAAGTTCCTTGGAAACAGACTGTTCTCTCTGGGGCTTGCCTGCATGCTTTGTGAGGCGGGACCAGAGTGACCTTTTCTCTAGAGTGAATTTGGCTCAATTCTCCACCAGATGCCCTCTGCAGTGCAAGGCTGCCCCATTCTGGATGGTGGGAAAGTGAGCTACGCTCAGGCCTGCGTGTGCTTTGAGATGGTTCCCTCTGCTCCTCCCGGGTGGTTCCTTCCCTGCCCGCATGCACGTGCTGATCACGCCTGACTCTGCTGAAGACTTGAGGGGGACCCTCTGAGATCTCCGGGGTGCTCTCCGTGCAGCCCCCTCCCACCTGGCACGCCGCCCAGCAAACTCAAGCTATGCTGGCTTCTCCACCTCCATCTACTCAAGTCGGGCTGACCGCTGGGCTCTGTCTGGCTTCCCCTCCTGCTGGAAGGGGTCTGGAAACTCTCTCAAGTGCAAGCCAGCCGGGGGCAATCGTAGGTTTCATCTTGTTTGTTTCCACTCCCTCCCAGATCACTGTCATGGGCTTCTTGGGGCCAATATATGGAAACCATTATTTCAGACATTTTTTCTGTTTGTTTGTTTTTCATTTGTTTGTTTGAGTTGTTTCAGGCAGGTGAGGAAATCCGGACCTTGTTCCTCCATCTGCCTCTCTTGCCATGGAAGATGGGGTTTGTGATGTGTTGTCATGGTTTCTGTGAGCCTGGGTCACTGAGTGGCCACAATGACCAAAGCCCCTACTGACCCATGATGGGCCCAGGGAGGAAGCAGGATATGAACCTGTCTATTGTGAGCACTGAGACTTGGGGGACTGTTTGTCACTGCAGCGTAACTCAGCCCAGTGCTTCTCGAGCTTGAGTGTGCACACGCAGCAGCCAGGGGGCTTGTGAAAGTGAAGACTCTGATCGGAAGGTCAGGAGCGGGGCCTGAAATTCCCAGTTTCTCACAAGGATCCAGGTGATGCTGATGCTGCTGGTCCAGGGACCACACTTAAGAGTTGTGAGAGTGTAGCCCATCCCAGGTCACACCTGAGCCCAGGTCTATCTGACTCCTTGATTAGAGAAGTGGTGTCTGAGACAAGCTTGCAGCGTGGATGGGGTGTGATGGGCAGACCCCGGGGAGGAGGGCAGGGCCCAGCGAGATCCCCCTTGTATGCCTGGTACCCAGAGCGGCCCTGCCCATAGCGCTCACAAGTATCCAAGAACATTCCAAGTTAGGGAAGAGCAGAGGTAGAAGCTGGAGTGGGGAGGGGGACTGCAGAATGAGGCAGAGGGAAAGGCACGGCCAGGCGGCCTGGGTCGTGCAGAGACAGTGATGGTGCTGGCTCAATGCCAGGCTCAGCTTTCACAGCCATGGGCATGTTTCCTGCTGTGCAGGGGGGACTTTAGGAGCAATATCCCCAACCCGGACTCATTCTCTCCCCACCACCTGCTTTTCTCTCTTCCCCCTTTCTCTGTCCAAGGCCCTATCACCTGCAGGTCTCTAGACATGTCATTCTCTGCCTTAAAAACCCTAATGTGTCCCATCACACTTAGAAGAAAAGCTGAACCCCTCCCCTGTAAGGTGGCCCTGCCTCCCCCCTGACCCCAGCGGGTCCCACAGCCCCTTGTTCCCTGACCCCAGCCACACTCGCTGGCCACTGCTCCCACACTGCGGCTTGGTCCTGCCCCAGGGCCTTTACACCCACGATCTCTGTCCGGCATACGGTTCCCAGGGGCCTCCCGACAGCCCCTCCCACCTCCTCAGAGATACCCCTGCCCAGGCACTAAGCCAGGGGCGTCCAATCTTTTGGCTTCCCTGAGCCACACTGGAAGAAGAAGAATGGTCTTGGGCCATGCACAAAATACACTCACGCTAACCATAGCTGATGAGCAAAAAAAAAAAAAAAAAAAAAAAAAAAACGCCAAAAAATAAAATCTCATAATGTTTTAGGAAAGTTGATGAATTTGTGTCGGGCCTCATTCAAAGCTGTCCTGGGCCATATGTGGCCCGCAGGCCGTGGGCTGGACAAGCTTGCACTAAGCTATTCTCTTTCACTTCACCCCATGAAGCGCTTCCCCACCACGGTGTCCAGCTTTATTTCCTCTGGAGGACGGATCTCTCTCTGGCATGGGCTTGTTCATTTATCTGTTTACTTCTTACTGTCTGTCATCCTCTCCCACGTGTGAGCCCCGTGAGCAGAGGGATCTTGACCGTTTGCTCAGGGCTCTCTCTCCCCAATGCCTAGAGCAGTGCCTGGCATCTAGCAGGCGCTTCATAAATGTGTTGAATGAATATGAATGAATGAATGAATGAATGAATGAATCCAGGCTAAGAAACAACTGTGCCTGGCAAGGGTGGGCCATGAGTTGGCTGCCCCATTCCCACCCAAGTTCTGGAGTATCAGCTACCTCTCAATTAGCAAAATGCTTTCGCTCTGGCCCAAGAGCACCAGTGTGAGATTGGGTAAGAGGCTGGGTGCCTTAAACAGGCAACCCCATTCTAGCCACATTCTAGTTCGCATTCACAGCAAACTGGCTCATGGGACTGCCTGAGCCACAGCTTGTCCTGTGTGCTCCCTGGTGAGGTCCATGTTCAGCAGGCCCTTTAGCTAAGAGATGGCACATAAACCTCTGAGGACGAACTCAGATTCATGGACAGGAGCTGCCTGAAGGGATGCTGGGAAGAACTCTGAGATTGCAGCCAAGTTCAGTAACAAAAAGTATATGGTTGGTTGGTGATGTCTGCTGTGGCCAAGAACATGGGGTGAGGGAGTGGCAGCTCCCAGGCCCAACTCCAAAAATGGCTCACCTGATGCGATAGCGTTGTCCCTCTTTAAGTTCTCGCCCTCGTTCTTCAGGGATGTGATTTCTGAGTTCCGCTCCGACAGGGTCTGGCACAGCAACTGGCTGTACCCTTTCTGCAGGGCACTGATCTGTGGGAGGAGGCGGCACAGTCAGAGCGGGGCTGGCCCACGCCTGGCAGACACACAGGTACTTCTTACAAGCTTGACAGAAAGATTCAGATTGACTTTTGGCTGGGGTGTTGGGGAAACTAAGCTTTTTAGTTTTAACTAGTGGGAGGGACAGGGGAGGGCCTGTTCCTTCAAGGACCACCACTTCCTATGTCATCAAAATATGAACCTTATCTTTGTGCCCATAAAGGGGCCCAGGCCCGGCTGCCACTGGGGGTACCTGGTTCCTTAATGTGCCTTCCAATGACCTTCGGACTCTCAGCCACAAACAGACCACCTGTTAGTTCCAGGTCACCCAGTACTGACTGGATACAGAGCAAAGTTCAAGAGAGGGAAGCAGGTTATAAAATTAATTCCCTCAAATGATAACAATAGGTTATATCTCATAGAACACTCTAGAGCTTACAAAGCCCGCTCACAGACACTACTCCTTCAACAGAGCCTCATATGAGGTCTCTCTGCAGGAGGCTCCGGGGAATGCTCCTGTATTAGTCTGTTTTCATGCTGTGATAAAGACATACCCGAGTCTGGGAAGAAAAAGAGGTTTAGGCCGGGCACAGTGGCTCATGCCTGTAATCCCAGCACTTTGGGAGGCCGAGGCAGGCAGATCACGAAGTCAGAAGATCGAGACCATCCTGGCTAACACGGTGAAACCCCCGTCTCTACTAAAAACACAAAAAATTAGCCAGGCGTGATGGTGGGCATCTGTAGTCCCAGCTACTTGGGAGGCTGAGGCAGGAGAATGGTATGAACCCGGGAGACAGAGCTTGCAGTGAGCCGAGATCACACCACTGGACTCCAGCCTTGTGACAGAGCGAGACTCCGTCTAAAAAAAAAGAAAAAGAAAAAGAAAAAGAGGTTTAATTGGAATTGCAGTTCCACTGGCTGGGGAGGCCTCAGAATCATGGCGGCGGCAAGGGAAAATGAGGAAAAAGCAAAAGTGGAAACCCCTGACAAACCCATCAGAGCTTATGAGACTTATTCACTATAACAAGAATAGCACGGGAAAGACCAGCCCCCATGATTCAGTTACCTCCCCCTGTGTCCCTCCCACAATACGTGAGAACTCTGGGAGATACAATTCAAGTTGAGATTTGGTGGGGACACAGTCAAACCATATCATTCTGCCCCTGGCCCCTCCAAATCTCATGTCCTCACATTTCAAAACCAACCATGCCTTCCCAATAGTCCCCCAAAGTCTTAATTCATTTCAGCATTAACTCAAAAGTCCACAGTCCAAAGTCTCATCTGAGACAAGGCAAGTCCTTCCTGCCTATAAGCCTGTAAAATCAAAAGCAAGCTAGTTACTTCCTAGATACAATGGGAGTACACGTATTGGGTAAATACAGCCATTCCAAATAGGAGAAATTGGCCAAAACAAAGGGGTTACAGGGCCCATGCAAGTCTGAAGTCCAGCAGCGCAGTCACACTTTAAAGCTCCAAAATGATCTTTTGACTCCACTCACATCCAGATTACGCTGATGCAAGAGATAGGTTTCCATGGTCTTGGGCAGCTCTGCCCCTGTTGCTTTGCAGGGTATGGCCTCTCTCCCAGATGCTTTCACGGGCTGGCATTGAGTGTCTGCGGCTTTTCCAGGAGCACGATTCAAGCCATTGGTGGATCTACCATTCTGGGGTCTGGAGGATGGGGGCCCTCTTCTCACAGCTCCACCAGGCAATGCCCCAGTAGGGACTCTGTGTAGGGGCTCTGACTCCACATTTCCCTTCTGCACTGCTCTAGCAAAGGTTCTCCATGAGGGCCCCGACCCCGCAGCAAACTTCTGCATGGGCATCCAGGCGTTTCCATACATCTTCTGAAATTCAGGTGGAGGTTCCCAAACTTCAATTCCTGACTTCTGTGCACCTGCAGGCTCAACACTATGTGGAAGCTGCCAAGGCTTGGGGCTTCCACCCTCTGAAGCCCCAGCCTGAGCTCTATGTTGGCCCCTTTTAGCCATGGCTGGAGGGTGTGGGATACAGGGCACCAAGTCCCTAGGCTGCACACAGCATGGGGACCCTGGGCCTGGCCCACAAAACCACTTTTTCCTCCTGGGCCTCCGTGCCTGTGATGGGAGGGGCTGCTGTGAAGGTCTCTGACATGCCCTGGAGATATTTTCCCCATGGCCTTGGGGATTAACATTAGTCTCCTTGGTACTTAAGCAAATTTCTGCAGCTGGCTTGAATTTCTCCCCAGAAAATGGGTTTTTCTTTTCTACTCCATCATCAGGCTGCAAATTTTCTGAATTTTTATGCTGTGTCCCTTTTAAAATGGAATGCTTTTAACAGCACCCAAGTCACCTTTTGAATGCTTTGCTGCTTAGAAATTTCTTCTGCCAGTACACTAAATTATCTCTCTCAAGTTTAAAGTTCCACAAATCTTTAGGGCAGGGGCAAAATGCCACCAGCCTCTTTGCTAAAACATAACAAGAGTCACCTTTGCTCCAGTTCCCAACAAGTTCCTCATCTCCATCTGAGACTACCTCAGCCTGGGCCTGATTGTCCATATTGCTATCAGGCTTTTTGTCAAAGCCATTCAGCAAGTCTTTAGAAAGTTCCAAACTTTCCCACATTTTCCTGTTTTCTTCTGAGCCCTCCAAACTGTTCCAACCTCTGTTAGTCAGTTCCAAAGTTGCTTTCACATTTTCAGGTATCTTTTCAGCAATGCCCCACTGTATTGGTACCAATTTAGTGTATTAGTTTGTTTTCACACTGCTGATAAAGTCATACCTGATACTGGGAAGAAAAAGAGGTTTATTTGGACTTACAGTTCCACATGGTCGGGGAGGCCTCAGAATCATGGTGGGAAGTGAAAGGCACTTCTTACATGGTGGCAGCAAGAGAAAATGAGGAAGAAGCAAAAGTGGAAACCCCCGATAAACCCATCAGATCTCCTGAGACTTATTCACTATAATGAGAACAGCACAGGAAATACTGGCCCCCACGATTCAATTACCTCCCCCTGGGTCCTTCCCACAACACATGGGATTTCTGGGATACAATTCAAGTTGAGATTTGGTGGGGATGCAGCCAAGCCATACCAGCTCCCATTTTGCAAGTGAGGAAATCAAGACTCAGGGGGTGAGGTTGCTTGCTTGGGATTGCACAGATCAGTCAGTGGTAGAGTTATGATCCAAATCCAGGCTTTAGTTGCCTGCTTCTAGTTCTTCCCACTTATCACGTGGCTCTAGGAACCAGCATTAAGAGCCTGAGGCCGTGAAGCATGGTAGGGACACAGAAGCCAGACTGCCGTCTGCAAAATTGGTCTCTGCGTAAAGGTAGGGAGGACACCAATTCTGTCCCACTTTTTAATTCTGTAAGTGCGGTGATGGTCGTAATTTCACGGTTGTTGAAAGTATTTTAATAAGTTAGTACATGTAAGAGTACTCAGACCATGCCTGGCGCACACATAGATACTAGCTCTGATTATTCTACGATGTGTTTTAGCTTCTGCTTCTCTTGCCTGTCTCCAGGAAGTTAGATTGATAATATTTCTGTGTGCATTTGTAAGCCTTGCCTAGGCTCACTTAAACACCAGTGTGACTGTTATTAGGAGGAGTGCAAGAATTCCTGTTAATCATCACATCGTGTTTCAGGCATATCATAACATATGACAGGGTGGGAGTGGGGGGACACCAACAATGCAGGTACGGTATGCCCTGCACCTGGCCACCAGGTGGCGCTCATAGTCTGTTTTAGTGTCTGTCCCTGAAAACCCTGTGGCTATGACTCGGTGGTAGAATTAACAGAAGGATCAAGGTTTCACAATTTATACGGCCCATTTCGTGCATCACTCACATTTTCCCTGGGGCATCTGAGACACTGGAGAAGGGGTGCTCACTAGAAGATGGAGGGACATGGGCTGCAAAGCCCCAACCCTCTCCAAGGCCATACATGTGCAGGTCTGCACTTTGGAAACTTGGAGTGAAAAAAATTATTTCACTTCTTCCTGTTTTCTGTGGGGCCATGCAATGCTCCCATAAAAAGGCACTTGGATTTTTTGTTTTAAAAGTTACAGCTCTTCTCAGCTTAATGCTTTTGTTTGCATACCAGAGGCACAACACAGAGAGAAACTTCCAGAAGGGATGGGAAAACACATCCCCAGACTCCAGTGCTGTCTGACAGACAGGAAATGTTTCAATCTAAGTATCAGAGCTTTAGGATATCAGACTGTGGGAAAACTCCAAGTGGTCTTCAAACATCTTCATCAATTTCATGACCAAAATAAATATCCATATTGTCCATAATTGGCATAAATCCCCAGGTGTTTAGTGCCTGTTATACTGTGTAATAAAATGGGCCCTGGGTCATAAGAAAGTTAATAGTGCTAGGAAGACTGATTGCTTCAAGATACTAATTCAGCTTCTAATTAGCACAGGCAGCCCAGACTGCATGGCGGTACGCGTTGTCTTGGGGTATCGGATCGGATCGAAGGGCTTTGAGAGCAAATCGTTATGCACACACTTTCAGGAGACCCGGGAGAATAAAGTAATCAGAACAATAAATCAACCTGCCATGTGGCTTATACGTCTGCTTGAATGTTCTGTTGGCAGTAGAATATTTAAGAGACTAAAATGTGAGCAGATGAAACTTGATTTGGATTCAGACCAACTGCACCCTTTAGCTTAGAAATGCTTTGTTATAAAATTATCATCTTTCAATTATGAGCCAAGATCAAAGTGGGGGGAGGAGTATTAATTAGTCAGAGTAATTCTTTCTTTCTTTTTTTTTTTTTTTTTTGAGACAGAATCTTGCTCTGTTGCCCAGGCTAAAGTGCCGTGGCACAATCTCAGCTCACTACAACCTCCACCACCCAGGATCAAGTGATTCTCCTGCCTCAGCCTCCCGAGTGCTGGGATTACAGGCGTGAGCCACCGCGCCCGGCCATCACTGACCAATTTTAAAGTAAAAAAAAAAAAGGAATTTGAATCAAGTTTCAAGAGAAACGTACATGACTGGTAAATTCAGAAATTCCAGGTGAAGAATTTTTGTTTGATGAAATTCCCTGTAAGGGAACCAGTAACTAACTGCCTTCAGGGTTTGGTAAAGGCCTCTGTGTTTGGAACACTGGGCGGTTCCTTTTCCCCACTTAGCTAACTGCCCATAGCGCTCTCTGGCTGGGGCTGGATTTGGGTGAGATGCAGTCACTGAAGTGACAGCATCGTGGGGAAATAGGAAATTGGGGTGAGAACATGGGGTCTGCGAGAAGGTGGACCTGAGTTCAAATTGCACCGCCACCTCTCACGTGCTGCGCAAGCTGTAAGCAGTTTCTGGGTGTCTCTGGGCCTGTCTTAGACTTTTTTCTTTCTTTCTTTTTGAGACAGGGTCTCACTCTGTCACCCAGGTTGGAGTGCAGTGGCGCAATCTCGGTTCACTAACCTCTGCTTCCCAGGTTCAGCCTCAGCCTCCCGAGTAGTTGGGATTACAGGCATGCACTACCATGCCTGGCAAATTTTTGTATTTTTAATAGAGACAGGGTTCACCATATTGGCCAGGCTGGTCTCGAACTCCTGACCTCAAGTGATCCGCCTGCCTCGGCCTCCCAAAGTGCCAGATTACTGGTGTGAGCCACCGTGCCTGGCCTGGGCCTGCCTTAGACCCTTCGTCTGTAGAATGGATGTGTCAGAGGACTGTGAGGTTTAAATAAGTTAATCCAAAGTGCTTTGTACTAGTTCTTGCTCGTGGCCAGTGCTGAACAAAGGCTGATCTTGTTCTTACCATGCTAGGAAACTGCCGAGTCTCTCAGCCTTGTGGATTTGTGTTCTTAACCACCACGCTCCACTGACCACCTGTTCCCTAACTCCGGGTGTCTCACCTTGGTTGGGGCTCTTGGAGCCTCCCAGGCCTTGGTCTGAGAGCTGTGCTGTGCCTCTCAGGCTCTGCCTACCTGGCTCTTCAAGCTCTGGATCTCTTTCTGTTTGGCATCGATGTCTTCATCCAGAACCTGACACTTCTGTGAGATCTCCCTCTCATTCTGCCTGGAGGTGGTGGTCTCCGACAGCTTCTGACTCAGCTCAGCCACTTCCTTCTGCAGGTTTGCTATTATGACGTCTTTGTATTTGGATTCAATTTCATAATCTGAGAGACGGCTGACCTCTTTTCCCAGCAGCAGAATTATTTCATCCTGGGTAGAGATCAGATGGCAAGCTTACTAGGTGTGGGCCTAGGTGTGAGGCTGAGCCCATTTAAAAAGAAAAAAAGGTAGAGGCCAGGTGCGGTGGCTCGCGCCTGTAATACCAGCACTTTGGGAGGCCAAGGCGGGTGGATCGCTTGAGGTCAGGAGTTCAAGACCAGCCTGGCCAACATGGTGAAACCCTGTCGCTACTGAAAATAAAAAAATTAGCTGGGTGTGGTGGTGAGTGCCTGTAATCCCAGCTACTTGGGAGGCTGAGACAGGAGAATCGCTTGAACCCAGGAGGCAGAGGTTGCAGTGGGCCAAGACCATGCCATTGCACTCTAGCCTGGGCAATAAGAGTGAAACTCTGACTCAATAAAAAGGTAGGAAAATTATAGTGTAATTCTTTTGGGAAAGTAGGGGCAGGCAGGCAGGGAAAAGGCAGACTTTGAGGCTCTGTCACTTGGAAACTCAGAGAGACGATAGTGTGGTGAAAACGACTGCTTGCACATAGACTCCTACAATGCATGTGGATACTTTAGAGGGACAGAAACTTTCCTTTCCCCTAAAATTATACTTTCATATTAAGAACCACCATCCCTCTTGGGAATTTTTGTTGCCAAAAAGTTTACTTATAATATTTTTAGGAATTAACTTACCAGGCCTCAGTCTAACATCTGGGGACCAAGGAAAGGTAATTAAGGAAATGACTCTATTCAACCACATTCTGACTATAATGGGGCTATTTAACTTTACAAATTTAATATATTCTGAAATAGCTTTTCCCCTTTCCTCTCTTCTGTTATTCCCTGGCTCTTTTGGTTATTCACATAAAAACGTATTCCAGGTAACTAAGTCATGAAAAATAAATGAGAGGGGAATGGTGATTTATGTATGTAGGTTCTTGTAAACTTCAGGCTGGAAAAAACTCTGGGCTTGGCAGGCTGTACCCACAGGTCTCATTAACCCAGTCTCCCATCTCTCCAAAAGAAAAAACACTGTAGCCGAAGAATTGGTTAGGCTTCCCGAAAAAGGGGGAAAAAGTCCCCCAAACTTCTCGCCAGAACTCATCAATAAAATATCAGGAAGACTGAGAACAAAAATTCCCCGACGTGATTCATAGGCAGCTACAGAGTTCCTGATCAGTTACTTTGAGAGGAAACTCTGCTCTCCATGCAATTTTCCACTGGTTGGAAGGAGGCGGGTGGGCAGTTTCCAGGCCAGCGCATTGCCTGGGGAGCTCGACCTTCTAGCTTGCTAGCCTGGGGCACCACCGGGTTTTGGTCATGATGGAGCCCGACTGCTGCCCAGGGTCTGTCCTTGGGTCCCTGTGAGTGCTTGTGGCAACATTTCAAAGGACAGCCTCAAACAGAGTCCATGCTCTGGGGCAGCCCCTTGCCTCATCCAATATGAGTTACCCAAGGGCTCCATTTCCAGCCAGGTGTTTGTTCAATATCCACACAACAAACATGTATTGAGCATCTACTGTGTGCCATGCGTGTGCTGGGCACTGAAGTATAGAGAAGCCTGCAGCTTACGGTGCACAGCTACGGTTCCTGCCTTTCTAGTGAGGACCCTGTGACTTCCCTGAGGGAGCACCCCTGACCCTTCCACGTGGTCTTGGCAGGAGGGTCAGTTATGTGCCCTGATCCTTCCTGTCCCGCCTGCCATTGTGCATGTGACCCAGGCTGGTCAGTTGGCATTTTCTCAGAGATTTCGTGTATTTCTTAAAAGAGGAAGAAGCTCTTGCTTCCTTTGGGATCATAATCTTTAGAGACTTCAGTTTGTTTACAGTCATGTTTTCCAACAAAAGAAGCCAGCCTGCTGCAGAAAGCAAAACTATGAGGGAAGCAGTGGAGAAACTGAGAGCGGGGAGCACCCTGATCATTTAAGCTCCTAGATCCAGTCATGCCTGAAGCTGGTTGGCTTTTATATTTTCCAATAAAATAAGACAATAAAAATGTTCTTTTCCTTCCTTCCTTCCTTTTCTTCCTTTTCTTCCTTTTCTTCCCTTTTTCTTTTCTTTCCTTTCTTTCCTCTTTCCTTCCTCTTTCCTTTCTCTTTCCTCTTTCCTTTCTCTTTCCTTCCTTTCCTTCCTTTTCTTTCTTTCTTTCCTTCTTTCTTTCTTTCCTTCTTTCTTTCTTTCTTTCTGACATGGTCTTGCTCTGTCACCCAAACTGGAGCACAGTAGTGCAATCACAGCTTATTGCAGCCTTGATCCCCTGGGCTCCAGTGATTCTCCCACCTCAGCCTCCCTAGTAGCTGGGACTATAGGCAAGTTCCACTATGTGTGGCAAATTTTTTTTTTTTTTTTTTTTTTGCAGAGATGGAGTCTTACTATGTTCCCTAGGCTGGGTGTGAACTCCTGGGCTCAGGTGATCCTCCTGCTTGGCCTCCCAAAGTGCTGGGATTACAGGCGTGAGCCATTGAGCCCAGCCTATTTTTTCTTAAACCAATTTGTTTGTTGTCAGTTGCACTTGAAGGAGTCCTGACAAGTCAGGGCATAAATACTTCATAAATAGTAAAAATTTAGAAATGTGGTTGCATCCTATTTCCAGCTTAACAACTGTGGTGGATTAAAAATGGCTACAAATAACTTTGCAGCTTCTGCCATCAAGCAGTGGAGTCTATTTCCCCAGCCCCTAAATCTAGGCTGGCCCTGTGATCTGCTTTGACCAAGAGAAAGTGATAGACATGATGTTGGGTGGTCTCTAAGCAATTTCTTAAGAGGCTGTACAGCTTCTGTCCTGGACATCTGGAAACCCAAAGACCACTGTACTGCTATGAAGAAGCCCAGGATGAAAAGCCACATGCAGAGAGGGCTCACAATTCCATTAGTGGTGATTTTTAATGGTGAGATTTTGGTGCACCTATCACCCGAGCGGTATACACTGCATCATATTTGTAGACTTTGATCCCTCACCCTCCTCCCACTCTTCCCCCCAAATCCCCAAAGCCCACTGTATCATCCTGCTGCCTTTGTGTCCTCATAGCTTAGCTCCCACATATCAGTGAGAACATACGATGTTTGGTTTTCCATTCCTGAGTTACTTCACTTAGAATAATAGTCTCCAATCTCATCCAGGTCACTGCAAATGCTGTTAATTCATTCCTTTTTATGGCTGTGTAGTATTCCATTGAATATATATACCACAGTTTCTTTACCCACTCGTTGATGGATGGGCATTTGGATTGGTTCCGTGATTTTGCAATTGTGAATTGTGCTGCTATAAACATGTGTGTGCAAGTATCTTTTTCAAATAATGACTGCTTTTCCTCTGAGTAGATACCCAGTAGCGGGATTTCCAGGTCAAATGGTGGTTCTGCTTTTAGTTATTTAAGGCATCTCCATGCTGTTTTCCATAGTGGCTGTACTAGTTTACTCATGTAACCAAATACCACCTGTACCCCAATAACTTAAGGAAAAATTTAAAAAATAAAACTAATAAAAACTCTATAAAAACTTCAAAAAAAAAATAAATCTGTGGGAAGAAACTAAAAAAAAAATAACAAACAAACAAAAAAACTACTTCCAGGTGTCCCAACTGAGGTCCCAGACATGGGAATGAGGCCTTCTGAGACCATCAGTCCCTGCCACGCCACTGGCTGACTGCGGTTGCATGAGTGAGGCAGAAGATACCAGCAGGAGAACCTTCCAAGGCGACCCATAGAATTGTTGGAAATAAATTGCTGTTTCAAGCCACAAAGTTTTGGGCTCGCTTGTTTACAGCAATGGGTAACTGACAGAGCATCCAAACCTGACTTCCCACCTTACTCACCCTTGCTGCAGATTCCTGGAAATGTCACTCCCACGTGTGACAAGAGCTCCAGGTGGCTCTGCTGCTTACAGACTCTGAGAATTGCTGCAGGCTCAGGCCCTGATCTTCAGGGGAAGCATGGCATTGTTGGACTACTGCTTTTAGTATTAGGTTGGTGCAAAAGTAGTCGATTATAATACAATTTTCAGGTTGTGGCTAAGTGAGGCGAAATCAGCCTGGATCCATCCTTCCCAGGTATGCTTACATTCATCTGTTCTGACCTCTCTTCCTGTCTCACTCTCTAAACCTCTCTGGTTCTTTAACAAGTCTTTCTCATTTGCTCAGTCATCTCTGACCTCAGCTCTCACTTCCTCCTACTAGGGAAGTTAACCAGACCTGGGTGTGAATCCCAATTCTGCCCCTTGTACTGTGTAACCTCGGGCAAGTTACTTAACCTCTCTGAGCTCCAGTTTCCTCCTTGTTAAGTGAGGGTGATCAAAAACCTCTTTTGAAGACAGCAAAGATTAAACGAGCGAATGAATGTTAAGTGCATGGGATGCAGTCCAGCTCACAGTAGATGCTTCATAAACATTGGTTGCGGAGGTCATAATTAGAATAAAACATCTGGTTGAATGTCTTAGGGAATAAGAGGTGGTTTCTTGGAAGCAGGATAAGGGCACTTCTGGGCCACAGAGAAGAACAGGCATCAGCAAGTCCCTCTGCAGTGTGATTGCTGCTGCAGCTCCACCCTTCCCCAGACCCCTCCCTCACCTTGTCCTGCTGGGCCAAGTCCTCCTCCACATAAATCTCCGCGGGGGGAACTGCCCCAGGAATCCCCTCGGCCAGTGGTGTTTCCGACAGTTTCATGGCATTGGTCCACACTAAGGCGTGAGATCAGCAGAGAGCACAAAAGACATCATGAGTTTCCCTGAGGCCTGAAGAAGATGTTCACATTAGCCTTCCTGTTTGTCTCCCCGCAGACATAGACATTTTATGTAATTTAAAAATTACAGGCCGGGCGTGGTGGCTCACACCTGTAATCCTGGCACTTTGGGAGGCCAAGGTGGGCGGATCACGTGGTCAGGAGATTGAGACCATCCTGGCTAATACAGTGAAACCCCGTCTCTACTTAAAATAGAAAAAATTAGCCAGGCATGGTGGCGGGCACCTATAGTCCCAGCTACTCCGGAGGCTGAGGCAGGAGAATGGCGTGAACCCGGGAGGTGGAGCTTGCAGTGAGTCGAGATCACGCCACTGCACTCCAGCCTGGGCGACAGAGCAAGACTCTGTCTCAAAAAAAAAAAAAAAAAAAATTACAAAGTGGTGTGCGTGCTCACTGAAAAGCAGTGAAAGCATCACGGAAGGACCAGAAACAGAAAGGGCCACCTCCTTCCTTCTTCCTGTGCTAACTGTGCTGTTACCTAACATGATGTGTCTTTTTCCAGACCTTTTTCCTATGCCACAGAACAGCGGGTGATCTAGGGCAGATCATTTAATCTCCTGGGCAGGTCATTTAATACCTTTTAGCCTTAGTTTCCACACATATCATTGAGGGGCATGAATAGTCTGTATCATAAAGGGCAACTGTGAGGAGTAAATGAAACATTAGGTAGAGCAGGGACTGGCCAACTACAGCCCTGGGGCTGAATGCAGCCCACTGCCTATGACTGAAAGTACAGTTTTACTGGAATGTGGCCACAGTTACTCATGTATGTATCATCTATGGCTGCTTTTGTGCCACAAATACAGAGAGTTGAGTAGTTGCAACACAGACTGTATGGCCCTCAAAGCCTTATTTATATCTGGTTCTGTGATACTGGGACTTATAACAAGAAGTAGATACAGCTGGCCCTCCATATGTGTGGGTTCCACATTTGTGGAGTCAACCAACTGTGGATTGAAAATATATATGTGTGTGTGTGTGTGTGTGTGTGTGTGTGTGTGTAGAGAGAGAGAGAAAGAGAGAGAGAGACAGACAGACAGACATGGTCTTGCTCTGTCACCCAGTCTAGAGTGCAGTAGCATGATCACGGGTCACTGCAGCCTTGACCTCCTGAGTTCAATTGATCTTCCCACCTCAGGCTCCCAAGTAGTCGGGACTACAGGTGCATGCATGCTACCGTGCTTGGCTAATTTTTAATTTTGTTGTAGAGACAGGAATTTGCTATGTTATCCAGGCTGGTCTCAAACCTCTAAGCTTAAGTGATCCTGCTGTCTCAGCCTCCCAAAGCGCTGGGATTACAGATGGGAGCCACTATGCCTGGCCAAAAATACTTCTTAAAAACCCAATAAAAAATAACGATACAACAATAAAAATACAGCATAACAACTAGCGACATGGCATTCATATCATATTTTGTAAGTGAGGGAACCCAAGTACAGGGACGCCAAGTACTTGCTGAAGGTCCCACAGCTGGTGAGTGATAGAGTCAAGATTTGAACCCAGGTTTGTCTGATCCAGAGCCTGTATTCATAACCATTATGCAGTAAATGTATTGACCTTCATGATATAGTGTTACATTTCAAAAAGTAGGATACCAGTGTTAGGGTCAAACAATCCCATTATTATTCCATTACTTACAGTATATACAAATCAGGATGGTATCTTTAAAAATCACCCCATGCCTTTCCATTCTCCATTCTAATTCTTCCTCCCTCACCTGTATGAGCTTTGCCATTAAGATTCAGCCTTGGAGCTGCGGCCTTACTGCCTGTTGGAGAAGGGCGAGCACCACCAAGACAGGGGGCCTTGACCAGGGCGATTCTGCCCCTCAGGTGACATTTGGTAATATCTGGGGACAATTTTGAGCACCACAGCTTGAGTGGGGGAGATCTGCTGAGAGCATCGAGTGGGTAGAAGCCAGGGATGTTGCTAAACACTCAGCAATGCACAGGCTGGGCCAGGCCTGGTGGCTCACGCCTGTAATCACAGCACAATGGAAGGCTGAGGCGGGCAGATCACTTGAGGACAGGAGTTCGAGACCAGCCTGGCCAACATGGCGAAACTCCATTTCCACTACAAATACAAAAATTAGCCAGGCGTGGTGGCGGGCGCCTGAATCCTAGCTACTTGGGAGGCTGAGGCAGGAGAAATCGCTTGAACCCGGAGGTAGAGGTTGCAGCGAGCCAAGATTGCACCACTGCACTCCAGCCTGGGTTACAGAGCGAGCCTTTGCCTCAAAACAACGCCCTATGACAAACAATTATCTGGCCCCAAATGTCAGCAGTGCCAAGATTGAGAAACCCTGACCGAGAACAAATACGCCCTTGGCTTTGTGTTTCCAAACAGAATTTTTCAAATCTAAAGCAAGGCAATGGTCTAAAAGCAAAACAATTTTGTTTGAAGAGTCCGGCTTTGTTAAGAGAGGAAAGAGCTTCTTCAGATTCCTCAAAAATGGGTGCTTTCAATGAAGAGCCAACCTGGAGTCCTGGCGTCGGCAGTGTTCTCCTAAGCATGGAGTAGAGGGGCCCGGGTCTGACACGAGGGATCTCTTCTCTACAGGAAGATGAAAGGCCCTCTCCACATCAGGGGAATGCGGTGGAAGTTTGGGAGCGGACATCACGATGCCTTCCCAACCCAGATGACACCCCAGTGGGAGGCTGTAGAGGAGAAACCCAGGTAGATGAGGGCCTCAAAGCCTTGGGACCGCTCATGGCTCATTCACTTCCCAAGTTCAACACGGCATTGGAGAAACAGGTGGAGAAATCTACTCATCAACAACTGAGTGTAAAAAGAAAGAAACAGCACCTGTGTCCACCAATGAAGAATGGATAGAGAATCTGTGTTACGTTCATGGAATGTGACTCAATGAGAACAAGGAACAACTTTTTTTTTTTTTTTGAGATAGAGTCTTGCTCTGTCGCCCAGGCTGGAGTGCAGTGGCACAATCTCGGCTCACTGCAACCTCTGCCTCCTGGGTTCAAGCGATTCTCCTGCCTCAGCTTCCTGAGTAGCTGGCATTACAGGTGTGCACCACCACACCCAGCTAATTTTTGTATTTTCAGTAGAGATGGGGTTTCACCATGTTGGTCAGGCTGGTCTCAAACTCCTGACCTCGTGATCTGCCCTCCTCGGCCCCCCAAAGTGCTGGGATTACAGGTGTGAGCCACTGTGTCCGGCCACAAGGAACAACTTGTAAGACATACAGCAAAATGGATGAATCTCAGAAATATGCAGAGTGAAAAAAGCCTCACGTGAAAACATACACTACATGATTCCATGTATTTGAGAATCTCGAGCAGGAATCTCTAATCCATGGTGGAAAAAGAATTGGAAGAGTGGTTACCTCTGGGGGAAGGGGTTGGGAAGTGACTTGGAAGGGACCTGAGGGAGCTTCCTGGGGTGATGGTGATGTTCTTGTCAGGGGTTTGGGTTACACAGGTGTATACAATTGTCAAAACGTAGTAAGTGTTCACTCAAGATCTGTGCATTTCATTGAGTGGCAGCCAATCTCCAAGATGGTCTTGGTGATTCTTGTCCCTGTATTCATGCCCCTATATAGTCATCTCCAATGCTGGATGAAGCTTGTATTAACATGCTCAGGTTGCCATGACAAAATACCACAGGCTAGGGAGCTCAATAACAGGAATTAATTTTCCTTTATTAAACTTTTAATTCTTTCTTTTAAAAATAGAGATAGGGTCTTGCTATGTGTTCCCAGCTGGCCTTGAACTCCTAGCCTCAAGGGATTCTCCTGCCTCGGCCTCCCAAACTGCTGGGATTACAGGGGTGAGCCACTGCACCTGGCCGAAATTTATTTTCTCAAGTTTTAGAGGTTGCAAGATCCAGGCGTTGGCCAGGTGGTTTCTCCCGAGGCCTCTCTCCTTGGCTTGCAGATGGCCACCTTCTCATTATGTCCTCACATGGTCTTTCTTCTGGTGTTGCTGGTGTCCTAATCGCCTCCTCTCACAAGGACAGCAGTCAGATTGGATTAGGGCCCACCCCAACAACCTCATTTTAACTTAATTACCTCTTTAAAGGTGGATGGATCACCTGAGGTCAGGAGTTCGAGACCAGCCTGGCCAACACGGTGAAATCCCATCTCTACTAAAAACACAAAAATTAGCTATGTGTGGTGGTGGGTGCCTGTAATCCCAGCTACTCAGGAGGCTGAGGCAGGAGAATCACTTGAACCTGGGAGGCAGAGGTTTCAGTGAGTCGAGATCACGCCACTGTACTCCAGCCTAGGTGACTGAGACTCAGTTTCAAAAAGAAAGAAAAAAAAAAAAAGAAAAGAAGGAAGAAAGAAAGGCACTCTTTAAACACAGGTTCTGTGGTAGTGGGGATTAGGGCTTCAACATATGAATTCTGAGAGAACACAATTCAGCCATAACAGAGCTTATCCAAGTAACCAAGGCTACTGGAGAAATGATGGAGTTTGACTCCTGAGGCTGGATCTTAAGACACATGTGGCTGCTGCTTTTCTCTCTAGGACCCCTCTTTTGGAGGAAGCTGGCAGCCATTTCATGAGGAGACTCAAGCAGCCTAGGAAAGGTGGCAGTGGTGAAGAACTGAGGCTTCCTGCTGTCAGCTAGTGAGGAACGGAGGCCTCTTCCCACACGGATGTGAGTGAACTACCCAGGAGATGTGTCCTCCAGCCCTAGGCAGGCCTTCAGAGGACCGCAGCTTTCGTCAAAAGCTTCATGCAACCTCCTGAGAGTCCCTGAACCACACCATCCTGCGAAGCTACTCCCAAATGCCTGACCCGCAGAAACTGTATAAGATAATGCATAGGGTTTTGGTTTGTTTTAGGGCGCTATGTGTTAGGGTAATTGGTTATAAATTGGTAACTAATACACACTGTATGTTAATTTTACACAAAAAGACAAAAACTGTTGAACTCTAGTTAATGGTACACATGCTAAATGTTTAGGGCGAAGTCTACAGCTGTAGGAAACTTATTTTTAAATGCATCCAAAATTAAGATCGATTAATGAATTAACAGAATGACTGATAGACAGATAGATATATAATAAAAGTATAGCAAAATGGGCCAGGCGTGGTTGACTCACGCCTGTAATCCCAGCACTTTGGGAGACCGAGGTGGGTGGATCACTTGAGGTCAGGAGTTGAGATCAGCCTGGCCAACATGGCAAAACCTCCTCTCTACTAAAAATACAAAAATTAGCTGGGCATGGTGGTTTGTGCCTGTAATCCCAGCTACTAAGGAGGCTGAAGCAGGAGAATCACTTGAACCCAGGAGGCGGAGATCATGCCATTGCACTCCAGCCTGGGAGACAGAGCAAGACTCTGTCTCAAAAAAAAAAAAAAAAAAAAAGAGTATAGTAAAATGTTAATGGTAAATATAGGTGGGGATGGGGGTCACTGTAAAATTCTTTTTACTTTGCTGTATGTTTAAAAAATGTTCGTATTAAGGCCGGGTGCAGTGGCTCACGTCTGTAATCCCAGCACTTTGGGAGGCCAAGGCAGGCGGATCACAAGGTTGGGAGATCGAGACCATCCTGGCTAACACGGTGAAACCCCATCTCTACTTAAAAAAAAATAATAAAAATAAAAATAAAAATTAGCCAAGCATGGTGGTGAGCACCTATAATTACAGCTACTTGGGAGGCTAAGGCAGGAGAATCACTTGAACCCAGGAGGTGGAGATCGCGACACTGTACTCCAGCCTGGGTGACAGAGCAAGACTCTGTCTTTAAAAAAAAAAAAAAAAAAAAAGAGTACAGTAAAATGTTAATGGGAGATTTAGGTGGGGAGGGGGGTCACTATAAACTTCTTTTTACTTTGCTGTATGTTTAAAAAATGTTCATATTTCGGCCAGGCGTGGTGGCTCACGTGTATAATCCCAGCACTTTGGGAGGCCAAGGTGGGCAGATCACAAGGTCGGGAAATCGAGACCATCCTGGCTAACACAGTGAAACCCCGTCTCTACTAAAAATACAAAAAAAAAAAAAAAAAAAAAATTAGCCGAGCATGGTGGTAGGCACCTGTAGTCCCAGCCACTTGGGAGGCTGAGGCAGGAGAATGGCATGAACCTGGGAGGTGGAGCTTGCAGTGAGCTGAGATCACACCACTGCACTCCAGCCTGGGCAACAGAGCGAGACTCCATCTCAAAAAAAAAAAAAAAAAAAAAAAAGTTCATATTAAAATGTTGGGGGAAAATGGCTGAGTCATTTTTCGCTGTGGGTGGTAGGTATGTGGCGGTGCATTTGATGATGATGACGTAAACCGTGGACACACATTGCCTTTTCTCTTCAGCTTGCATGTGTCACAATAATAATTATTATTTTAGTGACTGAGGAAGGTGACTACATGAATGGTCTTGAGCAAGACGGGGGAAAGATATGGAAGCCGCTGGGAGATACCTGGGGACTCAGAAGGGCCTGGGGCTGGGACAAAGAGGACAGAGAGTGGGACCTTGATGCCAGAGGCTAGGGAGGAACTCCGGGAACCACGCCTGGGGACTAAACTGACCAGCTCTTCCGCCAGTGAGGCTGCTGAGGCCAAGAGGACAGTGACAGATAGGAAGTTTCCTCCCCAAGTGCCATGAGGCTTTCAAGGGGGTAGTGGGGAAGGAAGGACACCCTGGAGGTTGTGTGTGTCCCAGAGTGACCAGGCTGTGAGTGGGCTGTCACCCAGCTCACCAGCCTTAAATGGGACTGAAAAATGTTAGATTAGATGGGACTGAATATATCTCCTTGGGAGAAGTCATTTTCCTTGATAAGCGTCAGTCTCTTCTGACCTGTAAAATGGTGTTAAAATATTTTAAAACCTCCTAGGGCTGTTGGGGGCAAAGGGGATTGCAATGACTAATATTTTTGCACATCTGAGTCAAAGTGTGTTGACACAGATCCTGTGACACACTCACATGTACACATGCACAGAGGCCACACCCACTGCAGGTGCCCTGGTGTGTGTATACGGACACAGCACAGAGGCTGGAGGGACACACAGCAGAGAGTCAACAGGGAGACCCTGGGGATAAGGATTACGGCTGATTTTTAACTGTTTTCTTACTTTCTGCTTATCCTGAATTTATTTTTATTTTTTACAATTGAACACGTTCTCCTTTTAGAATCAGAAAGTAAACCAAAACCAAGACCCATCCACATGGCTGTGAACCACCCCCAAGCCACCGATGGCAGCCCTGACGCATACCTTGCTTGATGACAGGGGGCTTGGGGGCGTCCTCCACCACAAACGAGAACATCTCCTTGCTGGCGCTCACAGGCCGCCGGTGGGAGGCCGGCAGGACCACAGTGGGTCTGGGGAAGCCCTGGGACCAGCTCCTTTGCACCGGTGCTGGCTGGATGCCTTGGTGGAAGGGGATATGTGGCGGCGGGGGGGCCTGGTTCGGTTGCTGTGTGGCACGAGGTGGCTGTGGCCCTGGCCATGGTGCTGGGCCCCTCATCCATGGGTAGGAGACCTGCAGGGGCACACAAGGGTCAGGGGAGGTTATGACCGGCGGGGATGGTCTCCATTTCTTTGTCCCAGCCACAGCATTGCTGCCCAAGGTCTTGGTTTATGAGTCACTTCCGGTCAGGCATGGTGGCACACAACTGTAATCCCAACACTTTGGGAGGCCAAAGTGGGAGGCTAGCTAGCTTGAGTTCAGGAGTTCAAGACCAGCCTGGGCAACATGGCAAAACCCTGCTTCAGCAAAAAATACAAAACTTAGCTGGGCCTTGTGGCTTACGCCTGTAGTCCCAGCTACTTGAGAGGCTGAGGTGGGAGGATCACCTGAGCCCAGGAAATAGAGACTGCAGTGAGCTGTGATAGCACCACTGCACTCCATTGTGGGCGATGGAATGAGACTCTGTCTCAAAAATAAACAAAAACACAATGAGTCACTTCCCCCAGGAAACCTTCCTGGACTCTCCTCAAGTTTGGGATGGGGGTCCTTGCCTGGGCCACATGGCACACGATCGCACCACCATTGAGTGGGCGCGTCCTTTACCCAGGCGCCCTGCCAAAAGAGTCACCTGCATTAACTCATTTAATATACTCAACACTCTGCGATGTCAACACTCGGAGGACACAGGCCGGGCAAGACCAAGGGACTCCCAACACCATAGATGGGGTATTGAGCTGCTGAGCCAGGAGAATGTCCCCTCTAAGGGATTAGGGACTTTTCATCTACTTTTCTTACCACTGTATCCTCAGCCCCTAGAATAAATGCTTGGCACATACCTAGTAGGTCCTCAGATGTTGGTCAAAATAACAGAACAAGCCAATCACTGAGATTCCAGCCCAGCTCCCTGGGACTCCACAGCCTTTTCTCTTTCTGTCCGCACTGCGGGTCCCTCTATCCCTCAAAGTTCAGAACTCTGGGATTGCAGGGATGCTGGCTGTCTGATTAGCCTTTGCTTCTCCCCACCAGCACACCTGATTCTGGCAGAGGCCCCAGGAAAGACGTTACAGCTACTTTCAGCAGAGAGCATATCAAACTCCATCTAACCATGGATGAGCAAATGTGGAGTGATGCTGACACCTGACTTTTGCCGTGGACTAATGCTTAAGTGGTGGTTTCTCCCTGGTGTCTAGGGGTTGAATGGTGGCAACGATGAGCACTATCACTTATTGCACTGAGCTTACTGATTCCTCACCATGACCCTTTGTGTGAGGGTTCTCTTTACTTCTATGTTAGAAGTGAGGCTTGCAGAGGTTAAGGGATTTACCCAGCACAGGCGGTGGTGGACAGGGAAATGGGATCAAGATCTGATGGCCTGTCTCTCTCCTCTCCTCTCCTCTCCCCTCCCCTCCCCTCCCCTCTCCTCCCCTCTCCTCCATGTCTCCCCTCTCCTCCCCTCCCCTCCCCTCTGTCTTCCAATTCTCTTGGCAGAAATAATGCTTTCCAGGTAAAAGCTAAATTCAAAGGTTTGCTTCCTAGGCAGGAACTCATCCCTATTCTCCCAGGGCTCAGGGTTCTCCTTCTGTACCCAGAGAGAAGATGAGCTCAGACACACATGAGGAAAAGGACAGAATGCTTCCAAAATCAGCGCTCCAGCAGACAGCACTTCCTAGAACTTCAGCTGAGTTTTATTCAAGAGGAGGGCTCTCCACTCACTCAGGATCCTAATCTCCAAGCTGCAGTCTGTCTACAGCTGCTCAGAGATCCTATGCATTCCCCCCAAGGCTCTTTCTTGGAGTCAGTGAGGAGTGTTTTGGGAAATCTGGCACCAAACTCCGATCACCTGGTGATGTATGGTTTGGCTGTGCTCCACCCAAATCTCATCTTGAACTGCAGTTCCCAGAATCCCCTTAGGAGGGACTGGGAGGGACCTGGTGGGAGGTAATGGAATCATGGGGAAAGTTTCCTCCATGCTGCCTTCATGATAGTGAGTGACTTCTTGTGAGATCTGATGGTTTTATAATGGGCTTTCCTCACCCCCTTGCTCTGCACTTCTCCTTGCTGCTGCCATGTGAGGAAGGACATGTTTGCGTCCCCTTCTGCCATGATTGTAAGTTTCCTGAGGCCTCCCCAGCCCTGGGGAACTGTGAGTCAATTAAACCTCTTTCCTTTATAAATTACACAGTCTCTGGTATGTCCTTATAACAGTGTGAGAACGGACTAACACATCTGGGGACACCTGGCCAGGCATTCATAATGACACTGGCCCACTTAAAATCTGTTTTCAGGAGTGGGTCTGGGCAGAGTTCCAGAACTCTGTTACCTCACGTGTAGTTTCCCGTTTCTCTCCACTGTCAACATCTCAGCCTCTCCACCTACCCTCTCTTCTGTTCTTTGGTTTCAGAAGCTGAGTCACTGTGCCCCGGCCCTGGGCTGACTTCTCCATCCATCATGTCCCTCCCTATCCTCAGGGCTGTCTTGCCTCACTCATTCCCATGACCTTTTCCTATGGGTTTAATAAGTACTCATTGAATGAATGGGCTGAACGTGAGAGCGGGCAAACTCCAATGTGTTTTACTCCAGCCTTCTGGAACACAAATGTAGACATTATTGGTTGTGGTGGAGGAATCCACTTTCATGCTAGGACATTCGGTGGGTGGGGTTCTAAGGTAAGGGTGCCTCATGCCAACTAGCTGCACAGGTGCTAATGGAAGTAAGCATGTCTCCTGCCTCAAGGGCAACGATTCTGCAGTGGCCAGGCCAAAACCCACTCAGCATCTTTTGGAGATTGTGGGTAAATCTCCCTCCCTCTCTCGGCCCATTGTTGTGGGTGGGGCTAAGCAACAAATCACATTCACTGGCCATAGTGATTGGCCAGGGGTGGGGCATGCGATCCAATCAGAGCCAAGGAGATGAGGCTTGACACCAGAATCTCCAGCCACAGAGACCCGGGGACTTGAGAATGTAGCCAGCACCACGAGATGCAGCCCAGACGTGGAGAGAGGGATGCTGGTTTTCTTTTCTCCATTTTTTTTTGAAATAGGGTCTCACTCTGTCATCCAGGCTGGAGTTCAGTGGCACAATCACAGCTCACTACAGCCTAACCTTCTGGGCTCAGGTGATCCTCCTGCCTCAGCCTCCCAAGTATCTTGGACTACAGACGCAGGCCACGAGGCCCAGCTAAATTTTGTATTTTTTGTAGAGACGGCGTTTCACCATGTTGTTCAGGCTAGTCACAAATTCCTGGGCTGAAGTGATCCTCCTGCCTCAGCCACCCAAAGTGCTGGGATTACAGGCATGAGCCCCGACACCTGGTCTGTTTTTGTTTAACTGTAAAAAAATACATAACAAAATTTTCCATCTTAACCATTTTAGGTGTACAATTCAGTACTTTTAAGTATAGTCTAACTGCTGTGAAACAGATTTCCAGAACTTTTTCATCTTGCAAAAGTGAAAATACATCCTCATTAAATAACTCTCCCTTCCCCTCTCTTCAGAGCCCCTGGTAACCACCATTCCCCTTCTATTTCTATGAATTTAAATACTCTCTGTCCCTCATATAAGTGGATTCATACAACATTTGTCCTTTTGTGACTGGTTTATTTCACTTAGCACAATGTCCTAAGGATTCATCCATGTTGTAGCATGTGTCAGAATGTCCTTCCTTTTCATGGCTGAATAATATTCCACTACATGACATCATATTTTATTTATCCATTCATCTGTCCATGGACACTTGGGCTGCATCCACCTCTAGGCTATTGTGCATAATGAACAAATAGAGAAGCTGGTTTTGAGCCCTGGCTTGTGTTGCACTCTGCACTAACTGCTCAGTACTGTGCGGCTGGTTTGAGCTGGTTTTGTCACTTGAAGCCCCCACAGTGCTAATGAGAGGGTCACTAAAGGGGCCAGTGCATGATGTGTAAATGCAGCAAAGACTGCAATCAGCTCTTTCAGTTAAAAAAAATTGTTTGTTTGTTTGTTTATTTATTTATTTATTGAGACGGAGTTTCACTCTTGTCACCCAGGCTGCAGTGCAGTGGCGTGATCTTGGCTCACTGCAACCTCTGCCTCCTGGGTTCCAGCGATTCTCCTGCCTCAGCCTCCCAAGTAGCTGGCATTATAGGCATGTACCACCACGCCCAGCTAATTTTTTTGTATTTTTAGTAGATACAGGCTTTCACCATGTTGGCCAGGCTGGTCTTCAACTCCTGACCTCAGATGATCCACCCACCTCGGCCTCCCAAAGTGCTGGGATTACAGGCATGAGCCACCGCGCCCGGCCTTGTTTATTTGTTTTTTGAAAGCATGTTGATTTAAGGTGGCTTTAGTTGGAAGGTTAATGTCGGTCTTCTCTACTTAACAGGCCTACTCTATTATAAGCAAGGTCAAGGTTTTCTCAGAAATTGCTGCTGGTAACTACAAGGAAACAGTGAGGGGATAAACAAACCAAACAAAAAGACTCCTGAAAAACTGGCTCCTGGCCGAGCTCGCATTGGAATGTACATGAAGCTTGGGGTCAAGGTCAGTGATCAACAAGTCTGGTTTAGAAATATTAGTTTAAACATACTTGCTAGTGCCTTCTTTCTTTCATTCTCTTTCCTTCTTTCCTCCTCTTTCTTTCCCTCTGACCATATGGTATATGGCATGGTGGTTTTTTTCTGTTTATTTTTGAGGCAGCGTGTGCTCTTCCTGATCTCTCCCACACTGTCTAAAATAGCAGGTTGCAAACCACCTGGACCACACCCATGGCTGAATTTCTATCAGCTTGAACAAACACCCGGCCAATAACGTACTTGAGAACTCCAAATCCATTGTTTCTGGATGATCTCCCTGTTTCTTGTGTTATCACACTAACATCTGCTTCTGACCCTGCCAAGGCTTCAGGGTGAGAAGGACGCCCTAAAACACCAAGATAATTTGTCCAGAGTCCCACAGGACACAAACATTCTTCCAGAAAGCCCTGGACGCTGTGGACAAGGCGGGGAAGTAGACCTTGCCCTTGGAACATCTGTCATGTTCTTTGCTGTCTGCAATTCTTATCACTTGGCTTTGAACCACCAAGGAGAGAAGGC